TTACTTTTTCACACTACATGTAAGCATGGTCCTTTTTCTAGTAATGTCTATGCATGGTCTAATGTACAGAGTGTCTCTCCAGAGAGTAAAAGATGGGTGTCTCAGTCCCTGGGCGTGTCACTGCTGTTAGCTGGCATGGCGTTGTTGGTGACGTCCATGTCATGGTGTGCTGACTAAATCTTACTCTCTCGTCATTCAGCTTTGGTCTTTTTTTCTTCAGTACCTCCCCGGGGCAGTGGGAAACAAGCCACGACATAGATAATTGCAAACAGTCACTACGGGAATGGAAAGGGACGTTGGATCCCCAATTCACTTTACCTAGTTCACTTCTTTAAGTTGCCTACCAAAAGACGTTAAAATATGGTACTTGTTGGTCCCTGCCTGGCGCTCGGCATTAACGGGTACAACAAGGACTGGTCGGCTCGTAGTCAGTATAATGTGTCTGTGTGGGGTATTCATGCTTCACTGCGGCATGGTATCTGAGTGGGCAAGCACTATAAAACCAGCTTAAGTCTGGGCTAGTACAAGCAGCCGCACATACACATACACGCATGTACGTCATCATATGAGCGAAATATTCTCAAGCACGACGTTAAACCCAATTTCACCTCACCTCACTTCTTTAAGTTGCCACATTGGTCAGAGACGACTTGTGCAAAACGATGTGTGGTCATAACTCCACACTTCAATGTTGACTGAGGTTTTGGTAGCGTAAAGAGCGCTTTGGGCAAATGGGCCAGGGCCGTGAAACTCAACAACAGTTGGTAATTACATACCTTGTTGGCTCCTTAATCACCCGAAGTTTTGCAGAAAACCACTGTGCAGTGTTAGACTGAAAACCTTGATGTATTGAAGTTGTATGTTGGGAAGACTGTGTTCGAATTCAAGAATTGTAGCCAAGTGCTCCCATATGCTAAAGAACAAAGTCTCCTATGCTGTTGCACAAAATGTTAAGAATTAAAATCTAATCGAAGGCTCCTGAAACTTAGACATAATGTCTCTGTCTAATGAACTCCAAAATATTTCATAGAAATCCAAAATATTAAGACTTTGAACAGACTGACAACAGATGCATTTCCTATTGATTTGTCTATCAACTTTAGTTATTCCTAAAGGGAGTGAGTGAGTTAAGATTTTAAGTCACATCGGCAATATTTCAGCTATATCGTGACTAAAACAAGGTATAGTTTTTATAATTATTCAATATTAAATAATAAACACCTGTCAACGAAGGACAGTAAAACAACTAGAGTATCCCAGATATATATTTAAAACTAGTAATTAAATCTAAAACAGTTTAACTATAGAGGACGATACAATATAAAAACGGGCTATAAATCGCCAACAACTGAAGGTAGATCACCATACTAGGGACCATGGGGACTTACAGTACCTTTGCTACAATTATTCCTAAGCCCCATGGAAATTTCAATAGTATCGGAAAGGACGGCTTGATGTAATGACTACTTTAATTGTAATTTATTGCTGCAATAATGATTATTTCTTATTGAAAATATTAAAAGATGTATGAATTCATTACTGCAAATCAGTGATGAGACCAGGTATTTGTATGAAACATATTGAAGATTCTAGGCAAGAAGATCTCAATCGTGCCTAAAAGGTGTTACAATTTAGACCACAAGGCTGGAGCTGCTGGGATATTGCTTGACATAATGGGAAAGTGGACATTTGAGAAAGAGGAAGTCACACACACGCACACGCACACGCACACGCACGCACGCACGCAGACGCACACATACGCCGAGAGTTATATGGTTTGGCTGTCTCATTAGTTGGCTTCATTTTCAGTTCAGATAAATAAAGGAAATGGGTTATTTGATGGTTATTTATCGATATCACATCTTTGACATACCTGAAGTTTAAAGTAAACTTCTTGGCCAAATTGATTCGTCCTGACCTTGTCTATACTGATCAGAAGCGATTCTGTCTGGTTAAAAGTGACAAGCGGAATTATTTAATATATTCCGGCCATTTATATACTGCATTTTTTCGAGTAAGAGTAGATCTGATAGACATGCTGTAGACAGTACAGAAAATGGAAAAGGTGCACTTTCCGGTAGATTCTTCCAACCATATAGTTCTGATTTGCACCAACCCTAGCATTTTTAAGGCAACTCTTGTTCATTTAAAAGATCATAGACCCCGATTTAGTTGTCCAATGAGTCATAGATGTGCAAGCAATATCGTCAGATTCACGTCCACTGCACGAGTTTGTGAAAACCGAGTCGGAAAATTGAAGCACAGGCAGCTTGAAAGTATTTCTGTCATCCAATGTACAGAAATATGCCGCTATAAACAACACATTAACATTAACATAACATGTAAGCTTACATAATTGTAACTGAAGAACCCTTTGCTTTTAAATAGAATGCCCTATTAAGTAATGACTAATTAATGATAATGTCTTCATAAACACCACTTAACAAGGCTACATGCACTTTATTTCTCTTGGAGTGCACTTTTCCAAATTTGTTCACCGGACCTGTGCCTTTAAGATACCTCGCAGAGTTTTGAGTCAAATTGTGACGTGTCATATTTAGCCCTTCACATCACGTATGTATGTATGTATGTATGTATGTATGTATGTATGTATGTATGTATGTATGTATGTATGTATGTATGTATGTATGTATGTATGTATGTATGTATGTATGTATGTATGTATGTATGTATGTATGTATGTATGTATGTATGTATGTATGTATGTATGTATGTATGTATGTATGTATGTATGTATGTATGTATGTGTATTTATTTATATATATACACTATGTATACATACACATACACAAAGTAAAGTGGACGGAATTTGGAGAAAAATACAACATAATATTTCCTTGGCCTGGAAACCAGAATTTTTGTTTCCATGAATCTATTACTAGAATAAAAGAAAGCAATGGACAGTAAGAAGAACATGACCTTATACTAAATGAAGTAAAATCATACTATGAAAAGTTGTATTCTAAACAAGAAATTAGTCAAATTGATCTAGAAAAACATTTCGGACAATATAATGTGCCAAGATTAACAGACGATATGTCAAATAAATTAGACTCAGTATAGCAGTGTAACGAATAATACTGAGCCTAAGTTTACTTAGACTGCATGTCTGCTATTACCAACGGATTTTGAAAAGGCCAACGACACGGTCGATTGGGGATTTAAACAAGAAACCATGACATTTTTTTGTTTTGAAAATTCCATGAAAATTGGATCAAGACCTTCTACAACAGAATTCAATCTTGTGTGATAGAAAATGGATTTGACTTTACTTTTCACATAGCCAGGGGGTGTCGCCAAGGCCAGCCCCTATCACCTTAAATATTCCTCCTTTGTGCCCAAATACCTGTTATGCTCATCAGAAATAACGACATCATATGAAACTAGTAACGATAAGGAATGAAACATATTTCTTACTCAATTTGCTCATGATACTACTTGTGTTCTAGATGGTTCAGAAAGATGTATATTTGCCATTCTTTACTCGGTTTTCTGGGTTAAAAGTTCATATCTAGAAAACAAGATTAATATGGATTGGCTCAAAGAAAAGATCAAGAGTGAAACTATGACCCCAAATAAAATTAAATTGAAGCCAGCAATCTTTTGACCTTCTAGGTATAACATTTGACATTTGACATTTGACCTAACCTAAATGATTGAATTGAATTTCAAAGATAAGTTAAGAACACATGAAACAATATTGTCTATATGGTCAGTAAGAAACATGACACCTTTCGGAAGAAACTCTATCCTTAATTAACCCATATAACCTAAGCTAAATCACCTGTTTTCAGCATTACCTGACCGTTAAGATTCGATGTTAGGACCTTTCCATAAAACAAACATTATTCAAATTCTTATAGGGCAATAAGTAAAATAAAGAGAACACAAATGATTTGCAAAACAGAAGGTGGTCCCAAAATACATTGTCCCAAAATTAAAGAATTAATACAGGCTCAAAAGATTTCTATGTTACGGAGACATTACTAAATTCTTTATAAAAAAATTGCTTGAATGATACCTGCAAATGAATATTCGAAAACATCTCAGGGGGACAAAAATCTACGACCAACAAACGTGGGTACAAAAAAATGTCGCTAGTTCTTATTATTCCGATTCGCTTTGTGATTGGTTCCAATTTGTAAACAAATAGATCACTCTGGAATTAATATGAATCCAAAATCATTCGGCTGACGGACGACATTACAATTAGTAAAATACCTGTCACATGACAAAGTAAAGGAATGAATTTTATAAGTGATCTTATGAATGAAAATGGTTATTTCTATAGTGAGTGAGTTAGTTGGGTTTTACGCCACATTTAGCAATATTCAAGCAAAATGACGGCGGGTGTGGAACACCAGAGATGGGCTTCACACATTGTACCTATGTTCCAGCATAAGGTCTAACAGCAGATGACTGAATGTCTGTGTGCATGGGTTTTGTTGAGGTTTTTCTTAACCATGAGGAACATACATGTATATTTATTCATACCATAAGGAACATTTCATGTGAACGTGTGCAGATGGATATGTCTATTATATGGTCTCTGGCATGAACACCATCTAAATAAAGCAGACAACAGACAAGGGAGACGACTCTGCATAAGCAATCAACGAGCCCAAATTATCTGAGTGAGTGAGTTTAGTTTTACGCCGCGTTTAGCAATATGTCAGCATTATCACGGCGGGAAACACCAGAAATAGGTTTCACACATAGTTCCCATGTCGGGAGTCGAACCTGGATCTTGGGTGTGACGAGCTTTATCCACTAAGCTACACCACGTTGTCCTGATACACCCAAATACCCTCACTCATACATTCCCCTGTATTTGATCTACACATTGCCCTTACTCGTATGGAAACTGATTGACACAAATGGCTCAATTGGAAATAATGAAATAATGAGGAATAATTGTAGAGGGGGTCATTATGGCCTCGCTCGGTCTACACAACTGACATCATTTCACACACCAGCGTTATTCTCTGTATACAGCTTGTACTACCAGAGGCGACAGCATCGCTTGTTGAACAGTAAGCCCGTGGACGGACTAGACATATTTCAAAACTCCAGGATCACTTTCAAATTTCCAAGTTTCGGGATCGCTTCATTGTAAGTTGTTTATTTTGTGATCAAAATACATATTGAATACTGGTACTGATGAATTCACCAAAGTTGTAAGCATTTCAAACCTGCGCATGCATCAAGTTTTCAAGTTTGGCTTTCACATAAACAATGGATGCATGGCGGGTGCTAACGGGTAAGCAGGAAATACTCACCCTTCGTGAACACCTGGTGTCATCACTGATTTTCAGTAGTCCATATATGTTGTTGCAACTGCATGACTTTGGGACGAACATAATCTGTCTGAAGACAAGTTACTCTTGAGATTGTAAATTTCCACCCGCTGAAACTGGTGCATTGTGACAAAAGTGACAAAATGTTCAGAAACGGCTCAAATCACTCACTCACTCACTCACTCACTCACTTACTCACGCAGTCACGTTATGCAACGTTATTCAGGCATTGTTCTCATGCCAGGAGTCATGGGTGTGACGAGAGGACTACTATGCTAACCCACCACTGTCCTAATTCACTGGACATATGGTACATTTCCCTGGGTTTAATTTATACATTGTTCTACTTGTGTGATTAAAACCTGGAAACTGACTGGGACATTGGTTCAGTTTGAAAAGTGAGAGTTAATTGTAGAAACTAATAGATCATCGGTCGGTCAACGAAACCGACATAAGCGTACACAACACCTTTACCTTGCGTTTCTCTGTCAACAGCTTGAGCTTCCAGAGGTAAAAGCTGAACAGTAAACCCGAGGATAAGACATATTTCAAATCTTCAGGATCACTTTCTGGTTTCCGGGGTCGCTTCATCGTAACATATACTGGACAAGAATAGTTAGGGATATATGTAAATTTTGAAATTATGAATAATGATCTATTTATTCATTCACACACTGATAAAATATCCCTAACTTATTTTGCCCAGTATATATAATTTCAGATCGATTTACATTATTGAATACTGGTACTGATGAATTCACCAAAGTTGTAAACGTCTCAGACCTGAATGAGTCCTGGTTTTCACACACAGATTGGATGCATGGCGCCTGCCCACCAGGAATACAGGACATGCTCTCCCCTTTCACGAATTACTGATTTCCTGTTGTCCCAACAATGTTTTCCGGGTTGTAATGCACTTTGGCTTGAATCGAATACATCAGTTATTCCTCTTCATGGTTGTTTTACATTTCCTCTGACAATGAGAAAATGTTCATAACATGTTAAAACCTACTCCATTATTCGCACACTCAATCATTGATGTTCAGTAACCCATGCTTGTCGTAAGAGGCGACTAATGGGATCGGGTGGTCAGGCTCGCTGGCTTGGTTGACACATGTCATCGGTTTCCAATTGCGCAGATCGATGCTCATGCTGTTGATCACTGGATTGTCTGGTCCAGACTCGATTATTTACAGACTGCCACCATATAGCTGGAATATTGCTGAATCTTGCGGCGTAAAACTAAACTCACACACTCATTCACTCAATTATTCATGTAGTCATTTTTTATCAATTAGATTGTAAGCGGCCTGCTATTGAATGCACAATGTCATTCAGAAAGTAATCAAATGTTGTGTGTAATATAATTTCTTAATTTTTATAAAACTGGCAACAATTAATGTTTATGCTTCATACTTAGATTTACTATAGATAACTAATTTTGGAATATTCAGTTCATTCTTCAAAAGGAAACATCGGCTTCTGTTTGGTATTTCCCGTACCATCTTTTCAGAATTTATAAATACCTTGTGACTTTGGGTAATAGCGGTAATAGCAGTACTGCTCTGATAGAGCCAAGAGTTAACACTGACATCAGAATTTGCTTTCACCAACTCGTGACATGAGGACTTGAGTTGTCCCATTTCCGGTTTGCTTGGTTTTGTGGGGAATACATCAACCTTATTTGAGCTCACCCTGGAGAGGCGTTCACCATCAGGCCATTTGTTACCCATCTATCCATCCATCTATACATACATCCATCCATTCACAATGCTACAGTCATCACCTTAACAATAGCATAATCACAAGATGTTGATTATTTACGCTTCTACTTTCGTTACTCGACCCAATACCATCATATGTATGTTTGCAGACAACAATGGCTGGCTTCCTGTCAATATTTAGACGCGCGTTGGATCAGGACATGGTGGACAATGTGAACGGATTCTGGTCGGTTCTTCTCTTCGCCCTGTGTTCGGTAGGAGCATTTCTAGTGCGATACGTTGCCGATCCTATACGCTGCTGGCATCCTGTGCATTGGACCCCTTCACACAGTTCATACGCCGACCAGGAGTGCTTTCTCAAAGACCGTTATTACGGAGCAATCCCATCTCTTGCTAGCCCACAGGGGCGGGAACCTGTACCCTCCTACCACCTCTGGATACCACTCATACTCGTCTTCCAAGCCCTTGCTTTTAAAGTACCGAACACACTCTGGAATGGCGTCAAACACTTACTCAGTCTCAACTTAGACGAAACTGTATCGTCCCTGAACAATGTACAACTCACCAATGCTGAAAATCGCCAGGCCATCTTCAGTGATGCAGCCCGGGTATTTGGAAGTCTGCTGAGAAGAAACCGACTTTTACTGGCTCTTCTGTACCTGTTTGTGAAGCTCCTCGCGTGTGTCAATCTGATAGCACAGTTGATGTTCCTGACAATATACTTCAGACAATACCTGGCAATCCGTGTTGGTTCCTCTGCAGGTTTTAATATGGACTCCATCATAAAACCATTGCTGATTAAAGATGTTTTGTGCGACTTTAGTGTGCGTATAATGGCAAACCTCCTAAGATTCACAGTTCAGTGCACTCTGCCAATCACCGAAATCTATGAGAAGATGTTCACATTCCTGTGGTACTGGGTCTTCCTCCTGGCTGTCATCACCGTCCTTAACCTTGTCCTGTGGGCAGGCTATCTATTCCTACCGTTCCTAAGAGATGGCAGAATAGCTGCCCACGTTAAAGCTGCCAAAGGATCTCGCCCAGATGAACACTCTATAACTCGATTCATAAGCAGTTTCCTGGGAATTGATGGTGTGCTTATCTTGTCCATGATCTCCCAGAATTCCAACGAGTTGGTTGCAGCAAATCTCACCCAACATTTATACAAGGTGTTTCAGGAGAAGGAGGAAGAATTTCATGCTCAGAGAGATCCCCTCACAGTAGAACCAGAAGGTGGCGCTGTCGTACCTGGAGCTACAGGAGCCGAAATAACTTTACCGATGAGTGATCTATCTCCTGGTGCCGAAAATCCCGAAAAACCGCCCATTGTGTGACAGCATAACTGGCGGGCAATCCCGAGCATGTATACTACTCAGGCTTTGCAAAGGGTTACACAAATCACAACTTCACTTGAACGTAGATTTATAATTTGAAATTGTATCCATTTAAAATTGGATAAATAATAATATGGTAACCCTTTATAGGCAAACACCCACTTTAATCTAACCTTATGCACTTGATACATGAGTAACTATAAAAAAGGTTTTCATGGCGCCAATCAACCATTTTGCAAATCATGGAACGAGTCGTCGAATAAACAACACATGTCAAATAGCAGGTATGGGATCCACAAGATGCAATGACATACTGAAACTACGGATCCATCCTTACAATAAGCTTAGGTATTTAAACCAAATTTGACCACACATAATAGTTTTCTGTTGAATCCATGATTTGATCCTTATCAAAGTGTGAATGACATATTTCACTAAAATGTCAGGTGGTCGAACAACCTTGTACTGAAAGCGATTCCGTGTCAGGCATAACTCCTTGGATCGAGCAAGTTTTACGGTACATTGTGTTAATTAAATTCAGTAAAGACCATTTTTGATATCTCTTCATGCTGGGCCCGTAAGTCCCGCGAGGCACTACATCCGGAATCAGATTTCCGGTGACAAGCGTTTTTTCACCAGTTATTTCTGATTCCAATTCGCATGAATGCCAAATATGAGTTTACTACACCATAATGAGTCCATTTTTAATGCGCTAAACTTCAAACCAGAAAGTAAGATCACAGCAAAACAGGTTTGACTAGTTCACTAGTCACAGTATTTCTTGAAGAGCTGGATCTTTTGGTCTGACTTGAAAACATCAAGATTTGGCTCTCTTTTAATTTCTTCTGCAAGAGAATTCCAGTGGATTGCAGCTTGAGTGGAACATCAGTCTAAGTAAACTTAGGCTCAGTTTTATTCGTTACAGGTTCATTCTCCACTAAACGTGCATTTAACAGATAATGGTGTCGCTTTGGGATAGTTATAAAATGTTTTGTTGGTAATGGGCAATTGATACTCCAAAGTGTACCTTATGATACGACAGTGTCAGAACATGTTTAACGGAAGTTATAGAAACGGATTATATTTACTTTCAGGCTCTTAAATGTGCCAGTTTTACATAAATATACATGTCGCCAACCAACAGTGCAGTTACATTTATACATGTCATATTCGAAATAGTGAACATATTTTCTAAATATTAGGTTTTAATGTTGTCTCGATAACATAAGAATATATTTAGTACGATTCCAATACCTAAGTATGTCAGTGTTTTTCAAGCCAGGCTCAGAGGTAGGTGTCGCCAAAATAACTGACAGATACGTTACCAAAAATCATGTTGCATTATGAAATCAAAATTGAAGGTATATAACAATACTTATAATGTCATCTCAACCGCAAATGAACATAAAACAATATTTAACAATCAGTTGAAAGACGCATGCTTTCACAATATTATGTTTTTTGAGAGAGTACTCTCAACTGTAACAAGTACGCGAAAATATCACCAGATACGTTACATATGTTGCTTCCCATTTTGGAATGAATCGTCTTACATTCATCGACTCTCATACATGACCATCGTGCATGGAGTTTGGTGAGTAGTCTGGGGGTTATGGCCCTTTTCTGGCTTTAACTGTTTGTCCAACACATCTAAATACATGTTATGTCCAACAGATACGTTATGAACAGATACGTTACCAATACGTTACCACCGTGTCAAAATTTGAATTTTCCGCGTTAAGAACTCACGTTTGACGTGATAATTAACGATGTTTTTATCACAGAAGCATTTCTGGTTCCTAGGAAGGACGCACGAGAAGGAACGTCACCTATCTGAAAGGTATGCATTTATTATCCATGCAGTCTCGGATCATCACCAGTCTAAACGTTGAAAAAACATGCTATATTGGGGTTTTGTTATGTTAACTATTTAATGCAAAGTTTATTTATAAATTGCGATTCTAATTAGCTTACTGTTAAAACATGCATTGGTGATTTACTGAAGTCTTTCATAGTAACGTATCTGTTGCATTTGGTAACGTATCTGTTGCACATTTTCAACTGTACATTCTATCAGATTTTACTAACTTTACAAGATGGTAAAGCATGAAATTCTAGTTTTGATAACCATCAACGATTCCTAAAGTCTAAATGGGGTTTTACTTTCAGGTTCAGACAGTCATGGCCAAAACAGGAGTAGATATTAAAAAAGCCTATTGCGAACGCAAAAAGAAATCTGATGATAACCAACGTAACTGAACCAGATACTACAGCTACTACAGTACTGCAGCATTTCAGTTAGGAGTATCAAACCCATCAGTACCACCTCTTGTGTAGCTACACAATACAAAGTGCTCCTTGATCTGAAAATGAATTTGCCCCAAGGACATTCCCTGATACAGATGGACTTTGCAGACTTTATATGCCAGACCATGGATGCAATTCAGTCCGCATATTGGAATGCTACAGTAGCTTCATTACACCCAGTTTTTTTATTTCAGGAGTGACACAGTTTATCGAGTTTCGGTTTACGCAGTACTCAGCAATATTCCAGCTATATGGCATCAGGAGTGACACAGAAGACCTAATTCATAAGAATTGGTTTATGTGTCAGATATAAGCTATCATAATGCTAATGGTGAGATTGTCGTGCAGAAGCTGATACCTGAATTGAAAAGAATTCTATCCAAAGCTCACGGATATCCATTACTGAACCTATAGTCCATCTTTCCAGTACAGAAACAGGTTTATGTTCAACATCATTGCAAACCACACAGACTATTTTGACAACATCCGAGCCAGATAGAATTATTTTTGGTATGGACATGGTAAAGGTCCATGCGATGGGATAGAGGGGACATCTAAACGTATGGCAGCACATGCTATCAAACAAGGCATAGGTACAATTCAGGATGCCCGTAATCATTACAAATGGCATCTGAGGATGAGACATCATTCCGGTATATTTTCTACTCCCAGGATGAGTATGATGCTGCAGCAGCCTATCTTGCCTCACTGAAATCTAAGACAGTCCCTGGAACTATGAAGATTCATGATGTACAGTCTTCTGGAGACAGGGTTATCTATGTTCGGGAGACATCTTGTTACTGTGACAACTGTCTGAACTGGAATCAACTATGTGACGGATGGATTGTCCATGAGCAGATACGTGACAATTTGACTCTTGGTGAAAATAGTTTCCTGCAGAGGTTAAGTTAATATATTTTCATCTTTCTGTTCTTTGACCGTGTTGTGCACAGACAAATGCCTCACCTGGAGGAATATGTACATTCTTGGTTCAGTTCCCTTTTTTATGAAGAAAATATTATATTTGTAAACATTGAATAAATAGAGGAAGTTGTTAGTTCTTTTCACCCAAACACTGTTTGGCATACTTCAAAGTGCAACATGTACCCACTGGACATGTGTTTTGTACTACAAGAGGTATCAACAGTTCAATAAAAAACATCAATATCTGATATGTGCATGTTGTTTTGTATATAGTTCTCTCAACTAACAAGTGATGTAGTAACGTGTCTGTCCATACGCAAAAGGGGTATATGAATGTTGACCACTACACTGCTATACTGAGTCTAACAAAACCTTGTGGAAGGTGGCGTCAGGTAACCTTTGAGCGACCTATGACCGTCCAATCAAACGCGAGACGACAGAACGGATTTAACCAATCAGACAACGGTTACTATTTAGGGTTCGGCGGGACTTACAAAATGGATTTTCTCTTACCCGGTCACCAACACTGATCTCACAACAAATGAAAACCCGCATAAAACACAGATATATGATCTGCAGAATATACGCTTTTGGGTTTCTGTTGACATGGTCATCATTAGCTAATATTTCCGCAAGCTGACAGCCTTGAATACTGACAAAACGCAATTTTCTGTGACTGTTTACTCACTGTTGTGGCGTGCTCCTTGTGCACCACTCGGAAGCGATCGTACGGAAAATAGCATTCGGAATCGTTCGACTACAAAACTTTTTCGAGGTGAAAGTTCAAAAGGTTTGTGCGAATGTCAGCTTTCGCGATTTAGTAAGCTGTGTTCTGATTGGTCTGTTGAAAAGGTTACCTGACGCGACCTTCCGTAAGGTTTTGTTAGACTCAGTATAGCAGTGTAACGAATAATACTGAGCCGAAGTTTACTTAGACTGAGTGGAAAATCGTCTGTAGCCAAATCCTTTAAGTCGCACTTATGGACGACACAGAGAATCTCTTAGTGTTCTGTTTGGGAGATATTGCTTAATCAGCTCACAGAGATAAGGTTGCGCTGTAGACATATATTTGTGAGTGTTAGAACAGTGTTTCGAATTTTATCCTGGCTTGAATGGGCAACCAATGTAGAGTTGATGAACTGGATCAATGCGGGATAACAAAGGTGTAGGAGTCGCTATGCGTGCTGCAGTGCTCTGTAGGCGTTGAAATCTTGAAATGGATTCTCGTGATATTCAAGACAATAAACAATTGCGGTAGTCTAGCCTAGCAAATATGAGGGAGCGGACCAAAGCTGGACAGCATCCTTGGTTATCAGGTGTCTGATGGTGCTGACATTCCTGAGATGGAAATGAGGTATTCTGCAAAGGGGGCCAAGTGGATGTCATAGCTGCTGACTAATGTGGGGATAACGTCGGATATTTCGTATACCTGCAAGAATATCGGTTCCCTACTGACCATTGACAAACCACTCGAAAAGATATGAATACTTTACTTTACCTATCATTTAATGCTGACAACCGGTGCAGTTTTATTGGCCAGACGTGTGGTTTTTAGACAGTGTTATAATATTTATTGTTGGAAAATCAATGCCATGGATTTGTAAACGTGAAATGTATTTAAGTAAACTGCATTTATTGAATGTTTTAGTAATGATATTTATATAACAGTCAGTTGGTATGGGGTTCTGTCTGCACGCAACAAAAACAAACTTTACAAAATTGTTAAAACTGCCAGCAAAATTGACACAAACTTATGCTCTTTCAATACTGGGTCATACCCACTTTCAAATAAAGTATATAATTTCCAAATTAGAACTTTTTTTTTTTTATGTTCAATTTATTATTTAGTTTCTAAATATATTTGCTATGCTGTAACGATATTTTGACTAACTGTTCCAAAGAACACATGTTTACATTTGATAGGAACATTTTTATAAACATAATCGCTTTCTCGCTTTCTTGCTTTCTCGCTCTATTGCTTTCTCGCTCTATCGCTTTCTCACTTTCTCGCTTTCTCGCTCTATCACTTTCTTGCTCTATCGCTTTCCTGCTATATCGCTTTCTCGCCTTGGTATGTCGCTTTCTCGCTATATCGCTTTCTCGCTTTCTCGCTCTATCGCTTTTCGCTATATCGCTATATCTGGCTTTGGTATCGCTTTCTGGCTCTATCGCTATCTGGCTTTCTCGCTTTCTCGCGTAATGGTATTGCTTTCTCATCTCGTGCTATCGCTTTCTCGTCTCGTGTTATCGCTTTCTCGTCTCGCTTTCTCGTCTCGTGCTATCGCTTTCTCGTCTCGTGCTATCGCTTTCTCGTCTCGTGTTATCGCTTTCTCGTCTCGTGATATCGCTTTCTCGCTTTCTCGCCTCCGAATTTTAAGGCGAGAAAGCGATGGCCCTAATCAGCCACGGCCCTAATCAGCCACCATAGTGGACACCATAAATGGGCTTCACACATAGTACCCATGTGGGGATTCGAACCCGGGTCTTCGGCGTGACGAGCCAACGCTTTAACCACTAGGCTACCCCACCGCCCCAAAGGTCTAACGGCAGATGACTGAATGTCTGTGTGCATGGGTTTTATTTAGGTTTTTCTTAACCATAAGGAACATATATTTATATTCATAGACGCCATTATTTTGCAATAGCCTCACGTGAATGGGAATTTTCCCATACACGGCCAACAATTGAGTGAGTGAGTGAGTGAGTTTAGTTTTACGCCGCACTCAGCAATAATCCAGCTATATGGCGGCGGTCTGTAAATAATCGAGTCTGGACCAGACAATCCAGTGATCAACAACATGAGCATCGATCTGCGCAATTGGGAACCGATGACATTTGTCAATCAAGTCAGCGAAACTGACCAACCGATCCCGTTAGTCGCCTCTTACGACAAGATAGTCGCCTTGTTATGGCAAGCACATGGGTTGCTGAAGACCTATTCTACCCCGGATCTTCACGGGTCCATGGCCAACAAACTACACAAAGTAAAATTTCATGTGAACGTGTGCAGATTGATATGTCTAGTATATGGTCTCTGGCTAGAGCAATCATGAACACCATCTAAATAAAGCAGACAACAGACAAGGGAGACGACTCTACATTAGCAATCAACGAGCCCAAATTATCTGAGTGAGTGAGTTTAGTTTTACGCCGCGTTTAGCAATATGTCAGCATTATCACGGCGGGAAACACCAGAAATAGGTTTCACACATAGTTCCCATGTCGGGAGTCGAACCTGGATCTTGGGTGTGACGAGCTTTATCCACTAAGCTACCCCACGTTGTCCTGATACACCCAAATACCCTCACTCATACATTCCCCTGTATTTGATCTACACATTGCCTACTCGTATGGAAACTGATTGACATAAATGGCTCAATTGGAAATAATGAGGAATAATTGTAGAAGGGGTCATTATGGCCTCGCTCGGTCTACAAAACTGACATCACCAGCGTTATTCTCTGTATACAGCTTGTACTACCAGAGGTGAAAGCATCGCTTGTTGAACAGTAAGCCCGTGGACGGACAAGACATATTTCAAAACTCCAGGATCACTTTCAAATTTCCAAGTTTTGGGATCGCTTTATTGTAAGTTGTTTATTTTTAGATCAAAATACATATTGAATACTGGTACTGATGAATTCACCAAAGTTGTAAGCATTTCAAACCTGCGCATGCATCAAGTTTTCAAGTTTGGCTTTCACACAAACAATGGATGCATGACGGGTGCTAACGGGAAAGCAGGAAATACTCACCCTTCGTGAACACCTGGTGTCATCACTGATTTTCAGTAGTCCATATATGTTGTTGCAACTGCATGACTTTGGGACGAACATAATCTGTCTGAAGACAAGTTACTCTTGAGATTGTAAATTTCCACCCGCTGAAACTGGTGCATTGTGACAAAAGTGACAAAATGTTCAGAAACGGCCCAAATTTACTCACTCACTCACTCACGCAGTCACGTTATTGCAACGTTATTCAGGCATTGTTCTCATGCCAGGAGTCTTGGGTGTGACGAGAGGACTACTATGCTAACCCACCACTGTCCTAATTCACTGGACATATGGTACATTTCCCTGGGTTTAATTTACACATTGTTCTACTTGTGTGATTAAAACCTGGAAACTGACTGGGACAATTGGTTCAGTTTGAAAAGTGAGAGTTAATTGTAGAAACTAATTGATCATCGGTCGGTCAGCTTAACCAACATTACTGTACACAACAGCTTTACCTTGCGTTTCTATGTCAACAGCTTGAGCTTCCAGAGGTAAAAGCTGAACAGTGATCAATAGACATATTTCAAATCTTCAGGATCACTTTCTGGTTTCCGGGATCGCTTCATCGTAACATATACTGGACAAAAATTGTTAGGGATATATGTAAATTTTGAAATTGTGAATAATGATCTTTTTATTCATTCACACACTGATAAAATATCCCTAACTTATTTTGCCCAGTATATATAATTTCAGATCGATTTACATTATTGAATACTGGTACTGATGAATTCACCAAAGTTGTAAACGTCTCAGACCTGAATGAGTCCTGGTTTTCACACACAGATTGGATGCATGGCGGCTGCCCACCAGGAAGGCAGGACATGCTCTCCCCTTTCACGAATTACTGATTTCCTGTTGTCCCAACAATGTTTTCCGGGTTGTAATGCACTTTGGCTTGAATCGAATACATCAGTTATTCCTCTTCAAGGTTGTTTTACATTTCCTCTGACAATGAGAAAATGTTCATAACATGTTAAAACCTACTCCATTATTCGCACACTCAATCATTGATGTTCAGTAACCCATGCTTGTCGTAAGAGGCGACAAATGGGATCGGGTGGTCAGGCTCGCTGGCTTGGTTGACACATGTCATCGGTTTCCAATTGCGCAGATCGATGCTCATGCTGTTGATCACTGGATTGTCTGGTCCAGACTCGATTATTGACAGACTGCCACCATATAGCTGGAATATTGCTGAATCTTGCGGCGTAAAACTAAACTCACACACTCATTCACTCAATTATTCATATAGTCATTTTTATCAATTAGATTGTAAGCGGCTGCTTTTGAATGCACAATGCCATTCAGAAAGTAATCAAATGTTGTGTGTAATATAATTTCTTTCTTTTCATAAAACTGACAACAATTTCTGTTTATGTTTCATACTTAGATTTAAGAGAGATTACTAGTTTTGGAATATTTAGTTCATTCTTCAAAAGGAAACATCGGCTTCTGTTTGGTATTTCCCATACCATCTTTTCAGAATGTATAAATACCTTGTGACTTTGGGTAATAACGGTATAGCAGTACTGCCCTGATAGAGCCAAGAGTTAACACTGACATCAGAATTTACTTTCACACACTCGTGACATTAGGACTTGAGTTGTCCCATTTCCGGTTTGCTTGGTTTTGTGGGGAATACATCAACCCTGATTTGAGCTCACCCTGGAGAGGCGTTCACCATCAGGCCATTTATTGCCCATCCATCCATCATCCATCCATCCACATCCACAATGCTACAGTCATCACCTTAACAATAACATAATCACAAGATGTTGATTATTTACGCTTCTACTTTCGTTACTCGACCCAATACCATCATATGTATATTTGCAGACAACAATGGCTGGCTTCCTGTCAATATTTAGACGCGCTTTGGATCAGGACATGGTGGACAATGTGAACGGATTCTGGTCGGTTCTTCTCTTGGCCCTGTGCTCGGTAGGAGCATTTCTAGTACGATACGTTACTGATCCTATAAGTTGCTGGCATCCTGTGCATTGGACGTCTTCACACAGTTCATACGCCGACCAGACGTGCTTTCTCACAGACCGTTATTACGGAACAAACCCATCTCTTCCTAGCCACCAAGTGCGGGAACCTGTACCCTCCTACCACCTCTGGATACCACTCATACTCGTCTTCCAAGCCCTTGCTTTTAAAGTACCGAACACCATCTGGAACGGCGGCAAACACTTACTCAGTCTCAACTTAGACGAAACTGTATCGTCCCTGAACAATGTACAACTGACCAATGCTGAAAATCGCCAGGCCATCTTCAGTGATGCAGCCCGGGTATTTGGAAGTCTGCTGAGAAGAAACCGACTTTTTCTGGCTCTTCTGTACCTGTTTGTGAAGCTCCTCTCGTGTGTCAATCTGATAGCACAGTTGATGTTCCTGACAATATACTTCAGACAATACCTGGCAATCCGTGTTGGTTCCTCTGCAGGTTTTAATATGGACTCCATCATAAAACCATTGCTGATTAAAGATGTTTTGTGCGACATCAGTGTGCGTAAGATGACAAACGTCCAAATATTCACAGTTCAGTGCACTCTGCCAATCACCGAAATCTATGAGAAGATGTTCACATTCTTGTGGTACTGGGTCTTCCTCCTGGCTGTCATCACCGTCCTAAATCTTGTCCTGTGGGCAGGCTATCTATTCCTACCGTTCCTAAGAGATAGCAGAATAGCTGCCCACGTCAAAGCTGCCAAAGGATCTAGCCCAGATGAACACTCTATAACTCGATTCATAAGCAGTTTCCTGGGAATTGATGGTGTGCTTATCTTGTCCATGATCTCCCAGAATTCCAACGAGTTGGTTGCAGCAAATCTCACCCAACATTTATACCAGGTTTTTCAGGAGAAGGAGGAAGAATTTCATGCTGAGAGAGATCCCCTCACAGTAGAACCAGAAGGTGGTGCTGTCGTACCTGGAGCCACAGGAGCCGAAATAACTTTACCGATGAGTGATCTATCTCCTGGTGCCGAAAATCCCGAAAAACAGCCCATTGTGTGACAGCATAACTGGCGGGCAATCCCGAGCATGTATACTACTCACGCTTTGCTAAGGATTACACAAATCACAACTTCACTTGAACGTAGATTTATAATTTGAAATTGTATCCATTTAAAATTGGATAAATAATAATATGGTAACCCTTTATAGGCAAACACCCACTTTAATCTTACCTTATGCACTTGATACATGAGTAACTATAAAAATGGTTTTCATGGCGCCAATCAACCATTTTGCAAATCATGGAACGAGTCGTCGATTAAACAACACATGTCAAATAACAGGTATGGGATCCACAAGATGCAATGACATACTGAAACTAAGGATCCATGCTTACAATAAGCTTAGGTATTTAAACCAAATTTGACCACACATAATAGTTTTCTGTTGAATCCATGATTTGATCCTTATCAAAGTGTGAATGGCATATTTCACTAAAATGTCAGGTGGTCGAACAACCTTGTACTGAAAGCGATTCCGTGTCAGGCATAACTCCTTGGATCGAGCAAGTTTTACGGTACATTGTGTAAATTAAATTCAGTAAAGACCATTTTCTCAACTTTGATATCTCTTCATGCTGGGCCCGTAAGTCCCGCGAGGCACTACATCCGGAATCAGATTTCCGGTGACAAGCGTTTTTTCACGAGTTATTTCTGATTCCAATTCGCATGAATGCCAAATATGAGTTTACTACACCATAATGAGTCCATTTTTAATGCGCTAAACTTCAAACCAGAAAGTAAGGTCACAGCAAAACAGGTTTGACTAGTTCACTAGTCATAGTATTTCTTGAAGAGCTGGATCTTTTGGTCTGACTTGAAAACATCAAGATTTGGCACTCTTTTAATTTCTTCTGCAAGAGAATTCCAGTGGATTGCAGCTTGAGTGGAAAATCAATCTAAGTAAACTTAGGCTCAGTATTATTCGTTACACTGCTATACTGAGTCTAACAAAACCTTGTGGAAGGTGGCGTCAGGTAACCTTTGAGCGACCTATGACCGTCCAATCAAACGCGAGACGACAGAACGGATTTAACCAATCAGACAACGGCTACTATATAGGGTTCGGCGGGACTTACACATTGGATTTTCTCTTCACCGGTTACCAACACTGATCTCACCACAAATGAAAACCCGCATAAAATACAGAAGCTGACCGGAACATCGCCATCGGACGTCTTGAAGCTGGCGAATCTCAGTCATCAGTTGCAAAGACACTTCAAGCGTGCATCACACAACAATTTCCCGTTTATGGAGGCGCTACAATCAACTGGGCTCGACCCGCGACCGACCTCGGAGTGGTAGACCACGGGTAACCAATGCTGCACAGGACCGCTACATCCGGGTGTTCCATTTACGTAACCGGGCCGTCCCAGCAACACAAACAGCAGAGAACGTCCCAGGTCTTCGCCCGCGTCTCCGCTTGAACCATCAGAAATCGCCTCAGACAGCACGGGATACGCCCTCGACGACCTCGTAGGATGCACACTACGACCTCATCATCGCCTGGCACTAGTTCGATGGTGCAGGAACGTCCAGAGATGGAATTGGAGACATGTGGCAGCGAATTTGGTTCAGCGACGAATCTCGTTTCCAACTTCAAAGACACGATGGTAGGACGAGGGTCTATAGACGAAGAAAACGAACGTTACGCCCGTAATTGTGTAGTTGAAGCGGACAGATTTGGAGGAAGTGTGATGGTATGGGGGCCATTTCTTACAACGGGAAGTGACTTGGTGCACGTCCGTGGTAACCTGACTGCAATTCGTTACAGGGATGAAATTCTGCAACGTCATCTTTTACCTGTCATCAACCCTCAACGTCACGTTTTCCAACAGGACAACGCCAGACCGCACGTGGCTCGCATCACGATGGACTACCTGACAAATCAGAACATCACAGTTCTTCCCTGGCTTCAAAATCCCCCGATTTGAACCCAATAGAGCATTTGTGGGACCAGCTTGGGAAACGCGTTCGACGTCGTCAGCCTCAACCCCAAACGTTGCAACAACTGTCTCAAGCCTTGCAGGAGGAATGGAGGAGGATCCCCAAGCACGGATTCAAAGACTGATCATGTCCATGGACAGGAGGTGCCAAGCTGTGTTGCAAGCTCAAGGTGGTCACAACAGGTGCTGACCTCCACGCCATCTGTACGCCCGGTGCAATGGTTTCAGAGACAAATGATAGCTGCATGTTGTAAAGCTGACTCTTGACAACATCCATGTGAAATTTTACGTTCGTGCGATCATTAGTTAAAGTTTTATTTGGAAACAAAATAAAGTGTTTACATTCCTGAGTTTTCACCTGTGCGTTTCTTTTTGCAGAGTATACAAATATATGATCTGCGGAATATACGCTTTTGGGTTTCTGTTGACATGGTCATCATTAGCTAATATTTCCGCAAGCTGACAGCCTTGAATACTGACAAAACGCTATTTTCTGTGACTGCTTACTCACTGTTGTGGCGTGCTCCTTGTGCACCACTCGGAAGCGATCGTACGGAAAATAGCATTCGGAATCGTTCGACTACAAAACTTTTTCGAGGTGAAAGTTCAATAGGTTTGTGCGAATGTCAGCTTTCGCGATTTAGTAAGCTGTGTTCTGATTGGTCTGTTGAAAAGGTTACCTGACGCGACCTTCCGTAAGGTTTTGTTAGACTCAGTATAGCAGTGTAACGAATAATACTGAGCCGAAGTTTACTTAGACTGAGTGGAAAATCGTCCGTAGCCAAATCCTTTAAGTCGCACTTATGGACGACACAGAGAATCTCTTAGTGTTCTGTTTGGGAGATATTGCTTAATCAGCTCACAGAGATAAGGTTGCGCTGTAGACATCTATTTGTGAGTGTTAGAACAGTGTTTCGAATTTTATCCTGGCTTGAATGGGCAACCAATGTAGAGTTGATGAACTGGATCAATGCGGGATAACAAAGGTGTAGGAGTCGCTATGCGTGCTGCAGTGCTCTGTAGGCGTTGAAATCTTGAAATGGATTCTCGTGATATTCAAGACAATAAACAATTGCGGTAGTCTAGCCTAGCAAATATGAGGGAGCGGACCAAAGCTGGACAGCATCCTTGGTTATCAGGTGTCTGATGGTGCTGACATTCCTGAGATGGAAATGATATATTCTGCAAAGGGGGCCAAGTGGCTGTCATAGCTGCTGACTAATGTGGGGATAACGTCGGATATTTCGTATTCCTGCAAGAATATCGGTTCCCTACTGACCATTGACAAACCACTCGAAAAGATAAGAATACTTTACTTTACCTATCATTTAATGCTGACAACCGGTGCAGTTTTATTGGCCAGACGTGTGGTTTTTAGACAGTGTTATAATATTTATTGTTGGAAAATCAATGCCATGGATTTGTAAACGTGAAATGTATTCAAGTAAATTGCATTTATTGAATGTTTTAGTAATGATATTTATATAACAGTCAGTTGGTATGGGGTTCTGTCTGCACGCAACAAATACAAACTTTACAAAATTGTTAAAACTGCCAGCAAAATTGACACATACTTATGCTCTTTCCATACTGGGTCATACCCACTTTCAAATAAAGTACATAATTTCCAAATTAGAACTTTTGTTTGTTTTTTGTTCAATTTATTATTTAGTTTCTAAATATATTTGCTATGCTGTAACGATATTTTGACTAACTGTTCCAAAGAACACATGTTAACATTTGATAGGAACATTTTTATAAACAAAATCAATGGAGACTATCAATGAAAAAAAATAATTTATTGAATAATTGATGTAAATAGTTTGTAAATCCATCATGAAGAATATGATAATGCAGATGCAATATTTTGTGCGCTTTCGGGAGGCTTACCATATACTGACTTGAGCCCTGTTACAAAAGGTGACAGTCACAGTAAATCTACGAATTGGACTTAGTACAGAGTATGGAGGAAGGCACTGACGATGTGTTGCATTATATTAGAATGTAGTAGCCCTGGAGGAGAATTTCAAAAGGGGCCTAGAAATAGGATTCCGTAGCCTCCGAAATACTGATTTTATTTGACATTCTTTTCAGTTAGTATCATGTCTTGGGCTCATGAAATGGCCTGTAATACTCTCAGATTGTGGTATCAGTTTTTTTACACACCATTATATGTGTTACTGGTCTGCGAGCATTTTCGCCACATTTGGTTTGCTGCCAGAAAACACCTCCAAGTTAATCATGGATAGTTTTACAACTATCAATCTGATCACTTTCATTTTGACTTCTGTGTATTGCTAAAGGATGTAGAAATTATTTGACATATTTTTGTTTTAGGAAAATAAGTAAAAATGGCCGCAATTTTGTGTTGTCGTATTTTGCCTTCTCAGCGCTTAAATTTGCATAAAAATGAACACCGAATGTTTCCATTTACATCCACAGTTGATACTTTTGATGGATTTTTTACACTTGTCTCTCCTAGAGTGATGGCTTGGTAAACTTGTTTTGTTTACAAGAATAATGTTAACTTTCAATGAATAGATCACCACCACACATTTCCATGAAAAGTTGGAGAATCGCTAAAATACCCCTGTCTCAAAGAATAAGCTGTAAAACATCATATTACCACAAGATGACCATACAAATGATTTTTTTTGTGTGCCCAAGCCATTACTCTAGGAGAGACAAGTGTCAAAAACATCAAATTAATCAACATTCAGTGTATATTTTTTCTGTAAATTTAAGCGCTGAGAAGGCAAAACACAACAAATGAAAATGGCGGCTAAAATGTACACATTGCCCTACTCGTATGGAAACTGATTTACTTAAGTGGCTCAATTTGAGATAATGGCGGATAATTGTAGAAGGCATCAAAATATGGCCTCGCTCGGTCTACCAAACTGACATCATTTCACAAGCCAGCGTTATTCTCTGTCAACAACTTCTGCTACCAGAGGTGAAAGCATTGCTTGTTGAACAGTTGACCCGAGGACAAGACACATTTCAAATCTCAGGGATCGCTTCATTGTAAGTTGTTTATTTTGAGATCAATGTACATATTGAATACTGTACTGATGAATTCACCAAAGTTGTAAACATCTCAAACCTGCGCATGCATCGGGTTTTCAATTTTGTCTTTCACACAAACAATGGATGCATGGCGGGTGCTAACGGGAAAGCAGGAAATGCTCGCCCTTCGTGAACACCTGGTGTCATCACTGATTTTCAGTGGTTGTTGCAACTGTATTCATTTGGGACGAACATACTCTCTCGAAGTTAAAAATAATTTTGTAAATATCCACCCGATAAAACTGATACCCTGTGACTAAAGTAACAAAATGATCAGAAAGGGTTCAAACCTGATTACGCTGTTGCTTCCACGCACTCAAAAAGTGAGGGCATGAGTCGTCCCGTCCATTTCCAGTATATTTGAGGCTGACGGTGTGGCAACGGTGTTTTCCTCGTGTTGCTCTGTAAAGAATCTTTTACACCAAGGAAGATACTGACTAGCCCTGACTGAGTGATGTATGTGTCGTTGAGTGGAATAAACCCAATGTGGAGAGGCGTTTTATCGTGCCATTTATTCATTTATCCATCCATCCATCCAGGTGAGGTGAGGTGCGGCGAGGCGAGGTTTAATGTCATGCTCCATATTATCACTTTTTCAAAGGTTTCATAGTAACATGAAACATGGGGTCCAACCTTCGTCTTTTTGCTATCTGAGCAGACTCTCCATTAGACTAACAACTAGTCTCTGAAATGAACATATTTTACTGAAAAAAGAAGTTCATAGTTAAAACAAATATAATATACTAGCCACATAAAGAAACTGTGCATTGTCAAAATATTATCCCAGTTGATAAGTACGATAACAATGTCAAAGGTACATATAAACTTTAATGGAGGGATCATGAGACCATAACAATTCGGGAGAATTTCAATTGAAAAGTCAATCACAATGACGTCACGAGTCCACAAGCGGGCAGGGGTCAAACGACCATGTCAATAGCTCAATAACGGGTATGTCCACCATCGGCATTGAGAACAGCAGTGCATCGACGACGCATAGAGCCTATCAAACGTGCAAGGAAGGCTTGTGGGATGTCACGCCAGATTCTCTAAAGTTCTGTTGCATTGTCAAGGACGTTATCTGGCGGATGAGGAAGACGGCGGATACGTCGATCCATCTCGTCCCAAACATGCTCTATCGGGGTGAATTTGCAGGCCAAGGCAATAAGTCAACGTTGTGGTGTTGCAAGAAATCCATAGCAACCCGTGCCGTATGAAAGCGGGCATTGTTCTGTTGGAATGTCTCTGAGTTTAAATCCTTATGTGTCTACACAGGTTTGATAAATTTAGATTTTAAACTTTTGTATGCACAGTTTCTCTATGTGCCTAATATATAATGAAATGGAGCCCTGAGACTTTCTAAGGGTAGCATCTCTGGATATTCCTGTCGCTGGACAACTGAATCCCAAAGTTATTTATATTCTCCAAAATCCAAAGGTTGTGTCTGCACTATATGTGGAAGTTTAATTGATGTCGCATATATATAATGTAACAAGCAGAAAAAGTCATCAATATCCCCCGCAATGGCAAAATACTCTTCATGTATATGTCAGTTAGTTATGACTATGTCAAATGTTTTGGTGTGTATATAGCATTGAGTGAGTGAGTTTTGTTTTAGTGCCACACTCAGCAATAGTCCATCCGTCTGTAAATAATAGAATCTGGACCAGATAATCCAGTGATCAATAGTTAAAAAAAATACTCAGATTGCTTGTCTGGAGTGAGAGGACAGGCAGAAGCAGGAGGCCTTGGCTCAGTGTGGGGTCTTGGGGAGTGGTGGGGGAAGCTCCCCATCAGTTAATATTAAACACTAGTGACAGCTAGAGATCAACTGATAATTACAAGCCATATTCTGGCTTGTGAATTCAGCATATTGGTACATACCCTGAAGCTGAGGAAATCTAGACTTGCAACATTTTCTAGACTTGAGTGGGCTTTTTTTGGATATATTTGCTACAGGGTCTGTACGACAGACTAACTCTCCACCAACTGGTCCAAATACCGAGTGTTTTTAGGGGCCATGTGTACTCTTCTGTCGTGATATTATCTCCCTAAATTCCTTACCCTACACAAAAGCATAATAACAATGTGTGGTATATTTACACTCCTACATTCCTTACTCTACGCAATAACATAATAAGTGTGTGGTATATTTACATTCCTGCACTCCTTACTCTACACAATAGTAATGCGTTGTATATTTACTTTCCTACATTTCTTACTCTACACAATACCATTATAACAATGCGTGGTATATTTTCACTCCTACGTTCTTTACTCTAGACATTAACAAATCATGGTATGTTTACATTTCTACATTCCTTACTCAACACAATAACAATGCGTTGTATATTTACATTCCTACATTCCTTACTCTACGGAATAACTAATATGGATGTGCTATATGTTTGTAGGCAAGAAATGGCTAGCTTCCTGTCAATATTCAGACGCGCGTTGGATCAGGACATGGTGGACAATGTGAACGGATTCTGGTCGGTTCTCCTCTTGGTCCTGTGTTCGGTAGGAGCATTTCTAGTGCGATACGTTGCCGATCCTATACGCTGCTGGCATCCTGTGCAGTGGACGTCTTCACACAGTTCATACGCCGACCAGGAGTGCTTTCTGACAGACCGTTATTACGGAACAAACCCATCTCTTGCTAGCCCACAGGGGAGGGGACCTGTACCTTCCTACCACCTCTGGATACCACTCATTCTCTTCTTTCAAGCCCTCGCGTTTAAAGTACCGAACACCATCTGGAACGGCGGCAAGCACTTACTCAGTCTCAACTTAGACGAAACTGTATCTTCCCTGAACAATGTACAACTGACCAATGCTGAAAATCGCCAGGCCATCTTCAGTGATGCAGCCCGAGTACTTGGAAGTCTGCTGAGAAGAAACCGACTTTTACTGGCTCTTCTGTACCTGCTTGTGAAGCTCCTCTCGTGTGTCAATCTGATAGCACAGTTGATGTTCCTGACAATATACTTCAGACAATACCTGGCAATCCGTGTTGGTTCCTCTGCAGGTTTTAATATGGACTCCATCATAAAACCATTGCTCGCTAAACATGTTTTGTGCGACATCACTGTGCGTATAATGGCAAACGTCCACATATTCACAGTTCAGTGCACTCTGCCGATCACCGAAATCTATGAGAAGATGTTCACATTCCTGTGGTTCTGGGTCTTCCTCCTGGCTATCATCACCATCCTTAACCTTGTCCTGTGGGCAGGCTATCTCTTCCTACCGTTCCTAAGAGATGGTAGGATAGCTGCCCACGTCAACGCTGCCAAAGGATCTCACCCTGACGAACGCTCTACAACTCGATTCATCAGCAGTTTCCTGGGAATTGATGGTGTTCTTGTCTTGTCCATGATCTCCCAGAATTCCAGCGAGTTGGTTGCAGCTAATCTCACCCAACATTTATACCAGGTGTTTCAGGAGACGGAGGAAGAACCAGACGTGGACGCTGTCGGACCAGGAGCAACAGGAACCGAAGTAAATTTACCGATAAGTGATCTATCCTCTTGAGCCGAAAATCCGGAGAAAGTGCCCATTGTGTAACAACATAACTGGTGTGCCACCAAGAGCCAGTATTTCACGGAAATGTTTCCTTGTCACGCATGACGCCCTGGTTATGTCAATTGTACGGTACATTGTGTAGAGACCATTTTCTCAACTTTGATATCTGTGGATATAGGGCCCGTAAGTGCAGCGAGGCACTACATCCGGAATGAGATTTCCGGTGACAAGCGTTTTTTCACGAGTTAGTTCTGATTCCAATTTGTACGACTGCCAAATATGAGGATCAAGTGTACTACAAGTGGCTGTCACAGCTGTTTAGCCGGATCATTGACTAATTTGGAGATAAGACGGGATATCTCTATTCCAGCAAGGCTGGGGGGAGGGGGTCACCCATTTGTTCGGGGGAGGTAGGATATTCATAAGTTATGTACACGTGTACAAAGGGGTGTCATAGATTTTGTACATGACATGCAGGATTTGAGGGGAGGGGGTTGTGTTGTGTAAATTTGTACAATTTGGGTGGGTGTGGGTTGTCATTCACATTGTACATGCTTCGCCATAAAATTCTTCATCACTCCTCAGCCATAAATTATGTACGGTCCCTTACTGACAATTTACATACTATTTGAACAGATATGAATACGTGTCTTTACCTATCATTTAATTTTGTCAACTGGTGCAGTTTTATCGTCCACACGTGTGATCTTTTAGACAGTGGTATAACATGGTATTGATGGAAACTCACTGGCATGGATTTGAAATGAAACGTGAAATACAATTTACTGAATGTCTTAGTAATAACAGGAACGTCATGTTGTTTTCATATTTGACCATATTGACTCTGTCATACCCATTTTAAATAAAATATGTAATTTCCAAATTAGAAGTTTCTTTTTTTGTCTTTTTAATTTTGTTGTTGTTGTTGTTTCTTTGTTTGTTGTTTGGTTTTTTGCTGTTTTTGTTGTTGTTGTTGTTGTTGTTGTTTTTTTTTTGGGGGTGTAATTAATTTTATGAACATAAAGACATGGAGACATTCAATGGATAAAGAATGGTCATTAATTATGGGTAATTATATCAATAGTTTGTAAATCCATCATGAACAAATATATTAATGCAATGCAACATTTTCTACACTTTCGGTAAGCTTAATAGATGATCTGACTCTCTTCCAAGTCTATAAGATGGCGGTGTGGAAGTTCAGGTGACAGAAATTAACAGAAATGACTAAAACTTGCAAGAAATATACTAAGCAGCAAAAAAACCGTCAGTTTTGTATTTTCCTTCGCAGAAACGGATAACTGTTAACTCATTTAATGTTTGATTATATAATTTTGACATCTCAAACTTTACCTGAGCAAAGACATTCCTTCCCAACTCATGTTGCACTTGCTGTTCACAAGGACCAGTCCTACAAAATGCACCCCAAACCTGGTTGAAACATTTACTTTACAACGTCAGCAGGACGCTGCGACTCACGACAGCTCAGAGGATTCAGGCGCTAGAAAGACTTGAAGCTGGCCACACTGCACATGCCGTTGCAAATCACTTCCAGGTCAACTTACGGACCATCTACAGGCTGCAGCAACGTTCCCGGGCCACCAACACCATAAATGATCGCCCCCCATTCTGCTACAGCAGAACGGTGTCAACATTATGCAGTGACCAGCCCTTAGTCCTGATTTAAACCCAATCTTTGGGATGGAATTCAGAGGAGACTGAATGATGTCATACCAAGGCCGAACACAGCTGATTTATTACGCCAGGCCTTTCTCAGAGTATGGTTCAAGGTGTCAATGGCCTTCATCAATCGATTGGTGCACTCCGTGCATAGACGCTGTGCTGCAGGTATTGCCGCTCGTGGTGGTCACACTAGATACTCAAGTCAAGAGTCTGAATGGACTGCAAACGTTCACGTAATGTCTTGGAATTGTGCTGAGTTATTCATTGATGTGTCAGGATATTGTACACCGAAAATGTTTTTGATCCGCTTATTATGTCTATTCCAGTAATGATTTGATTACAGTGCCTATCTAATTTTGAATTCGTACTGACGTGTGTTTTTTTGCTGCTGAGTATATATCATATTTTTCTTTGAAACGTTGACTGAAAATGAACTATATCCTTTATTTGTGATAGATAACAGACATTTTTGCATGCCTGCTAATTTTGCATTCTTCTGCCTGTAAATACATAGACCCCCTAACTATATCCTGAATATATAACAGTTCTAACAACATATCAAAGACTGTTCTATATGTGGCACTATGGTGGCCAATTGTATTTGTTGGCCACAGTGTCACAAATTAATCAATAGCTCAACAAAAAACACCAAGATGGCATGGTAACAATTCTGTCGGCCACTACTGTCAGGTATGTGAAACAAAAATATGAAAACATTCAGCCACATGCTTAATCATAATGAAACGCTTATTTATATAGTTATGTAAACAAGTTATTTATCGAATAACATACAAATTCTTTTGTCCAGTGATAAAAATAAGAATTGGTTGTAGGACAATATTTTTTACACTGGATCTCTAAAAAGGTCTCTATTTTTATACATACTGTCCAAATGTACTCCAGACCTCAAAACACCATATATTGCGGTAGAAACAACTTTTTGTACCTCAACATCATATGACCTCAACATCTCTTGGGGTCTTCTACAGAAAACATTATATCTTGTTAGCATCAGTGTGATAATATTGTAGGTTCTGTTCTGTGTTAAAAATGTTTTCAGCCATAACATTAATATATGGATTACAAGCATATTCTTAGGAATACAAAACGTGGATGTTTGTTTAATTGCCTTTTTATTTTCTTCTTTTGAAGTAATTTTAGTATGTACGTCAAGCCTTAATTAAAAATACAATGTTTCTGCACATTGCTCTTGGTCCTTTTTAGCTTTTATGTACAATACTTAGTTAAAATGGCGTTACTGTATCTGAAAACCATAATTTAAGAATATTTTTCTTCTCCTTAATTCTCTTGTTCATTAATATATGCTGACTTAAGCCCTGCTACCAAAAGCTACTGTCACAGTGAATCTAGGTATGGGGCTTAGTACAAAGTATGAAACAAGGCTCTGAAGGTGTGTTGCATGACATTAGAATGCGCGTCCACAGAAACTGTATTAGCCATTACAAGGATACTCCAGACCTCTGATGACTGACTGGCGTGATGGTCTCAGCATGATTCACCATATAATAGCCAGGTTCCTGTTATATTCAGATAGGTTTTCAGATGTAAAAGGTCAGGTTGGTACTTCCCTCAGTGTTGACAAACAAGCATGGCGTTGTCCTTGTCTACCTACAATAGAGTCAAAACAAACAACAGATGAGAAGTTACTGAGGTAAATGAAACTAATAGCTAATAGCTAATAGCATAAGTACTAATAGCATAAGATATAAGAATCAGTTTTATGACTTGGTCGTGTGTGAGACAATTTTGCTTGATTTACATAAATACATTGTGTTATCAAGGACAATGGCGGGATCAGTATCCATTCTAGTGTTTGTAGACCTTTCTGGGTTAATAATAGTAGTGATAAATGTGAATTCAAAATGCTCCTTTTCCATCTACAGGGCACATGCTCAAAGCGCTAACACACAATCTGATTGTTATTACCAAGGATAACCCAAGCTGGCTGGAATGTAAATAGTCATCTGACCAGTTTTTTCCAAAGGTTGTGTTTTACCTAAATATGGCCTTCAGCTAACCAGGTGTGTCATAAGTAGCGACTAACGGGATCGGGTGGACAGGCTCCCTGACTTGGTTGACACATGTTATCGATTCCCAATTGTGTAGATCGATGAGCATGCTGTTGATCTCTGGATTGTCTTGCCCAGACTCGATTATTTACAGACAGCTACATGACAGATGGAATATTGTTAAGTGTAGCGTTAAACAGCAAAACAAACAAACAAACAAACAGTGCTATTTCACTGAAGTTGTTATTTGAAACAGGACCCGTTTCGAAACGTACTAATCCATTTCAACGCCAGATACACAAGAACCGTTTACATGTACATGTATTTGGAATAATTGTACTTGTCTTCACTGGTCCATTAATATGGTTTCACAGCTATAGTTTGGCATGAAATGCATGTGGACCTGGTTTTTTGTAAATATCTCATGGCCTTCTGCAAGCATTCTGCGTTCTGCTGTTTATTTTGTTGACAGTTATATAGACAGATTCTTTAATACAAATGCATAAAATCGGTGATTTACAATGTGATTAGGTTGTCTGACAAAACATCCACTTGCACAGTTTAAGATCGATTGGGTCATTGGATGAAGAGATATTTACCCAAAAACGGGTCCACATGCATTTCATGCCAAACTATACCTTCGCGTTTGCACCTAACGGAACTTCTGGCTATTCACTGAACACTATCCAGGGGGAGGAGGTCATGAAATCTTTCACATACATTGGGAAGGTATGGAACAATGTTGCAGAAAATGCTGGGTGAGCGAAATACAATGCCATTCCAAAACATTCTTGTGTGAAATGTCAGCAGTGGCAATTTGCAACAATTATGTTATTTCTATGACATTAACTGGATAGGTTGATGTAAGTTTGGTGAAGGCCAAGCCCTATGTTGGTATTGCACATGTTATAAGCTTAACAATGACCTTTCAGACACGGCAGAGTGTTCGTTTAAATGAATATGTTACATTGCAGTATAGTTCTGCTGTTGGATGTAGAGGCTGGCCGAGTACGTTGTATGTGACCGCCTCCGTGGTTTTGTGGTTAAAGCGTCCGCCCGGAGAGCGGAAGGTCGCGGGTTCAATCCCCGACCGCGTCACACCAAAAGACGTTAAAATATGGTACTTGTTGGTCCCTGCCTGGCGCTCGGCATTAATGGGTACGACAAGGACTGGTCGGCTCGGAGTCAGTATAATGTGTCTGAGTGGGGTATTCATGCTTCACTGCGGCATGGTATCTTAGTGGGCTAGCACTATAAAACCAGCTTCAGTCTGGGCTAGTACAAGCAGCCGCACATACACATACACACGCATGCACGTCGTCATATGAGCGAAATATTCTCAAGCACAACGTTAAACCCAATTTCACCTCACCTCACCTCGCCGAGTACGTTGTGTACCAGAAAACAGGAGTTAAAGCGGCAACACAGCGCAGTTACATTGTATGTCGTTTTAAAGCCTCAGTGACAGCAGTTGTGTCGATGCAATTCCCTTAATTCACATTACATTCAGTGATTCTTGGTGGAGTTAGAATGTTTCATAATGTTCATTCTCAATAAATGATATTTACCACCTGAAAACACAGTTGCATGAAGAACATAGTCCCAAGGTTCCTGCTGAACTATTTCACAGAAAATGCAGGTTTTTTTTAAAGAACCATTATATTCCAACGAATATTGCACATAAACCGTTTTTCTCTTTGAGGATATTGCTTGGACGAAGAACTATATGAATATTCAGAGTAAATGTACATGTCTCTATTAATATAATGCATCTAATTGTGCCCTTTACAACAAACGAAAATTGTCTTTGAAGATTGTCAATTCTCTTGAACAGACGTTCTTCGTTTAAAGAGTATCTTCCATGTCCATGGAGGCTCTCTTTGACGATTTGAAAACAAATACATCCTTATTTCTTAATAAAACGATTTCTCTAGGGGATGTTTTTTTATTATAGGGGGTAGGTCTTGAAAACCATTTACATGTATTGGGACGGTATGTGGAAATGTTGCGAAATACGATGCCGTTCCTGAGCAAACTTGTGTGAAATGTCAGCAATGATAGAAATAACATAATAATTGCCAATTACCACTTCTGACATTTCCATAACCAGGCGATGAACTCTTTTAACAATCCACACATCATCCAAATTAACATCAAATTTAACAGGATCACGAAATCTTACTCTCTAAACTAACTCTTAGTCTCCAAAAAGACACAACTGTGGTCCAAACAGAAGAATCCCTAGTGAGATGGGATATTTGCTGAACCTGAAAAAATACAAGACTTGCTTCATTTGGGGGTTTTGGATTTCAGAAGGGATTAGACAGAATGGAAAATGATAGGTTTCTTGGACTGTGAGACTAAATCAAATTATGCAAATCACTGTATAATGTGAAACAAATGCCAACGTGTTTGTCCCGGCGAATAATTGACTTGACTTTGCGTGCATTTGTAACAAGTTCCTCCGGTGAAGTAGGATATGCTCACTAGTCTTGTTGCAAAACATATCATCTCTTTTGATACGAGATATTGTATGTCTGCCTTACTTTGTCAGGCACTGTTTTCGTGTTTTCAGTCATCTAAATTTATGTTGCCGCACACATAAATGTCATTTTCTGATTGGCTGAGCGCTCTGCTATTATTTTCAATGTACCCCGCTTACAAGCGAGTAACATTTTCTATGTACCCCGCTGGGAATGCCGAACTCATTTGGTACTTCATAGTGGTAATTCTTTATCTCGAATAACATTGAATCACGTATGATGTACGGGATTACCGATATTTTGCGAATGCAAATCGATGGAAGGGAGATAACTCTAAATTTGTTTTTCTTGTCGTTTTGTCGTCAGGAACTCCACACTATGATCCGATACCCGTGCTTCAAAGAGTTCAAAATTACAATTAAGGTGTTCGGTAAGATAAATACGTTGTTCACCGATCCCACGGGTCACATGGGATGATGTGCCTTCGATGTACATCAGACCATGACCCCTCGAGACCAGTGAACAACTTAAAATGTTCGTATATGATGAAATTCCAATGTATGCTATTTATATCCTTTGACGAAGAGACATTAGTTTTAAAGTTTACCATCCCAAACTAAAGATTGGTCCTTCATTGCTATCATGTATTTTCATAACAGGGGTTGCGTTCCCGTCATCAGGAGTGAGTTGTGTGAGCATGGTTTAACTCTGCTGTTAGCAATATTCCAGCAATGTCATGGCGGGGAATCGAACCCGGGTCTTCGACGTGACGAGCGAACGCTTTAACCCCACCGAACCTATCATCAGGACGGAAAACAGATGACTGAATGCTTGTGTGTGTTTTAATTACTGCATTTTACCTGATCACTAATAGGTTCATTTGAATGGGAATGTTTACACACACAGGCAACGGACTACACAAACTAACACTTCATGTTCGCGAACGTGTGCAGATGGATTTGTCGGAGGAAGGATGACCACCATTTTAAAAAAGCAGACCACAGACAAGAGAGACAACTCTACACGTCCAGTTGTCCAAATTATCTGAATGAGTGAGTATGGTTTTATGCCGCGTTTAACAATATGCCAGCAATATCAGGACGGGGAACACCAGAAAAAGGGTCCACACATAATTCCCATGGCGGGAGTCGAACCTGGGTTTTGGGTGTGACGAGCTTTATCCACTAACCTACCCTATGCTGTCCTGATACACGGTACTACCCTCTTGTTCTGTCAATTCCCCCCGTACATTCCCCTGTATTTGATCTACACATTGCCTTACTCGTATGGAATCTGATACACATAAATGGCTCAATTTGAAATAATGACGGATAATTGCAGAAGGGGTCATTATGGCCTCGCTCGGTCTACAAAACTGACATCGCCAGCGTTTTTCTCTGTCAACAGCTTGTACTACCAGAGGTGACAGCATCGCTTGTTGAACAGTAAGCCCGTAGACGGATAAGACATATTTCAAAACTCCAGGATCACTTTCAAATTTCCAGGTTTCGGGATCGCTTCATTGTAAGTTGTTAATTTTGAGATCAATATACATATTGAATACTGTACTGATGAATTCACCAAAGTTGTAAACATCTTAAACCTGCGCATGCATCGGGTTTTCAATTTTGGTTTTCACACAAACAATGGATGCATGACGGGTGCTAACGGGACAGCAGGAAATGCTCGCCCCTTCGTGAACACCTGGTGTCATCACTGATTTTCAGTGGTTGTTGCAACTGTATTACTTTGGGACGAACATAATCTATCTGAAGACAGGTTACCACATCAGTCAATTCAGTCATTGTTGTTGGTGTTGTTGCTGTTTAAGTGGGTGAGGTGAGGTGAGGTGAGGTGAGGTGAGGTGTGATGAAGTAGGGCTTAACGTCATGCTCCATATTTTGCCCTTACCATGCAGAATGAGGCATCTAGCATCTACTACACTAGCGAGGTAGTCCAAATACCAAGTGTTCTAAGGAGTCATGTGTATTGTTGTGTCAATAGATTATCTCCTTCAATTCTTTACTCTACACAATAATAATAATAATAATAATAATAGGTCATCTTCTATAGCGCACAGTCTCCAAACACCAAGTGATTGCTCGTGGCGCTTAATCAGAATCTGATTCTTATTACCCGGATAACACAAGCTGCCTGTTAGGCGCTAGAAGGTTATAGTCACATGACTTTATCCAACCGGGTACCCATTTTCTGCTGGGTGAACAGAGGCAATTTGGACAAACTCACTGCCTAAGGTGAGACCACATGCATCACATGTCCTTCGTTGTGGGGCAAGACTGAAGTCCTAGAAAATCTCAACACAAAATAGCAATGTGTGCTATATTTACATACCTTAGGCTCGACAATAACATACTAACAATGCGTTGTATTTTCACATTCCTACATTCCTCGCTCTACAAAAAAGCTTAATATGAATGTGCTATGTGTTTGCAGACAACAATGGCTGGCTTCCAGGCAATATTAAGACGCACTTTGGATCAGGACATGGTGGACAATGTGAACGGATTCTGGTCGGTTCTTCTTTTGGCCCTTTGCTCGATAGGAGCATTTCTATTGCGATATCTTACTGATCCTATAAGTTGCTGGCATCCTGTGGAGTGGACGTCTTCACACAGTTCATACGCCGACCAGACGTGCTTTCTCACAGACCGTTTTTACGAACCAAACTCAGCTCTTGTGCCACAGAAACTGGAACCTGTCCCCTCCTACCACCTCTGGATACCACTCATTCTCTTCTTTCAAGCCCTCGCTTTTAAACTACCAAACATCATCTGGAACGGCGGCAAGCACTTACTAGGTCTCAACTTAGACGAAACTGTATCGTCCCTGAACAATGTACAACTGACCAATGCTGAAAATCGCCAGGCCATCTTCAGTGATGCAGCCCGAGTACTTGAAAGTCTGCTGAGAAGAAACCGACTTTTACTGGCTCTTCTGTACCTGTTTGTGAAGCTCCTCTCGTGTGTCAATCTGATAGCACAGTTGATGTTCCTGACAATATACTTCAGACAATACCTGGCAATCCGCGTTGGTTCCTCTGCAGGTTTTAATATGGACTCCATCATAAAACCATTGCTCGCTAAACATGTTTTTTGCGATATCGGTGTGCGTAAGTTGGCAAATATCGAAAGATTCACAGTTCAGTGCACTCTGCCAATCACCGAAATCTATGAGAAGATTTTCATATTCCTGTGGTACTGGGTCTTCCTCCTGACTGTCATCACCGTCCTTAATCTTCTCCTGTGGGCAGGATTTCTCTTCCTGCCTTTCTTTAGAGATGGCAGAATAGCTGCCCACGTCAACGCTGCCAAAGGATCTCACCCTGACGAACTCTCTATAACTCGATTCATCAGCAGTTTCCTGGGAATTGATGGTGTTCTTGTCTTGTCCATGATCTCCCAGAATTCCAACGAGTTGGTTGCAGCAAATCTCACCCAACATTTATACCAGGTGTTTCAGGAGAAGGAGGAAGAATTTCATGCTCAGAGAGATCCCCTCACAGGAGAACCAGAAGGTGGCGCTGTCGTACCTGGAGCTACAGGAGCCGAAATAACTTTACCGATGAGTGATCTATCTCCTGGTGCCGAAAATCCCGAAAAACCGCCCATTGTGTGACAGCATAACTGGCGGGCAATCCGGAGCATGTGTTTTACTAAAGTGTTAGGCGGCGGGACAACCTTGAACTGAAAGCTTTCCTTTATCATCCATAAAGCTAGAATTCAATTAAATTTTAGGGTACAGTGTGTAAAGATCATTCCTGATGTTCCTTGCCCTTAAAATTGCTGGAATATTTCAAAATCTGTAAAACCATAATCACTCACTTAATTCATTATTTATTTATTTTGAGTAGTTTCACTAACTTACTATTTAAATGTCTTAAAGGGACATCCACTATGGATTCTGTATTGAAATTGCTGACCTGGTACTTTAACTAAACTTTACCTGTTCTATTGTTGTTGAATTTCCTCAGTTTATCACAATGAGATAATACTTAACTGACAAAAATAAAAAATGTCTGTGGCACTGTCAATATCGGCATGTCAGTATGTGCAGCTACATTAAACAACGGTTATGACGAACACGTTTATAACGAAGTAACTGATGTAACGATCTGGGTGTCTTATTTATTATTAGTTCATATAGAGAATCTCACCCAAGTGTCTATAGTGATACCAATTACACGGGTTGATAAAGTTACAAATAGGATATTTTTACTTTTTTTTCAACGAGTATTGAGATATTTTATATCAGAAGAGATGAGGGTAAGATTTTATGTATCATAAAAATCACTCTTCATTAGTTTTCAATGGAAAATGTACATCTCTGAAAACGGTACTGCCATTGGACTTGAAGTGCAGCGATGCAATAGCATTGTGGCGTTATCACGTTTATGACGTCATGGCATTGTGAGTCATGTAATTGATGATGTCAAAACATTGTACAGAATCTACTGTCAAAACGATATCTCCTAGGTGATCACACAATCAGTATCGACAGTGGAGCACAGGTTTGGATGATAAATGACTTTACATTTACTTATGACAGGAGTGGGAGACGTAAAACGTAGTCAAAGGCGACAGTAACGTTACGTTTGTGACGTCATTACGTGTTTGAAGTCATAGTTAGTAACGATGGTGTTGTATATGGTCTTCAACAACCTATGCTTGCCGTGACAGGTGGCTAACGGGATCGGGAGGCCAGGCTCGTTGAGTTGGTTGATGAGTCATCAAATCCAATTTGCATAGATAAAGTGACTATCTTCCTTCAAAATTGTAATAGTGAAATCTATGATGAGGCACGAGTGATTATTATATCATGAACTTTGATTATGTTATAATTCAACATGAATTGTGTATATTGGGGCGGTGGGGTGATTATGGTTATCGAATTCAACATGTATATTCTGGAATATTGCTAAAAGCTTGGCATTGTGTATATATACTTTACATTATTTGTTGTTATATGCTTGTATTGGCTCTTTGAATGCAAAACAAATTTCCCTTGCGGACAATAAAGTTTATCTTATCTTTATCTTATCTTATGTATGTATGTGTGTGCGTGCGTGCGTATGTGTGTACGTATGTATGTGCGTGCGTATGTGTGTATGTATGTGTGCGTGCGTGCGCATGTATGTATGCATGCATAATGTATGTATGTGTTAATGTGTGTGTGCTCCCGGGCGTGCGTGCGTGCGTGCGTGTGTGTGTGTGTTTAAACACATATACAGAAAATATGGTAAAAAGACTTTAATACGTTATATATCAGAACTATGAAAGATCTACGACAGACAGGATACTCATCGTGTGTGTGTGTGTGTGTGTGTGTGTGCGTGCGTGCGCTCGCATTGAAGAATCAAATGGAAACATACCTATTCAGTTTACTTTCTGATCTTTTCAAAACATCCATCTGGGTATGTATATACAATTTTCCGGTGCCCCTGCTGCAATGCTGGAGAATATTGCTAAATGCGGCGTAAAACAATGCTCACTAATGTTAGTACGCAGTAAGTCAAAGGAATGCATGCACTTGAAAACTGAATTCGACAAAAAAATATATACAAACGTTCATAGGTGGAAACCAGCCGCCGAAACGTCGCCATCTTTAATTCCCATATCACAACACACGGGCAAAAGAATGTATACAATTTGTTTTCAGTTTGGTTATGCCTATTCATTCACAGATTCCTGCAACAATTTGCTAAAACTGTAATCGAACGGTATTTGAACTCAATAAGGCTTATGACTATGTCCAAGGGAGACAACCCTGCAAAACCGAAGAGAACTTGGCTACCTGTTACTACGAGTAATACAGTAACTTTCCGAGCTCAGGAATCCAAATACAGTTTGACCTTGATTGTTATTTATTTTTCATTCTCAGTTGTTGTCTTTTGGGGATGCTTTTGTTGACTTGTATTTTCATTGGATATGTTTCTTTTTTATGAATAAGTTTTCACCTGAGTGTTGCATCGCTTGAGCCCTGATGAAGAGATGAATTTTTCTCACCGCTAGATTAAGATTTTACGTGCGCTTCAAACATATGACAACAACAGATTTAGTAAATGCGAAATGGATCTCGCGACATTTATTTTTTTTCCATCGTTCTAATTTGAACCTCGTTGTCTTGCCGCAGTTTTCATGACAATTCGATAAGTAAAGGACGTTGAATTTAGGAGTTCTATGAAAGAAATAGAGATGGGTTTGCACTAATATACTCTTCAAAAAAAAGTAGGGGAACCTGAACTTTTAATTTGGATAGGAAGAATAAGCGCACGCGCATGCGCACTCACGCACACACACACACACACACACACACACACACACACACACACACACACACACATACACACACATACATACATACATACATACATACATACATACATACATAATCTTTATTTTGGCGGTTTTTATTAAGAAGGCCGATAAATCACTGTAGACCATTAATTTTGACAATCACATTACATCACACAGTTGTTATTGTTTATTTCCAGCCTTTTTTTTTTTTTGAAAATGAAAATCTTGCAAATCCTGAAAAATGCAAATTTCACGTCATGCACCAATCATATTTCAAGAGCGACTACTGTACAAACAGCGATGGTCATAAGGAAGTGCAAGTGGTGATGAACTCTCAAAATATTCATTACAATCACTAACATTGTTTGACTCCGATATATCTCCCAATTGTTTCAATCCTAAGAAGCCCCCCTACTTTTTTAAGGGTGTATATAACACCGCAATTCTCCAGATCGTGCCCATGGGACACCTCAGGAGCTCTTGTGTGTTGCTGTACCAAGAATGGTTGATTTATTTCTTACAGAACAATTTGTAAGACATGACGAAGAGTCAGACCCGGCTTGAAGAATCCAACAGATTACCAGTTACACGGGGGCAGTAGATGGGTTCTTTGAACGTGTGTAATACCACCTTAGCTTTTGGGACAACACGAGGCGTAGTGTCAACAAAGAATGGAAGTTTATATTGCTTAACATACAACTTGGGGGCAGGGCGAATGACTTACACACAATTAACTGTCCGGCAGAGGCTATCTGGGGAATACGGCGAAGTGATATGGACAGTAGATAGCTGGACTGTCTGAGACAGACTACCTGTTCGCCTGTCCTGCCCAGGCAGATGAGTAACTCACAATCTGTGTAGGTCAGCAGTTCTCACGGACACAATCTGTGGAGGTCAGCATTTCTCAAGAACACAATCTGAGTAGGTCAGCGGTTCTCACGGACACAATCTGTGTACGTCGGCAGTTCTCACGGACACAATCTGTGTAGGTCGGCAGTTCTCACGAACACAATCTGCAGCGGTCGGCAGTTCTGACGGACACAATCTGTGTAGGTCAGCAGTTCTCACGAACACAATCTGTGTAGGTCGGCAGTTCTCACGGACACAATCTGTGTAGGTCGGCAGTTCTGACGGACACAATCTGTGTAGGTCGGCAGTTCTCACGGACACAATCTGCAGAGGTCAGCAGTTCTAAGGATACAATCTGTGTAGGTCAGCAGTTCTCACGGACGCAATCTGCAGGGGTCAGCAGTTCTCACGGACACAATCTGTGTAGGTCGGCAGTTCTCACGGACGCAATCTGTGTAGGTCGGCAGTTCTCACGGACGCAATCTGTGTAGGTCAGCAGTTCTCACGGACACAATCTGTGTAGGTCGGCAGTTCTCACAGACACAGTCTGCAGCGGTCAGCAGTTCTCACGGACACAATCTGTGTAGGTCAGCAGTTCTCACGGACACAATCTGTGTAGGTCGGCAGTTCTCACGGACACAATCTGTGTAGGTCGGCAGTTCTCACGGACACAATCTGCAGCGGTCAGCAGTTCTCACGAACACAATCTGTGTAGGTCGGTAGTTCTCACGGACACAATCTGCAGCGGTCGGCAGTTCTCATGGACACAATCTGCAGCGGTCAGCAGTTCTCACGGACACAATCTGTGTAGGTCGGTAGTTCTCACGGACACAATCTGTGTAGGTCAGCAGTTCTCACGGACACAATCTGCAGCGGTCTGCAGTTCTCACGGACACAATCTGTGTAGGTCGGCAGTTCTCACGGACACAATCTGTGTAGGTCGGCCGTTCTCACGGACACAATCTGTGTAGGTCGGCAGTTCTCACGGACACAATCTGTGTAGGTCGGCAGTTCTCACGGACACAATCTGTGTAATTCGGCAGTTCTCATGGACACAATCTGTGTAGGTCGGCAGTTCTCACGGACACAATCTGTGTAGGTCGGCAGTTCTCACGGACACAATCTGCAGAGGTCAGCAGTTCTCACGGACACAATCTGTGTAGGTCAGCAGTTCTCACGGACACAATCTGTGTAGGTCGGCAGTTCTCACGGACACAATCTGTGTAGGTCAGGCAGTTCTCACGGACACAATCTGCAGCGGTCTGCAGTTCTCACGGACACAATCTGTGTAGGTCACGGACATCTGTGTGGAAGTCGGCAGTTCTCACGGACACAATCTGTGTAGGTCGGCAGTTCTCACGGACACAATCTGTGTAGGTCGGCAGTTCGACACAAATTCGGCGGTTCTCATCTGTGTGGAGTCGGCAGTTCTCACGGACACAATCTGTGTAGGTCGGCAGTTCTGACGGACACAATCTGCAGCGGTCAGCAGTTCTCACTGACACAATCTGTGTAGGTCACCAGTTCTCACGGACACAATCTGTGTAATTCGGCAGTTCTCACGGAGACAATCTGTGTAGGTCAGCAGTTCTCACGAACACAATCTGCAGCGGTCGGCAGTTCTCGGGAACACAATCAGCGGAAGTGGGCAATTCTTACGGACACATTCTACGGAGGTCACCAGTTCTCACGGACACAATCTGTGTAGGTTGGCACTTCTCACGGACACAATCTGTGTAGGTCTGCAGTTCTCATGGACACAATCTCTGTGGGTCAGCAGTTCTCACGGACACAATCTGTGTAGGTCAGCAGTTCTCACGGACACAATCTGTGTAGGTCGGCAGTTCTCACGAACACAATTTGTGTAATTCTGCACATTTTTTACGGACACAATCTGTGTAGGTCAGCGGTTCTCACGAACACAATCTGCAGCGGTCGGCAGTTCTCGCGAACACAATCAGCGGAAGTGGGCAATTCTTACGGACACGTTCTACGGAGGTCACCACTTCTCATGGACATAATCTGCGTAGGTCTGCAGTTCTCATGGACACAATCTGCTTTTTTGGAAAAATAATGTTAAAGCATTTACATAACCATTTCAATAAACATAGCTTTTTGAGTACATTTCAATCTGCTTAGGTCGGCCGTTCTCACGGACATACTCTGCGTAGGTCGGCCGTTCTCACGGACATACTCTGCGTAGGTCGGCCGTTCTCATGGACCTACTCTGCGGAGGTCGGCCGTTCTTACGGACATACTTTGCGTAGGTCGGCCGTTCTCACGGACATACTTTGCGTAGGTCGGCAGTTCTCACGGACATACTCTGCGTTGGTCGGCCGTTCTCGTGGACCTACTCTGCGGAGGTCGGCCGTTCTGATGGACCTACTCTGCGGAGGTCGGCCGTTCTCATGGACATACTCTGCGTAGGTCGGCCGTTCTCACGGACATACTTTGCGTAGGTCGGCCGTTCTCACGGACATACTCTGCGTAGGTCGGCCGTTCTCACGGACATACTTTGCGTAGGTCGGCCGTTCTCACGGACCGTAGGTCGGCAGTTCTCACGGACATAATCTGCTTAGGTCGGCCGTTCTCGTGGACCTACTCTGCGGAGGTCGGCCGTTCTGATGGACCTACTCTGCGGAGGCCGGCCGTTCTCATGGACATACTCTGCGTAGGTCGGCCGTTCTCACGGACATACTTTGGGTAGGTCGGCCGTTCTCACGGACATACTCTGCTTAGGTCTGCAGTTCTCACGGACAGAATCTGTGTAATTCGGCAGTTCTCATGGACACAATCTGTGTAGGTCGGCAGTTCTCAGGGACACAATCTGTGTAGGTCGGCAGTTCTGACGGACACAATCTGCAGCGGTCAGCAGTTCTCACTGACACAATCTGCTTAGGTCGGCCGTTCTCGTGGACCTACTCTGCGGAGGTCGGCCGTTCTGATGGACCTACTCTGCGGAGGCCGGCCGTTCTCATGGACATACTCTGCGTAGGTCGGCCGTTCTCACGGACATACTTTGGGTAGGTCGGCCGTTCTCACGGACATACTCTGCTTAGGTCTGCAGTTCTCACGGACAGAATCTGTGTAATTCGGCAGTTCTCATGGACACAATCTGTGTAATTCGGCAGTTCTCAGGGACACAATCTGTGTAATTCGGCAGTTCTCAGGGACACAATCTATGTAATTCGGCAGTTCTCAGGGACAGAATCTGCGGAGGTCAGTAGTTCTCACGGACAGAATCTGTGTAATTCGGCAGTTCTCAGGGACACAATCTGTGTAATTCGGCAGTTCTCACGGACAGAATCTGCGGAGGTCTGCAGTTCTCACAGACACAGTCTGCTGAGGTCGGGAGTTCTCACGGACACAGTCTGCGTAGGTCGGCCGTTCTCACGGACACAATCTGTGTAGGTCGGCGGTTCTCACGGACGCAATCTGTGGAGGTCGGCAGTTCTCACGGACACAGTCTGCTGAGGTCGGGAGTTCTCACGGACACAGTCTGCTGAGGTTGACAGTTCTCACGGACATAATCTGCGTAGGTCGGCCGTTCTCACGGACACAATCTGCGGAGGTCGGCAGTTCTCACTGACATAATCTGCGTAGGTCGGCAGTTCTCACGGACACAGTCTGTGTAGGTCGGCAGTTCTCACGGACAGAATCTGCGGAGGTCTGCAGTTCTCACAGACACAGTCTGCTGAGGTCGGGAGTTCTCACGGACACAGTCTGCGTAGGTCGGCCGTTCTCACGGACACAATCTGTGTAGGTCGGCAGTTCTCACGGACACAATCTGCGGAGGTCGGCAGTTCTCACGGACACAGTCTGCTGAGGTCGGCAGTTCTCACGGACACAGTCTGCTGAGGTTGACAGTTCTCACGGACATAATCTGCGTAGGTCGGCCGTTCTCACGGACACAATCTGCGGAGGTCGGCAGTTCTCACTGACATAATCTGCGTAGGTCGGCAGTTCTCACGGACATAGTCTGTGTAGGTCGGCAGTTCTCACGGACACAGTTTGCTGAGGTCGGCCGTTCTCACGGACATAATCTGCGTAGATCGGCCGTTCTCACGGACACAATGTGCACAACAATAGGTTTATACACAGCAAAGATATCCATATCCACGAACATTTTGACCATTTCTTATCTGACTTTCGCCTGTTAGGTGAATGTTGTTTTATGATGTAGTTGATATTACTTTTGCTACAACAATGCAGTGTTGTGTGATCATTATAGACGCTCGGTTATAAGTGAGTGAGTGAGTTGGGTTTTACGCCGCTTTTAGCAATATTCCCGCAACATCACGGCGGGGGACACCATGAATCGGCTTCACACATTTTTAAACCTATGTTTGGAACCGAACCAGGGTCTTCGGCGTGACGAGCGAACGCTTTAACCACCCCACCGCCCCCGCTTGGTTAGAAAAATCGGTCGTTGACTTCATGAACGTTGACTCCATCCACCCACCCCAACACCCTCTCCAATTAAAAAAATTGAAGGGGGTGACAACAATTATTGGTATGAGTATATATACTCACAAAATTATATATTGTGCCTTTCCGGTTCTCATATCTTACATTAAGCAGCTGTGGGCTAGTGGAACCTATCCCATTATCAGTTCCACAGAGCGATAGTATAGCTGGGGTGATGGTAACTCCTAAAACTTCCGACAGTCGTGACTAGGGCTGTAACGCTGCATCGATAGTATGTGCGACTATCGATAGTTTAGTAACTGACTTCCGTTGATAAATGTGCAGCGCAAAATACAGCATGTGTGTGTGCAGACTTGCAGCTTCAATTTAACTGTTTACTTGATCTGGGTTTCAAGTTTCTTGTCAGTTATTAAAAGAGACTGAAAGTACTTCAACTTGTTTTTATTTCATATAAACTATACATTCGTTTGGGAAAATTAATGACTTCAAATGAGACAATTCAAGGAGAGAAAAACATTTGCAATATGGTATTGCAATAGTATGTTGCAATAGACTATCGATATCGCAATGGTTGTTTCCCACTCAATACTTTCCCCTCGTGGTTTCTTTGTGAACCGGGCCCTGTCCTTCAATAACTGCATTATCTAAAAGCCTCGGCACAGGATTTTACAGAATGATGACAAACCAGTCATGTATAGAAAAATATGCTGGAACACAAAAGTGTCTCGTGAGCCCTGTGAGAAAAGTCCTAGAAAATACAGTTAATTGTATCTTCAGCACACTTGGTTAAGTCCATGCAAATCAGAGATCAAAACTGGTTTCGGGCCTAGTGCGCGCTGGGGGTGGGGTGAATTTATGTATGTCTACTTCTGTGACATGAAGAACAGCTACAGCCTATAAAGATAAAAAACAGGAAATGCACGTGTGAAAAACAAATGTATGAGGTTTGCACTGCGGTGCAAACTTGATTGGGACTGAATCTGTCTGCGATTGTTGGGACAATTTCTATTTAAAATGTGTACACATTCTATAGTTTGGTATCCCTCCGCTGGTTTTCTTTGGTATTCTCGATAACTGACATGTATAATTTGTGAGTGAGTGAGTTAATTTTTTCGAAGCTTTTAGCAAATTCCACCAAATTCACGGTGCGGGACACAAGAAATGGACTTCACACATTGTACCCATGTGGGGAATCAAACCCGGGTCTTCGGCGTGAGGAGCGATCGCTTTTACCACAAGGCTACCCCACCGCCTCGTGTTGTATGTGGCAAGTTTAGAATCTGCTTAGGATCCACTATGCAAGTCAGCTGATACAGGCAAAATCTAGCGCAAATAGTGTTGCGAACAGAGTAAAACATGACCAGTCTTCCTGTCTCCCGCATATAATAATGAAATAGAATAGAAATCTGTGTAACAAGACATCGGTCGTATCACACCAAAACTTTGGTCCTATATATTATAATACAACATACTCAGTGTATTCCGACATCGCTGGAGCGATGGGGTAGCGTAGTTGTCAAGGCGTTTGCTCGTCACGCTGAAGACCCTAGTTCGATTCCCCACATGGGGCAGGCACAAAGTATGGAGCCTAATTCTGGTCTCCCCTGCAGTGACATTGTTGGAATATTGCTAAAAGAGACGTAAAACTAAACTCACTCACTCCGACATCTCTCTTTTCCAAAACCTGTGGTCCGATAACTAAATCCATCGGTCGCCTGTATCCACCAAGGCAAGGTGTTTACTTGAATATTGGTCTATGCATAAGCGGATTCAGAGGGGGATCCCCCCTTTTATCCTGAAAGTTTATTAAATAATCCGTGAAAACGGATGAAAATTAATTGCCACATCGATTGTGCGCAAAAAAACAACAATACGCTTTTCAAAACAGGCTTGCGAAACAGGGGAATAGCAGAGTTATCGATCGTTCCTGTCGGCAGGTGCTCTTTAACAGCCACGAGAGGGCGCTCTAACCGAAGGACGCTTCCTGTTAACAAATTAGCAAGGATTCGTCTGCACGGAAGCATAATTTGGTTCATAAAATGGCAATTTAGGGAATTTCGGCTCTTTTGTATGCATTGAAATGAAGATTTTCTGATTACGTATGTTCATTTAAGTTAAAAAACAAAACGTGTGTCTTTCATTGCTGCCTTTCTGGAAATTCTTGGAAAAGATTGTAAACTGGTTGGTGTTTGTTTTGATTGTCTGCCTAAAACATAGACAACCCTGATTTTACCAGAACAGTTAAATATGGACAAGGCTGCAAGAGCTGTGAGAAGGTATATATGCATGTATTGATATGTTTGTCATCCATATGATACACTTCCTCGTGGTGTTTGTTTTCAGCGTAGTGATTTCTGGGATATGTCTAGTTCAGCAGGATATGTCTTGTTGGGTTAGAAGGACGCTATACATTATTGACATACTTAGGTCGCAATTATGCTGATGTTTTAAATACCTGTACTACGGCTGTAGTTACAGGTGTTTTGCTATCATATCAAATTGATAATTTCAGCAGTTTTAGTATTAACCGTAGTAATAAGCGGGTAAAGTGCCATAGTATAGTAATTACATGAACATGTTCGTTGGATTTAGATAATGACTTTCAGCATTTGTAAACTTTACACTCATTTCAGCTCTGTAAGATATGTGTATGTGTTGGACAGTACTGAGCAGTTATGTCAGTTTTATTTGTGTTATTTTTCTGAATATCGAAAATTAACTGTAATGCAGACACAAAAAATAAATGGCTCATTTTTGGTGAGTAGAAAATATTTGAATCAGTTTGTTATGCTATAATGAGATGGTAGGGAAATAGTTCAAATAACTTCGGTTGACTATCTGTACCAGTTATCACCTTGCTCTAAAGTTTTATCACCCTTTTTTTTGTATAGTTATTTTGGTATTATGTTGTTTAACATATGTTGGTTTTGTATGAGGTAGTTAGTCCTGGATAGTCCGGTCCAGATTCATTTATTTACAGACCGCCCGAGTAGTTACAATATGCACAGTATGTTTCCAGTGTAGTCTAGGGTCTGTGAATAATGGTCTGTTAAATAGTGTTATGGTAAGGGACCATTCATAATTTAAGGCTAGGGGGGTTGATGATGATTTTGAAGGTGGGGGTGTCACCCATTTTGTTCTGGGGAGGGGAGGTGCGGTGTGTGTGTGTGGGGTGGGTGGTGGGGGGTGGTTAGTGTCATCAATTTTGTACACATGTACTAGGGGGATGGTCATTGATTTTTATACATGACATGCGTGGTGGTCAGTTACTTTGTACATAAATTGTTTTTTGGTTATTCAAATTGTACATGCTTCTCCCTAAAAATCATCAACACGCACACACACACACACTGGCCATAAATAATGATAGGATATTTATTGTTTGATCAGCATTCTAGAAGTTGGTGAGTCAAAAATGAAGCATAGTACTCTATGGATCACAACCCCTTGTTCATTGCATGGAGAGACATCAAATCTGCATCGAAACGTTGCTCTATGCAATAAATGAGAAGTTGTCATCCATATAGTTGTATGCTTCGTTGTCTCTCATTTGTTTGCTCTTTTACATTTTCTTCTCTTTTTACGATGAAGATAGGAAATAGCATAAACCCATATTATATCATGTTTAGAAGGCAAAAGAATTGTTTTGAAAGAGAGGACTATTTGTTAACTTTACCAACTGGTTCCAGTTATGAAACTGTTTGTGTATGAACATGATTGGTTTGCTTACTATTAAATAATAAAGCCTGGTAGTTTGATTTTGGGTTTTTTGTGCTGTAGACTAACTGACTGAGTTTGGTTTTACGCCGCTTTTAACAATATTCCAGCAACATCACGACGGGGGACACCAGAAATGGGCTTCATTGTGCTATAGATGTTTAGTCTTCGGATCTGAAATCTTCAATTACAACATTGTGCTTATGACATGTTTGGTTAAAGCATTGGCTCGTCACGCCGAAGACCCGGGTTCGAATCCCCACATGGGTACAATGTGTGAAGCCCATTTCTGGTATCCCCCGCCGTGATGTTGCTGGAATATTGCTAAAAGCAGCGTAAAACCAAACTCAGTCAGTCAGTATGACATGTTTAGCAATTACTCTAGACATTCTCTGTGGTCAGCATTCAAACAAAAGGCTATGGTAAATGTAAATTACTAAATATGTGAGAATTCCCCAAACTGATGTTCTTGATCCTTATACAAAAGTTGTGAATCCTGGAGTCATGTTTCAATTTTACAAACATGGAAAGGTGACTTGTATTTCACAGATTATAAGAACAGGCTATAACACCAAGTTTCAAGTATTAAGAAATAAGGGATAATTAGTATCATGGAAATAGTGAGCTCTGATCAACAATGGTGAATTGTATTCAGTTGAAAGCAATTTTATTTTTGTCTCTGAAATCGTTAGTGTCATCTTGATTAGTCCTAGTCCATGTAAGATGCTGTTTACTTCATTGAAACCCCATTTGTACATGTTTTTACAGAATTGGCCTTTAGGAACACGGGAACAGGTGGTCAGACTCATTGACTTGGTTGACACATGTCATCATAACCTATTTGCATAGATTGATGATCATGATATTAACCACTGGATTGTCTGGTCCAGACTTGATTGTTTATAGACAGCCGTCATGTAACTAGAAAATTGCAGAGTGCGGCATTTAACAACAAACAAACCAAAAACATTCATGTTTTCAAATGCTAGAATATTGCTAAAGAAACTTTTTCAAATCAGTGTTTGAACATGCTGCTGTTTGACAATCTGTACTAACTAATCATTATTTGTTATTTCCAGGAGTAGTGTTAAGTTGCTTTCCCTGAATGGAGGTCATGCTGACCTTAACGTGCTTATATCAGAGGTGAAGGACATGAGGAACACGGCCAAAGCGTTCATGAATGCCCAGTCAGCAGGTATGTACACACAAGATGGTTCACACAGATTGAAAAGTGTAACGTGCTTGATTTGGCCCTTTTAATATAGAAGAGTGACTGTAGTTTTACACCACTTCTAGCAATATCACAGCGGGTACACAAGAAATGGGCTTCACACATTGTGGTCTTCGAGACCGCCTCCGTGTTGTAATGGTTAGAGCATCCACCCAGAGAGCGGAAGGTCGCGTGTTCGATCCCGACCACGTCATACAAAAAGACGTTAAAATATGGTACTTGTTGGTCCCTGCCTGGCGCCCGGCATTAATGGGTACAACAAGGACTGGTGGGCTCGGAGTCAGTATAATGCGTCTGAGGGGGGTATTCATGCTTCACTGCCGCAAGTATCTCAGTGGGCTAGCACTATAAAACCAGCTTAAGTCTGGGCTAGTACAAGCAGCCGCACATACACATACACACGCATGCGCGTCATCATATGAGCGAAATACTCTCAAGAACGACGTTAAACCCAATTTCACCTCACCTCACCTGGTCTGGATAAGCGAACACTTTAACCATTAGGCAACCCCACCGCCTCAACATAGAAGAGCTGTAAGGAAGCAAAGGACCTTTATTGACATGAGTACCATTTCTGCCATGGCCAACTGGATGGAGGGTGTGCCGAGAAAGTTGATGGCGGTGGATTCATCTCTGTCCCAGTCGCCCAAAAAGATGTTGAAAGATGGCACTTGTTGTTACCCTGGCTAGTTGACTTGGGACGTTCATGCCACAGTTTAAGACTGATACCCCAGTGGACTAGAACTATACACACACATACATGTACATGTCTCTATATACATGATGACAGCATAAGTGTTGTATGGTCGAAATCGGTCGAAATCCAATTCGTGTTAAAGTTTTAGTGTTATAGGCTTGTGGTCCCTGTTGGAACTGCAAGAAAGAGCAATACAATCAACCATCATGATGAGATTAGATATTTGGCAATATTCCAACCGTATGTAGATAACCTGTAACCATGGTAAATATTCTGTAGCAGACAGTCCAGTGTTATAAGTTATGATCATGACCCAATGTGTACACTGACCATGTCACATAGTCTAACTCCACCAACCGATCTTAGCCCTATGTCATAAACCCATAAAATCCCAATCTTAGTGTGACGTTACGATGGGCATACCGTTCAACTAACCGATCTTACCCAAGTCAATCATGAAGTAAAGAGAAAAGTAAAGGATCGCTAAAATCAATTGTAGAGAAACCAAAATGGCGGCTTTCATTATTCTATGTTAAGAAGAAGAAGGACAAGCATTACACTGTGAGCGTGTTTTTTCGAGACCGATCCCATGGTTGTAGCTTGACTTGACTGAAGGTTGAGTTGACTGTTAGCTTGACTTGATCGTAGCTTGACTTGGTTGTAGCTTGACTTGACGGTAGCTTGACTTGACTGCAGCTTGACTTATCTGTAGCTTGACTTGGTTGTAGCTTGACTTGGTTGTAGCTTGACTTGACGGTAGCTTGACTTGACGGTAGCTTGACTTGATGGTAGCTTGACTTGTCTGTAGCTTGACTTGCCGGTAGCTTGACTTGACTGCAGCTTGACTTGTCTGTAGCTTGACTTGGTTGTAGCATGACTTGACTGCAGCTTGACTTGTCTGTAGCTTGACTTAGCTGTAGCTTTACTTGGTTGTAGCTTGGATTCTCTGTAGCTTGACTTGGTTGTAGCTTGACTTGACGGTAGCTTGACTTGATGGTAGCTTGACTTGTCTGTAGCTTGACTTGCCGGTAGCTTGACTTGACTGCAGCTTTACTTGGTTGTAGCTTGAATTCTCTGTAGCTTGACTTGGTTGTAGCATGACTTGACTGCAGCTTGACTTATCTGTAGCTTGACTTGGTTGTAGCTTGACTTGGTTGTAGCTTGACTTGACGGTAGCTTGACTTGACGGTAGCTTGACTTGATGGTAGCTTGACTTGTCTGTAGCTTGACTTGCCGGTAGCTTGACTTGACTGCAGCTTGACTTGTCTGTAGCTTGACTTGGTTGTAGCATGACTTGACTGCAGCTTGACTTGTCTGTAGCTTGACTTAGCTGTAGCTTTACTTGGTTGTAGCTTGAATTCTCTGTAGCTTGACTTGGTTGTAGCATGACTTGACTGTAGCTTTTCTTGGTTGTAGCTTTACTTGACTAGCTTTACTTGACTAGCTTTACTTGACTGTAGCTTGACTTTACTGTTAGCTTTATTGTCATGATTTATCAATGTGAAACTAAATTCAAAATGACATGTTTGTTGTAGCTTCACAAGATCTCCTTAAGTGGGCTGCACATGAAGACAATCGTGCTATACAGGTAGGCAGCACTTGTTTACCATGGACATCATACATGAGCAAAATAATACCCATATATACATGCCTTTGTTGGTAGGGCCTCTGGGGACCCTGTAGTCTACTGGCAAACAAGGATAGTTGGACTGGTGCAGAGAATGTGTTTACGAGAAGTAGGCAGTGCACGACAATGAGCAAACCCATTTGGTTCGTGAAAGGGAGAGCAGATGTAGGCTAGTGCACATGCAATGCATGATGATGAAATTGATTCCGCGTAGCTGCAAACGCCTTGCTCATAAGACTCTCACATGGTGGAGGTAGCACTACACTTGATCGCGGACAACCTGGGGCCCCTTCGCTCTAGCTATGGCAAGAGCCAGTGGGCGGAACTCATACATGCTAATACGGGTCAATTGTTAGGTCGGTGCTGAGCTTATCCTTGTTTGCCAGTAAGATGCCACATTTTCAAAAACCTAAACTACTTCACCCCTATCCACAGTGGATGTTTTTCCTTCCTGCATGGACTGTTCACAACACAGAGTCCTAAACAGAATTTAAAAGCAGACCATGAATAAAGTCCTCAATTTGTATATTGTGTGAGAAAATTAAAAAATTACTCTATCTCAAGATTTAATGTATGATATTATTGATAGCACAATTTTCAACCCGATAATCATTAGTAATCTTTCTTATCGACAATATTTCCGATTATCAATTTTAGCCGGCCCTAGTAATAATAAACTATTTTCTGTTGTCAGGATGTGGCCAACCAGCTGGCTGAACTGAATCTTGTATGGACTGAAGTGCAACGAGAATTTATTGGTGGGTACACTCTTTCAAAACATGTGGCATTTATTGCAATCATTTTCCATTCCAGCTTGCAATACTGCAACTGATTTTGTCCCTGAAAGTATTTGGTGACCTTGATAACAAAATCTACATCTCATCAAGGACTGAACTTGTCTAGCCCAGATCAGTCTTGTTAACTTTAAAGTTGTTGTAATGGCTAGTAGAATAAGCAATTTGATTGTCTGAGAGCCTGCAACTTGTAGTAGGAATTAGCACAAGTACCAGCAACTTTGCTTCAGCTAGTTATATGCAATTTTAAATTGTTCAATTGGTGTGTTTTCGCTGACTTGGTTGACATTTGTCATCGTATCCCAATTGCATAGGTCGATGCTCATGATGTTGATCACTGGATTGTCTGGTCCAGACTCGATTATTTACAGACCGATGCCGTATAGCTGGAATATTGCTGAGTGCGGCGTAATACTAAACTCACTTACTCACTCATCATATCTCACCTACATAAGGCTGTGCCCATGATGCCATTCACAGGATTGTCTGGTCCAGGCTTGATTATTTACAGACGGCCATCACACAGCTGGAATATTGTTGAGAGATGAGTTTTACAGTGGACAATCAATCGGTATATTGTGAAATACTAATTTTCCAGAGCACATCAAAGAGTACAAACATATGTATGAGATGATCCTGGAGGGGGAGAAGCATGTCGCCCACGCCAAAACCAACTTTGTAAGTCATAGCTGCCTTTATTATTTCTTGTCTGAAATATAAACTCTTATTCTACAAATGTTGTGCCCCATTCTACATAGCAACCTTCATGGTGAATAGATCCAATCTCCCATACTCTGACATTGGCTTCAGCATGGCGACCATTCGACTTACCCTTTGCCCCATTATTGAGCAGAAGTCGTTTCATGTTGATAGGCACTGGCTACCTAAATCTATCCAGATGTACAGGTACCAGTAGTTGAAAATATGTGATAAGCAGTTCAGTTTCCATGTGTTGTTACATACAGTAAAGAATATACACATCTCTGCCCTAGGCTTCCTGTGAGCAGCGTGAAGTGAAGATCAGAAAGGAGCTAAAGAAAGCCTTCAAGGTAGGAAATGGCTACTTGGTCATTATTCTTAAGACAAGTTCCTTCAACTGATGTAAGTCAGTATTGGCACCAAGTATGTTATGCCATGACATGCTTTTTATCTATGTAGCCAGTTCCTTATGTACCCAATTGAGAAACAATTTCATATGTTATTCTTTGACTAGATTATCACTTTTCTTGTGCCAAGATCCAACTATAGCAGAAGTAGAAGACTTGTATTTCAAGCTGTTCTCTCTTCAAGTGTGGCAGTAATTACTATATATGGTTTTAGAAAGCAACATCGGCTGAGCTCCAGAGTTTGGAAGGAAGATTATCACAAGCTGAAAGAGCCAAGGACTTAGCTCAGGTTGAAGGTAAGTTCTAATGATGAGTTGATGCTTATGATGAGAACCTCAACATGGAAACATGGTGCTCTATAGGTTCACCTGTTTCTCTGCCACACTCAGCAGTATTCCAGCTATATGGTGGCGGTCTGTAAATAATTGAGTCTGGACAAGGCAGTCTAGTGATCAACAGCATGAGCATAAATCTACGATGGCATGTGTCAACCAAGTCAGCGAGCCTGACCTCCTGATCCTTTTTAGTTGCCTCTTACAACAAGCATGGATTGCTGAAGACTTATTCTAACCTAGAACTTCATGAGTCTCTTACAAGATGTATAACAAGTGTATGAATCACTGATGATATTTAAATGTTTGCGTTGCAGTTGCTGATAGAGTGCATGAAAACGAAGCAGTCAAGCTGATCAGAATCAAGGAGGGACTGTTGAAAGTGTCCGAAGCTTATTGTGATTTTTCCAAAAAATGTTCTGTGATATTCGATGCCCAATCTGTAAGTATAACCATTCTGCACATGATCATATTTAGTACAGTCACATTGCTGTAGTCTTGGTTTGTGCTGTTTCCATTCTGCACATGATCATATTTAGTACAGTCACATTGCTGTAGTCTTGGTTTGTGCTGTTTCCATTCTGCACATGATCATATTTAGTACAGTCACATTGCTGTAGTCTTGGTTTGTGCTGTTTCCATTGTCCTTCAGATAGAAACATGGCAAGAAAGATGTTTTAAATATGTTTTACATGTTTCATTATTGCATTATTGAAATTTACAAGAATTGATGCGTATATACAGCTTGTATCAGACCTAGATACAAGAACTGTAGGGTGTTTCATTCAGTGACTCACCTACAGTCTCACAGACCGTGCACAGCATTATTTCCCCATCCACCGAGCCCTAGGTGCTGAAGCCCTAAATGAATCAAGTCTAGATTTTCCTCCTACTCAGGACCCGTGAACGTCCGGGTTAGAATATTGATCTTCAGCAACCCATGCTTGTCGTAAGAGGCGACTATCGGGATCAGGTGGTCAGGCTCACTGACTTGGTTGACACATGCCATCGGTTCCCAATTGCACAGATCAATGCTCATGCTGTTGATCATTGGATTGTCTGGTCCAGACTCGATTATTTACAGACCGCCACTATATAGCAGGAATATTGCTGAGTGTGGCATAAAATTAAACTCACTCACTCACTCCTCCTACTCAAGTTCTGATTATCCCAGCTCACAGGCTCTTTCTTTATTTAAATGTTGCTGGCAAATAGTATAATTTCTGAGGCTAAGCATTTCTCTACAGCAAGAACTGTAAGACATTTTGTTGAATTATGATTTAAAATGGAGACCATTTACATTGTTTCAAAAAACATAATGAAATCTTTAAATGGTATTTGATGTGATACACATGAAGCTGAAATTAATTGATGTCAAGTTATTTATTCTATGGCTATACAGTGTGACATCCATAACTTATCCCCTTTAATTATGAAATTGACAAACACACATGAACCACAAGCGATGCAGAGGAAGTGCATCTTGACATGTTAACTTTGTTGTCAATGAAGTCACATGTGCACCCCTATTCCAAAATCCTGGGTCCTGAAACTGTAGTAACATTTGGAATTGATTTGACCTGAGCATGTTTTTGCTGCAGTCTTTCAGCCATTAAAACTAAAAAATATGTCATATTGAACTTTTAATCGCTCTGTATTAATTAACCACAAGATTTTTAAGGATGAATTTGGTGTTCTGCTGAAGACTTACCACAAGTCTTTCATATGTAATGGTTAAGAGTGTGAAAAACAAACAAAGTCTCGAAACGTTGTGAGAGAAATTAAAAAAGAAGTTTAATCCATAAAAAATATCTTGGACATCGAAGTTTATTCGTTCTTTAAGCTTTAATTTGAACAGTATTTCTGTTTCTCAGCACTGTGATGCTCATCATTGAAAGACTCAGTTAGAACGGATTTTTAAACAACTATATGAGATGAAGACATTTTGCTGTAATACACATGTAATCAGATAATTGAAATTATTTTGCAGCAAATAGCCCATCAACTACCAGATGTACATGGCCAGGACCTGGGAGACATAAAATACACAGGTAGGCTGTAGATCCCTAAGGAGCCATTTTGTTGCCAAAAGGACCCTAAGATGAACTAGATATGAAATTTCTTAAGCTTGGACTATCTGTGGGACGCGATTTTGTGTCATTGTTTTGTGGTGGAATGTGTGTTCATGTTTAATCCTAAATGTAGATCATTGCCACTGAACCACAGATTTTTCTGGTCAACTATCCATTACTGCTGGGGCTGTGGGGTAGCTAAGTGGTTAATGCGTTTGCTCGTCATGCTGAAGACCTGGGTTCGATTCCCCCATGGGTGTGAGGCCCATTTCTGGTGTCCCCGTCCGTGATATTGCTGGAATATTGCTAAAAGCGGCGTAAAACTAAACCCACTCACTCACTCCATTACTGCTTTATCTTTGATTACATTATTGCTGACTGTGTCTAGAAACAGTGTTTGGAATTGTCACTTTCCATACCCCTTATAAGATCCCAGAGTAGTATAGGTCACAATAGCCAGTGCTGGTTGTACAGCATGTCCAGGGCCCTGTTTCAGAAAACTATCGTAGTGACTGTTGTAACTCTATGTTACAGTATAGGAGGTACGACAGTCGTAAGTCTATGCTGGTGTATAGGAGGTACAACAGTCGTAAGTCTATGTTACAGTATAGGAGGTACGACAGTCGTAAGTCTATGCTGGTGTATAGGAGGTGCAACCGTCGTAAGTCTATGTTACAGTAATGGAGGTACAACCGTCGTAAGTCTATGTTGCAGTATAGGAGGTACAACCGTCGTAAGTCTAAGTAGATGTATAGGAGGTACGACAGTCATAAGTCTATGTTACAGTATAGGAGGTACGACTGTCATAAGTCTAGGTTACAGTATAGGAGGTATGACAGTCGTAAGTATGGTTACAGTACAGGAGGTACGACAGACGTAAGTCTATGTTACAGTATAGGAGGTACGACAGTTCTACGTCTATGTTACAGTATAGGAGGTACAACCATCGTAAGTCTGTTACAGTATAGGAGGTACGACAGTCGTAAGTCTATGTTACAGTATAGGAGGTACGACAGTCGTAAGTCTATGTTACAGTATAGGAGGTACAATAGTCGTAAGTCTGTGTTATAGTATAGGAGGTATGCCACTCGTAAGTTTATGTTACAGTTTAGCAGGTATGCCAGCCTAAAGTCTATGTTACAGTATAGGATGTGCGACAGTCGTAGTGCAAGGCCCTGATGGATGGGGTGGTTATGGTTGATGACTTGGTGTATAGCATGTTGTTGCACCTTGACAGCATGTATTGTTGGTCGCTTTATCACTGATATCAGTCATGGGATTGTCTGGTCCAGACTCATATATTTACAGGTCAAATTAACATAGCTAGAATATTACTGTGTGTGATGATAAAATCTTAACAAAATGGTTGATGTAGCAGAAAGTACCATATAATTGTGAAGTTGCGAATTGCCAATGTGCTGTTAATTATTTTCTAGGGTCTGGGACTACCAAGTTCTACGTACAGGAAGCCAAGGAGAAGATTCGCCAGTATCGGCGCCAGTCACACAACTTCCATTCACCTCAACAGCAGAATTATGGTAAGGGCTGATATGTTATCTCTTCCACCCTTTGTGTGGGGTGGTGGGGTAGCCTGGTGGTTAAAGCATTCGCTCATCACGCCGAAGACCTGGGTTCGATTCCCACATGGGTACATGGTGTGAAGCCCATTTTTGGTGTCCCATATGTGATATTGCTGGAATCTTGCAAAAGCAGAGTAAAACTAAACTCACTCACTCACACCTTGTGTTCTCCACCTTGCGATATAACTGTAATGTTGCTAAAGTTTCTGTTGAACACTACTTGCTCACTGTTAAATTAAATTCCGATATTTCAGCAGATCCCCCTCCACCTTACTCACCTAACGACCTGATTGAGAGTGAGCATAGTCCGTACAGTCCCTCCCGCACATCGGAGGAAGGGGTATCACCACGGCGACGCTCCAACCTGTCCTGGCAGGGTCGACAGGACACAATGGAGGAGGAAGTCGGTGTCGACAGCGACTACGAGGCCGATCTAACAGGAGCAATGGGCGGGGCACAAATATAAGACATTTCTGCAAGATCAGTGGTACAATGAAACTCTGTTAATCCTACATCCAGGAGGTCCACCTACCACAAGATTTGTTTTAACATCAAATATACACTAATGTCACTCCGCAGAATTATCTGGGTGGATAACCTAGTGGTTGAATTGTTCACCTTCAATTGCATGGCCGAAATTCTGGGTTTGATTCCCAACATGGGCATATTGTGTGAAGCCCATTTCTGGTGTCCACCACCATGATATTGCTGGAATAATGCTTAAATTGTCGTAAATACTCACTGCAACAATGGTTCAATTGTCTATAAATCTGACAATCTGGACAAGCCACTGGAATGATTACTGTTACAGGGTCTCACTGTATTAGATTTGATGCAGAAAGATACACATACATTTTAGTGCTATTTTTGCACCTGTGCATGTATCAAGTGTATTCAAGATACGGTAGAGGACCTACCTTTAAGAGATGCAGGTGCCCTGGCTTGTGGTTGTTTAAAATGCAAAATGATCAAATCCCCCAATTGCGGAGGAGGTGTTATGCTTGATATTATCTTCAGTTCAGTTCAACCCACTTAAGATACAATCACAAGCTCTAATCAGTGGTTTACAACACTTCTGAACGTGTGAATGATATGCATCATGTTCACCATGTGAATGCCAGGAAGATTACCTGATGTCATTTTGACTTCATTGTTCACTTTTACAAATTATTTTACATTGATATGTACATTTCTGCCACCATATTTCTTTGTAGATTCATCACAGTGAAAGCACGGCTTGATTTAAAATTTATTAAACAGATTTAACTGTGGAAAATCAGTACTTCATTATGAAGTATTTATTATTATGCTTATGGGGCTGTGGGGTAGCCTAGTGGTTGTAGCGTTCACTCATCACCTGATAGCAGAGGTTCAGTTCCCTAAGTGGGCACAGTGTGTGAAGCCCATTTGTGAAATCTAATGTCAATGATACTAAATGGAAGATGTCAAGAAGTGTGAAAACTACTCTCCCACTGGTATGTTGTTGATGATTAGAAAATAGTGCTACATTTAGTTTAATTGCGCATAAAACGATGTGTACCCAAAACATTCGATTCTCAATTTCAGTTGTATTTGTATTGGCAGTGTGTAATATGTACATTGAATTGTTCCTATTTAGAAACATATTTGCTAAACATTTAACTAGACATTATATATTGAAGTATTTGCTTGGTATTTTTCAACATGATCATGCCATTTTTTCTCATATTCTACTCCATACACTTCAAGATGTGATATATATTTGAATGACCCACAGACGTGATACAGACTGGATAAATAGAATCACATACTTATGATATATACATACAGTGTGCCACTTCTTTTATTGCTAATTATTAGTTGTCAGGAGGACATGGTCAAGCCCTTACAAACATGTAAATATTGTTACCAGCGGGTCATCAAATCGTTGATGTAAATATCGATGGTATAGATCTGATATGAGGAAAGATCTTCAGGAAATCAGCATTGCAGGAAGAGCCAGATGTTCTGGTTGCCATGGTTACATGGTTTACATTTTTGATGAAACTTGTTATTGTTGTTAAACTGAGCTGTGCTCAGCAACCTTGTATACAAGGCTTTGAATGTATAACAGTGTTGTCAGTTCCAGTGTAATAATGAGTATGGTGATTTCAACATTAACACATTGTACAGTCTGTGCCAAAAGCTGTTAACTCTTTCAGCCCTGAACATGTATGTTGGCATTAATTTCAGTAGATTTAAGTCTTACAGTATAGTCTAGTACAAGCTGATTCTGCTAGATATGACATGGGTTGCGGACTAGTAGCTTCTGTACCAGACTGTGTATGTATATGTAACAGAGTGTAACAATGTCTATATTTGATCCTAGTAGTCCAGATGTGTCAAATGGTCAATACTGATAATAATAATAATAATAATAATAATAATAATCCTTTATTGGTCCATTTATATTGTGCTAAACCCACACCGACAGTATGATCATAGCACAGACAGTTCATTATTACCCCAGATAACCATAGCTGCCTGACAGGTACTTGAAAGGTATAGTCATTCCACTGGATGGTTAGGTTCGATCAGTGACTTATCCCACCCGGGTACCCATTTTCTGCTGGGTGAACAAGAGGCAATTTGGATCATACTCACTTGCCTAAGTTGAGACCACATGTATCACATGTGCTTCGTTGTGGGGCAAGACTGAAGTCTTAGAAACTCGGGAGTCAAGCTGCCAAACATGGTCACCTATCCAAGGACTCTCCACGCCAAACACTGCTTAACTTTGCACGCCCAACACTGCTTAACTTCAACTGATTTGTGACCTGGGCTCTGCACAGGACACACAGAACAGGTATATATCTTCAAGTACAGGTACATCTAAACAGGACTTTGTTTTACCATTGAGCGACAGCTGATTAATAACTGTCGCCATTTTCTGTAAGTGAGTGAGTGAGTTTAGTTTTACGTCGACAGTGGTCTGTTAATAATTTAGTCTGGACCAGACAATCCTGTGATCAACAGCACGAGCATAGATCTACGCAATTGGGATATGATGGCATGTGTCAACCAAGTCAGTGTGCCTGACCACCCGATCCCATTAGTCGCCTGTTAAGACAAGCATGGGTTACAGAAGATCAATTCTAACCCAGATCTTCATGGGTCCCATATTCTGTAACAATATATAAGCCATGTTTTAGGGGACATATGGTTATGAGGTGTGATTAATTTGGTTGACGATGTTTCACAATTTGATTAAATAAACCCTACTCATATCTTAGTTTTTCTTGTATAATGTTTTGTTTATATGTTTTGTGAGGAATTGATTTGTGGTTAAATTTTTCATTCAGTAATTTTAAGCATCAAACACTTCACAAGACTGGCTCGTCCTTCTGTCAGATATGTACAAGATCGACAGGGATGAAACCCTACACTCGGTTGTGGCCAAAACCTATGAGTCATGAAGGCTGTCCATATTTTTTCTGTGTTTCTCATTTCCCGCCGATTCTGAATTTCATCCCTGCGTGAAATGATAATAAGTGTTATTTATCTATTTTTTCCCCTGCCAATGGGAAAATTAATGTCATGTGATAAATAAAATTACTCCCCTATATAAACAATCATGTCAGCTTGATCTTCATCTATTATTAAATAATTGTGTACAAAGGAAAGCAACTTGGTCGACTTCATATATAAATATATAGACTATTACCAATTGATCTAAATTGGGTTGGGTTGGTACCTCACTCAGCAATATCCCAGACAATCAGCTGATCAACAGCATGAGCATCGATCTATGCAATTGGGATACGATGACATGTCAGCAGGTATTTCAGATGTGGATAATTCAAATATATGGTGTAGATGTATTCTGGTTTGATGCTGCTATAGCAAAGGAAAATGAAAGCTATAGATGAGCGTGCAGATAATTAATATTATTTGATGTAACGTTTTCCACCATACTCTCTGGTGGTCCCGTCGTCACAGTGTGACATTAAAACATATTGACTTCTAAGTCAGGTCATAACTGAAGGTTTTCCATATCACCTGAGCCAACCATATAATGCCTCATGCAGTAAGCTGGCTAGCTATTCTCAAAACGTCTGTAGCCCTACGAACTTCTTAAGCCCATTCTTAACACATTGGCTATGATCAAAGTTAAGAATTCTTAGGGCTATGAATGTTTCGAGAATAAGGGCCCCCGGTCTGTAACAAATGGGTGGTGGGGTGGCCTAGTAGTTAAATGGTCCACTCATCACGCCAAAGGCTCGGGTTCAAACTCGCTCACTTACTTGGAAATGTTATAATGTATCTCTCTGAACATCATTATCCTTCAAAGTACATTTACTATGTGTGTTGCATGTCATTGGTCTTCAATTAGTAGTTGTGATTGAAAGCAGTCAGTTTGAACTTGAATGCCCGTGCAAGCAGCATGAGGAGGTCCTGGAGGGAGGCATGTGTAGTAGATGCTGCTTCAGTCTGTCTTGACCCAACCGTAGAGGTAGCTAGTGGAGCATCTGTTTGTCTATTTTGTACAGTAACAGTTAAATTAAAGGAAACCTCAGGTTTGGCAACAATTATGTGACTTGTGTTGTTTTTATTGTTTCTGGATCCTATTAGAGACAACTAAAGGGTGTGGTGATCAGACTTACTTTGATGTATGTTATCAAATCCCAAATGCACAGACTGATGTTCATGAAGTCGTTGGTTGGTTGGTTGTTTAACGCAGCACTGAGGAATGTCCCAGCTATATGGCAGGTCTGGACAAGATAATCCAGTGATTAACAGCACAAGCATCGACCTACGCAATTAGGATACGGTGACGTGTAGACCAAGTCAGCGAGCCTGACCACCCAATCCCGTTAGTAGCCTCTTACTACAAGCATGGGTTACTGAAGACCAATTCTAACCCGGATCTTCATGTGTCGTTCAAGGTGTCAATCACTGGATTGTTTGGCCCAAATGCTATTATTTAGGGACTGCGTCATAAAACTACCAATGTCCCTTAGATTTATTAGTCTGTAGTTGTCAACCATCCTTAAAGGTTGACAGATAATGAATACAAACAATCAAAGAAAGAATTTATTTTATTTACATATATTAATCCCACTGTAGAACATTTCTGTACAAATCAGCCAGACTGGCCATAGTGATCATATACACAGTACACCATATATCTGACTTGTGTGTAACGTACGGTGTATGGCAGACAGACAGACATGCAGCACAAATACCAGGAATTACATCTGGGCTGCAACATCATAAATCTCCCATCAATCACTCCTCCATCCTGATATAATCAGTTTGGTAACTTTCAGTACAACATTAATACGGTAGGGATGAAGCGATACGGTACTTATTGTGGTACAAAGCCTTCAAATCCGTATAAGAGAGCTTACTTCTGAGAAAATAACGGCATTCTAGCAAAGTAATGCATAGATTTTGACAAAATGATTCGATTTTTGGATTGTATTACAGTATACCGAACTTAAGTCAAAATACCACGGTTCTATTAATACCCCGGTATACCGTTTCACCCCTAGTGCTGTGATGCCTTACAGTGTTTTGAAATTTAGTGAGGCTCCAGATCACGGATGTCTTAATCCATGCATGCAGATTCTGTCCCACGAACGGTGAGAATCTATAGAATGACTCATTTCTTCCCAAATTTAGTTGTTTTGTAAACCAGTAGTCTGAAATGAGCTAGGGACAAATTCCATTAAACCTGAACTTTCCAACTCTTTCACGTCACACACTAATGTGTATTGACAAGGACTCAAGGTATGACAAGGAGACTTTCATCCAAAATTTCAAACACTGCTTTAAGTCATATCATTACACCTTACTGATTGAAGGACTTAGCTGATAGATAACCCTCATGTTGACAACACGATTAAAACAGATTGAAAAATGACCCACGACCTCTTCCTGATTCCATCCATATTTGGTACAGTGACATTTGGGACTTGGGCTAATATCACATCTTGAAAATCAGACTTAGAGGATCATATCGAAAGAAATATACACAATTTCTATACATGGAAACACTTATGCTTTGAGTATGATGATCCAAAATCTAGATAAACCAGTTATTATCCCAGATCAATAAGCCAATCAAACAACACATGAATAATATTACTGAATACTGCTAAAAAAATCTCAACACCCACCATTCAAACTCAAACAGGATTGTATAACCAGGATAATCTACTCAAAACAAGTTTACAAATGAACATTATACAAAACAACACTATCAATTTATTTGTTCAGTCCATCACATTTTAACTGAAATAAAGTGATTTTGAGATCCTCTGCTAATGCATATAATTCTGCCTTAATAAAAAATACAATTTCTTGGACAAGCTGTTTTTCATTATCCTTATGATGCATTTGGAATCACTTGTATTCAATCATTAACAAAAATGCTTTAGAACGAATATGATTAACCATGGTCAGGGTAAATTTACAACTTACTTAAAGCATAAGTAACAGTAAAATACAGTAGAAGAAATCGTATAATGTAAGCGGCCATATAGATCCTGAAACAAATATAAGTTGGTATATTACATTGTTGAAATAAAACACAAGGAAACCTAAAATCTGTTCATTTTCAGGAAATAAAGAAATGAAGATTTGACAGCTGTTATAGACTCACACTGGCTGAATTGGCTATTTTCTGTGAAATATTTTCATTCACAAGATCTACAAATAGCCTTGCCTTATCTTCACAGAATCTCTCAGTTACTTTAGCCTATGTATGAAATGTGCATTATGTCCGAAAGGACACATAAAATCTCCAAATCACCATCAGTTATTGAAGCAGGATAATTCGACACATAATAACTATCCAAATATGAAATGAACATTTCAAAATGAATCTCATTTACTTTCAGATCACAGTAGCATCAACCACTTAGAATTCAACATAACATGAGTTTGATGACATATGAACATTTATGACAGATATTCAAGGATGAATTGGAATTAAAACTGATCAAATTATGTAAAAACTTTCTGAAGCACTATAATAAATTAATACATGTGCTCACAACACAACACTGAGTCAGCAACACTTGCATGAAAATTGAAATCAGCTCGTCTCATATTGTACCCACAAAGGGAAGATTTTCACCACACAGCTCCATGGCCTCGCTTTGACTTAAACAATACCCCAGTGAAATAAAGATCGTATTCATATATACATGCTGGGCTATGACTCTAATCAAAATATTATAACACAATAAGAACTTCATTAAATAAGCATTTTATTTGAAAATTTACCACATACAACCTAATGTAATTGTTGGCGTCAGGTATTGGTATGGTCAGCATCCCAAACAGTGTCAACGTCCAATGCTATTTTTCCAGTCTCAAACTTCTAATCGAGTCTAAACTTTAATTATAGGTTTACCTCTGGAATATATGCCTTCTTATGTGTAGGAGAAAAACATTCAAATTCTAAATGGGGAGTTTACCTCACAGACAATACCCATTACTAAGAAATAATAAATTATCTGTACAACAAATTCTAGATACAACAAAGATTCTTTTAGTGAGTGTGTGAGTTGGGTTTTACGCCGCTTTTAGCAATATTCCAGCAATATCACGACGGGGACACCATAAATGGGCTGCACACATTTTGCCCATGTGGGGATTTGAACCCGGGTCATCAGCGTGACGAGCCGACGCTTTAACCATTAGGCTACCCCACCGCCCCTAAAGATTCTTTTAACATGCATGGGGGTAAAGATAAAAACTACATACATACCCAGCTTGGTCAACCAAAGCTCAAGAAAATCAGTTTTTTAGTTATGTGGTCCTTTACACTTATTGTGCACAATTGAACATGACAAAACCAATTTAACCATAGCAAATAGTATACATACATTTCCTCTTCCTAACTCTGTCTTCATACAATTGTTTTCATATCTCAAAGCCTGTATGTTATGACATACTTTCTGAACATGTGCACCTCAAATCCTCTAATGTTGACAGAAACAGTGAGTTAATATAATAGCATCACATCGGCAATAATCAATATTTACAGACTAGCATGGCATAACAGGCTTGATTTAAGAGATGTTAACCTACTTGCACCAGCTGCAACCTCTGCTAAAGACTTAGTTGCACCAGCCAATTCCAGTTACACTGCTTTTATTGCAATGTGTAGATGCAATTATTTAGATGTTTTATTCAGAAGTTTACCCACTCAAAACTTAACTTGAACCTGGTGCAAGTTAGACTAATAACGAGGTTGCACTTTGTAATATTGGGTCGCACCAGTGCAATTAACAAAGCACAAAATCGAGCCCTCCGTAAGTTGTTTGTTTTGTCTGATATATAGCTTTCTAATGGTCAAAGAGCATGTGATGTTGTATTCAGGTACATTGTATCAGAATGGGTATGAGCGACAAAAAGAGGATAATGAACTGGAGGGTCTTGAGGGCTGCAGCACGATGACCCCAGCACGATCAAATCTGCTGAATTCTGCGGATCCGCAGAAACTTCTCATCTGAATTTGTTCTGAGAAAATGTAACAAAATTTAATCCTACAGTATCTTGGGCCCAGCCTCATCATCGAGTTCTGACTGTTGTTTGTTTAAAAATAAAGTAGGGAGCATCTTGTCATACCCCATACTCAAACCAGGTAGGAGTCCATTACCCACAGCTTGACCTAAGCTACAACAGTCATATTCCTTATAACTTAATGACAGGATTCTGATATCCGATCTGACAACTCAGAATCAGGATCATAATGATGGTGAACATGACACAGTTGCATCCCTTGATCCATACTAGCGTTCCTCTTCACTCAACACATTTATTCAATGTCATGACAATGTCCATTGCTACTTCTGGTTTGTAACTGTATCTGACAACCTGAAAAGAAAAACAGTCAATGTGGAACCAATCTGTTTAACACAAATTGTATAAAGTAGTTTGTTCACTGAGCTATTTTATGTTTTATACAAAATGTATGAGTTAGCGAGTTTAGGTTTACGCCGCACTCAGCAATATTCCAGCTATATGGCGGTGGTCTATACATAATCAAGCCTGGACCAGACAATCCAGTGATCAACAGCATGAGCATCAATCTGCGCAATTGGTAACAGATGACATGTGTCAACCAACTCAGCGAGCCTGACCACACGATCCCATTAGTCACCTCTTACGACAAGCATGGGTTATTTTAACCTGGACCTTTAAGGGTCACAAAATGTATGAAGCATCTTTATTGCTAAGGGACCTTACATAATTTATTTGGGGGTAGGGGGTGGGGGGAGAGAGAGAAGGGGAGGGATTGGTGACTGTTGTTTGTTTAAAAATATTATTCTGGGGAGACCAGAAATGGGCGTCACTCATTGTACCCATTGGGGAATCGAACTCATGTCTTCAGCGTGACGAGCGGACTTTTTAACCATTAGGCTATTCTACATGAACAATTGCAGCAACCTGACCATATGGCCGTCTTGCAGAAAAAGTTGTCAAAACAACTGAATTCATGAAGCCCATAACAGCAAGACAATCAAGCACTTACCATATCATGGCTTCATCCAGACCGTCTCCTTGGATTGCAGATGTTTTAAATATCTGATACTTTCTATTCTTCAAGTTACTGAGACCTAGTGCATTAGCCACCTCTGACACTGACATAGCTCCTTCTATGTCCTGCTTGTTGGCAAAAAACCACCAGCGCTGCCTTCTTCAACTCATCTTCCTACACACAGAGATAGCATTCAAATAAAAATAATGCATCCAATGAATAAATTCATAATAAGGCACCATTCATAATATTTAGCTAGGGGGTGATGATTAGTTTGTAGGGGGAGGGGGAGGGGGGGGCATCAATTTTGTACACATGTACTGAGGGAGGTCAATAATTTTGTACATAGAATATTACAAAATTAAGATTTATAATTAGGAGGGGGGGAGAGAGATCATTTACATTGCACATCTCCATAAACATCAGCATGCACGCACTGCCATAAATTATGAACCTTCCCTAACCAAGTAGGCTTTACGGGATTTAATGCTGCTTTGAACAGTATTCAGGTGTTAGTACATTGTAATAGGTGGATGCAGAAGGTCATTGCCAGTGTGATGGAGGTCTAGGATATTTATCACTGGGGTCAAATCCACAAGGAAGGACATGGTGCTGACAAACCTAGAAACACAACAGGTGCAAATTCAAATCCATGACCATAGGTTCCTGGAGCCTTCAAGGGTAGCAACTCTGATCAGAGAATCTGATTGATAACAAAACGTGTTGAACATTGCTTTAGCCTGTTTGGGTCAAAATGATACCGATAAATTACAATCTTACTCTTAATCAGTTCATGATCAAACATTCATTTCAACGCAGAATGTAATGAAAACATCAGACCAACTCAGAAAAATGCTTCATAATGTTTGTCTCCAAAATATAAAAAAGTTACTTTACAAACTTTCATCATTTGTTATGATTTTCCATGTGAAGTTTTAAGGGGGTAAAGTAAACGCAGTACTGTTGTAGTACAAAACTTCGAAAATAATGGACTTGACGTCAAAGGTGAATTTCATTGTCTCATATATACCGTGTCAATAAATCTATTTGCTATGCTTGATGTAACATCACAATTGCACTTGCTTCCCGCCTCTCGGACTGTTCTTTAAACAGTACTACCATTACTTTACCCTTCACTCAGAATCAAAACAAAATGATGACAGTTTGTTAAATAACCTTTTTATTTTGGAGACAAATGTTATGAAACTTTTTTTCCAGAGTTGGTCTGATGTTTTCATTACATTCCGCATTGAAATGAATGTTTGATCATGAACCGATTTGGAGTTAAATTGTGATCCAGGATCGGTATCATTTTGACCCAAACAAACTGTAGTTATATAGTGAATCTATGTTCTAAAACATTGAATGTCCCTGGCATCATCAATCAGGGTTCGAAGTACCCCATATATTAGTGTGCCATGGCATGGTAAATATTAAAATGGCACGGATAAAAAATATTCTCGGTGCCCTTATGGCATGCCTTATTTGGGGGAAACATAAATCACATTTAGTCACGTAATCCCCAAAACAACTATTTTTTTCCAAACTGAATAATGCCATACATATTTGATTGCTAAAAAAAACATTTCTTTCCCGTGTTTACAATCATTGTTTCCCATGGGTGCAACGATTTTATATGTCGGTGCACATGACTGGAAATCGTGTGACAAAAAATCTCATTATGAACTGAACTGTTTGAAAGCAGACAACTGACGACAAAAATGTCTAAAAAACCCACCTATTCTGAGCATTTTCAAGCGATCTGATCCTGATCCGGTTAAAACATCTTATAACAATTATCCTATAACAGATGAGGAAAATAAATCATCAACTCAAGATGACAAAATGAAACCCGATCCAACAGCAAGTGCTAGTGGTAGTACAAGTAGTAATATGTGTGGAATACCTCAGAGCTGGCTTCCACAAAAAATATGAATCATGGCTTGAATGTCACTGTACAAAAACTAATATTCTGTAAAATATGCAAAAACTTTGGCAGTGTTGTTGCTGGAGATGGGAAAAGCAACAACCTTGTCATGGGGTCAAAGAGTTTCAGAACCAGTAAATTAGAAACTTATAGTGAAGGTTACAAACATTTGCTTGCACTGCATGCTCAAATAGCATCCAAATTGAAGCCAGGAGAATCAGGTATTGAGAGAGGGATAATAACTCTAAATGAGAAAGAGACAGATAGGCTTTTCAAAAAATTTCATTACTGCTTACAATCTTGCTCAAAGAGAATTACCATTTACTGAATTTGAAAAAAGTTTTGAGACTGCAGAGTGTGAACTTTGACACAGATTTAATGAACAATTATGCAAATGACAAACAAGCAAAAACATTTATTGACTTTGTCACACAGGAAATCACTGGAATTATGATGGATGATGTAAAGAAATCTGGCTGTTTTTCCATTTTGATGTTGTAATGGGAGTACTGATAGTTTTGTTATTGAAGATGAATTTATTTATACTAACAATAAATTTCAAATGATCATCATCATTGTTACAGTCTATTATTCTAAAAACAAGTGGGCACACTTCATTTCTGAAAGGCACACCTAAAATATTTGTCTGGTGCCTTAAGGCACGCTTAGAAAAATGTAATTTTCTGACTAAAATTGATATTTTATATGTAAAAGGTCCAAAATAGAATAGGATATGTGCCGTATAGGAACCCAGGTGCTCTCACAACCATCCTCAAGGGCGAAGAAGGAGAGAGTGACAAACATAGCTGGTCATGTGATCAAAAAGGGTGCCAAAGGAGGCAAGGGAGGCTACTCGTGGGTGAGAAATGATTTTACGTCCGCTTTTTAGAAGGGAACTTCAAGGGATTTCAAGTGTTCCACTATCATTCGCAAGAAGGAGGAGACAAGCATTTAGCATGAGTCAGGATAAGGAAAAATATAAGTATTTTTATCCCTGTCAACACAATTGCACCTGCTGCAGCGATTAGCAGTTATTGACCGAGCAGTTATTTCAACAGAGAGGGCACAAGAACATTTCCATGAATTTACAAAATTTGAAATGACATTCTTTTGTCAGTGTGATTTTAAAAACCAATTTCTATTCATTTTTGACAAATTAACTGACTTCAACTTAGCTCAATGGATACTAGAGTTAGAAATGAATAGTAATTCACCTTGAGCTTTTTAACTTAGTCTCCAGTAATCAATTTGTCCATATAACTACTGACAAGCTATCATGACAATAACACTTTTGGAAGAAATGAATATCATTCACTAAGGCAGAAATGCTGTGTTAGGAACAAAGAGTGAAACAAAACAACTCAACATGAGGCCATTGATGCAATAAATTTAACAGTAAACTAAACCATGTCAGATTTCAAGCATTGTTTAAACTAAAAACATTCGTTTCTATTATATTTTTGCTCAATGTTATGCTGAGAGTTCATCACTGTTTAGGAATAAAACTCTCACATATCTTTATCCATGTATTTATTTATTAATGTCATATGAACATATATTGTTAAAAAATAGCTATTCATAGATTTAAAGACTAACGACATACAACTGCATTGAAAGTCTTTTTCACTTAATTTTAAAATGTCGTCTTAGCCAGTAAGGACAGACAGACTGGAATTACCCCAACCACGTCGCGAGTACTACTTAACTAACCAGCTATTCCAACCTTCTCCACTATTTGCTTACACATCGACCCATCAACATGCATTTTCGGCCACTGGACTTCAAGCACAAATAGAAGTTTAAGCCCTGTCCATACTCAACCAGAATTCAGAATGTCATGCTCGCCACGAATCGGAAAAGCCAAGAAATTGACCACTATTGACGTCTTTACAACAGTCTCAATTGAATTCATTTCACGTATTGTGCATTATTAGGCTGAATGAGGTTTTGCAGCAAAATTTTGCTCCTCAAACAAGGTGTTCAATATCAAAATAATCCTACAACTTTGTTAGGACTTTGTCTGTTTTCAAAAGAAACTAAAACACTGGCATGTGCCAGAGTAAAGACAAATGCTATTTACCTCCAACATAGATACAAGTTCCTGTTTTGAGATCCCGATACGGTCACGATCCATACTGTCCACCACATAGATGATGGCATCAGTGTTCGAGTAGTAACAGCGCCAGTAAGGTCTGGAACAGAAGTAGTGTGTGAATATTGTTTCAAGACATGGTCATCAATGTTACTCCAAGCTATCGGCTGTTGTAAATCATAATCAAGATTTGGCCAAACACACCAGTGGCTAGATACATGAGTAAGTCTCACTCTAATGACAATCAGCTAGGTGACATACCAAAACAACCTAATATATTTACTAAAACATGATAACGTAAACTGAAACATGACATTGTAATCTATGGACCATTGCAAGATATTAACAACCTTCAAGATCAACAAGAAGTCTTATTCAATGAGACACTAGTGATGGGAATTGGATAAAATCTCATAATTGATGTTTGATTCATTACAACCGATCTATCATCGAAAATTGGTTAGCGTTCTTTATCAAATTTTCCTGGTTTTGTTTGTTAATGCACAAAAAACAATGTTTACCACTAATATGGCAATGTCCCCCGCCGCTAAAGAAGAACGAAATATTTACAATATATTTACTACTTTATATCTTTTGCTCACATTCAAGATGCCTGAAATGACTGGTGTCTACATAATCACCCAATGTAGGCTCTCGACATAATTGAAAACATTGGGTGCAATGTTTTATGAGATAGCGCGTTTAAATAAGTTTGAAAAGTGGCCAAAGTGTCATGGTGACCTTGAAAATAAGTGTTCGAGTAGTAACAGCGCCAGTAAGGTCTGGAACAGAAGTAGTGTGTGAATATTGTTTCAAGACATGGTCATCAATGTTACTCCAAGCTATCGGCTGTTGTAAATCATAATCAAGATTTGGCCAAACACACCAGTGGCTAGATACATGAGTAAGTCTCACTCTAATGACAATCAGCTAGGTGACATACCAAACAACCTAATATATTTACTAAAACATGATAACGTAAACTGAAACATGACATTGTAATCTATGGACCATTGCAAGATATTAACAACCTTCAAGATCAATAAGAAGTCTTATTCAATGAGACACTAGTGATGGGAATTGGATAAAATCTCATAATTGATGTTTGATTCATTACAACCGATCTATCATCGAAAATTGGTTAGCATTCTTTATCAAATTTTCCTGGTTTTGTTTGTTAATGCACAAAAAACAATGTTTACCACTAATATGGCAATGTCCCCCGCCGCTAAAGAAGAACGAAATATTTACAATATATTTACTACTTTATATCTTTTGCTCACATTCAAGATGCCTGAAATGACTGGTGTCTACATAATCACCCAATGTAGGCTCTCGACATAATTGAAAACATTGGGTGCAATGTTTTATGAGATAGCGTTTAAATAAGTTTGAAAAGTGGCCAGAGTGTCATGGTGACCTTGAAAAATAAGGTTTTTTGGGGCAAACTGCACAAAATGCATTTGCAAATTTCACATTACTCTCAAAGGATGACTAGTAGGGCTGCAGACTTGGGTACACTATGTTGAATATGATATGTATCATGAATATTGAAACTAGCGAATCTGAATAATTATTGATCTAATTCAATAATGTAGTTATGTGATTGATGTACAATATGGAATGCCCATGTTGACAGTTTTGATTTGTCACAGCAATAACCAGTGATCTCATGACACTCAAATTTGGTATGTAATAGTTATAGTGACAGTATCATGTTAACCTTGGCAAACTAACATGACTTGCGCTACTGCAATGCTAGTACATATTCAATCCTTGCATATCTCGCTTTCCAAAAAGTACACAAGGGTCCAAGTAAAGAAAAACATGTTTCCTTAAAAGATTGTAAATATTAGTTAATATTCAGTTCTGGGTGTCCACGAATAGCAATTGAATTCATGAAGGGGCTCGGTTCGATTCACATTTTCGAAAGTGAATCGGGTACAGTCTATAATGAACTAGTATGTTAGGAACATAAATTTCCTGGAGTCTTTAAGATAAATTCAAGCATGACTTGGAACGAGCTTGTAGCCCTTATGAATTGTAACAGACAAAATCAACCTTGTGAAAAATATTGTTAATGCAAACAAGTGTTCCAAAATTGTTTGTGTTCGATTATGAGAAAACATGATCGATTGCTTGGTCGTTTAGGCACTGCGTTCAATCTTTGATTGTTACAATTAATCGGGCCATCACTATGAGACACCATGAGCAGAGCTCAGACAGCGAGTATGTTTTTACACCGCTTTTAACAATATACCAGTATTATCTCGGCAGGGGACACCAGAAATAGGCTTCCCACATTGTAACTATATGTAGAATCAAACTCGTGTCTTTGGCGTGACGAGCGAATGCGTTTACCACAAGGCTACCCCACTTCCCATGAGCAGAACTAATCTTGCCCATAGCCAAACTGTAGGTTTATGTAACAAAGAAAGGAACTACAAAAGGATTTTACTACAAAACAACTAGCACTACACCATTTTCACTTGTTACAGACTAACTGACTTCATGTCGCTACACTCTGCAATCAATTATGAGAACTGGCATACTATGGACTCTTGCGTCATGTAAAGTCAAAGGCAGACATGCTCAACACCACACTAACACTTACCTTATGCTTGTTTGGCCTCCCAGATCCCAAACTTGAAATTTCAAATTCTTGTAAGTGACTGTTTCAACATTAAATCCAATAGCTGAAAATGAAAAATTATAGAAATATCATGCTGCCTTACTGAAGTTTTTGGACAGTATTTCAGTAATATTTTCAACCTTGGCACCCTGCAATCAGCCATAAATGTCACAGAAATATTTGTCGCACAAGTTCAAACTGTATATATTAAAAGTAATATTACCCCTTAATATGTCAAAACCTTTTACTGATGTGCTATAAATGACTGAACACTTTTCATATGGAGCAAGGCACAATGTGTGGGAGCAAGGCTTATAAAAGCACATGCGATTTCTCGGCTTCCATGTCTGGGACCAAAATCAAGGAGCACCAGATTTTTTTTCCAGTATTTTATAAGATTTTAAACAGCAAACAATTGTCACATGTAACATATCAACCATCCATTGTGAAATAATAGCCAGACACTGGGGCTGGTGGGTTGTAGACTTCTATCAGACCTTTTGGTGAATCAGCATTGTCTGTATTTTGATTTTATGCTATATCTTATTGCAAAGAGCAGTCATTTAAGAGAAACAGTCGAAAATGGCTGCTCAATGTGTCTAACCAAGCGACAGTAACCTACTTGGTATTGTAGTGACCACTTCACCAACTTGTAGCCTATACAAGATGGTTGTCTTTCCAGCTCCATCCAAGCCAAGGATGAGGATGCGGCGTTCTCGGGTCCCAAATAGACCTGTCAAGATGCTGTATAGTCCTCCTGAAAACAAGCAAATGCTCTATCAATGACACATCAGTCAATCCAATGATTGATATTGTGAGTGAGCAACAACTGTCTACATCTGGACTCAAGCCACTAATTAAAGATGTATCTGCATTGTCAATAATACAATACAAGAACATAGTTTACTTGGCACACCTCACTTTAGCGTGAAGCCAATGACTAGGTCAATGAGCACATGTTATTTGTGACAGTACCAGTTGTATTGTGGGAAGGATGAGGTAGATTTACTTATACCGGTACCACTAAACGTATTTTCTGTGCATGGTCGGAAGGAAGCTTAAGGTTAGGGTTAGCAGGGTTAGGGTTAGACTCCTATAAACAACAACCGGAAAATGGTCCCGGTATAAGCAAAGTGCTCTGAAGGATGTTTGCTAATAAGAGACCATAGATGGGTATGTGGTCTCTGCTTTGCTTCAAGCTGGAAACTTGAGTTTGATCCTCAATGCCATACTTATTGAACTAAACAAAAAAAACATGGACATATCTTGTAATGTGTAGTAAGTTAACCTTATTCTGCACCAATTCTTGTGTCAATTCGTGAGTCACCCCTGATTATAGTGGATACATCATAAACAATAAGCAATGACACAATGACTTATTCTCACATGATCTTGGTATTACTTACAAAGTAACTTAGTCACAGCTCATATATGCTTCAAATAATCCCATCCTTCTGAAACTCTCGTACAAAACCAATAACTGAATCCCAGTTTCCCTGTGGTTTCAATGGTTCCAAGTCAATAGCAGAGGGGAAACACAGACCAGTTAAGGCCTGTTTCATTTTGCGTTCATTTTTGTCAAATGTAAATGATATTAAATCGTTTAATATACAGGAAAAGAAAACAAACCCATAGTGTGTTGCAATTCTGCGTTATGAAGCGATTTCCTCTAAGGGCCGGTAGATCCGTCTGGTTCAGACGACGTGTCTTGTGTTTATGCGCATGCGAATGACATTCCCCTTCGACTAATCATATTGGCTATATATTGTTGTATGCGTCTGTCGAACTCCATACACAACGTGTAATACCTGTCTTTTAGTGGTTGGTTCTTTAGCATTTGAGGGTTTGGTAGTGCGGGTAATGTTTGGTGCGATAATAATAATATCATTATTATTGTTCCAATTGGCCAGATTTTTCTAGTAAAAACTGGCCATGCAGGTAATTTAAACGAGCCATGTGTGCTATACTCATTACTGAATTCAGGCTATCATGTTAATTACCGCATGAATGTACCCGGAATAATTGTTTCCGTGAACACATTTGTAGTGACCACTTCACCAACTTGTAGCCTATACAAGATGGTTGTCTTTCCAGCTCCATCCAAGCCAAGTATGAGGATCACGGCGCTCGGTCCCAAATAGACCTGTCAAGATGCTGTATAGTCCTCCTGAAAACAAGCAAATACTCTATCAATGACACATCAGTCAATCCAATGATTGATATTGTGAGTGAGCAACAACTGTCTACACACCTGACTCAAGCCACTAATTAAAGATGTATCTGCATTGTCAATAATTCAATACAAGAACGTAAGCTTTACTTGGCACACCTCACTTTTAGCGTGAAGCCAATGACTAGGTCAATGAGCACATGTTATTTGTGACAGAACCAGTTGTATTGTGGGAAGGATGAGGTAGATTTACTTATACTGGGTACCACTAAACGCCTATTTTCTGTGCATGGTCAGAAGGAAGCTTAAGGTTAGGGTTAAAGCTAGGGTTTAGGTTAGACTCCTATAAACAACAACGGGAAAATGGTCCCGGTATAAGCAAAGTGCTCTGAAGGATGTTTGTTAATTAGCTTAATAGCTAATGAATTCGCTAAGAGACCATAGATCGGTATGTGGTCTCCGCTTTGCTTCAAGCTGGAAACTTGAGTTTGATCCTCAATGCCATACTTATTGAACTAAACAAAAAAACATGGACATATCTTGTAATGTGTAGTAAGTTATAACCTTATTCTGCACCAATTCTTGTGTCAATTCGTGAGTCACCCCTGATTATAGTGGATACATCATAAACAATAAGCAATGACACAATGACTTATTCTCACATGATCTTGGTATTACTTACAAAGTAACTTAGTCACAGCTCATATATGCTTCAAATAATCCCATCCTTCTGAAACTCTCGTACAAAACCAATAACTGAATCCCAGTTTCCCGGTGGTTTCAATGGTTCCAAGTCAATAGCAGAGGGGAAACACAGACCAGTTCAGGCCTGTTTCATTGTGCGTTCATTTTTATGTCAAATGTGAATGATATTAAATCGTTTAATATACAGGAAAGGAAAACAAACCCATAGTGTGTGGCAATTCTGCGTTATGAAGCGATTTCCTCTAAGGGCCGGTAGATCCGTCTGGTTCAGACGACGTGTCTTGTGTTTATGCGCATGCGAATGACATTCCCCTTCGACTAATCATATTGGCTATATATTGTTGTATGCGTCTGTCGAACTCCATACACAACGTGTAATACCTGTCTTTTAGTGGTTGGTTCTTTAGCATTTGAGGGTTTGGTAGTGCGGGTAAGTGATTGGTGCGATAATAATAATATCATTATTATTGTTCCAATTGGCCAGATTTTTCTAGTAAAAACTGGCCATGCAGGTAATTTAAACGAGCCATGTGTATTATACCATAACTGAAATAGACTATACAAAGCATTAATGTAAGAATATACCCACACTGTGGTAAACACATTTTCGAGCTGTCACACGTGTGCCTCTCCTTTTCAGTTGTTATTTTAGTTGAAAACATATCAACAGATGAGCTTAAATAAGTTTACTTGTAGTGTAACAAAACCCACAACTTCGAAATGTAAACATAACCCCTCCCAACACCCCACTCATTCTCAGTCAGATTGCACATTTGTGATCATGGAAATAGGATTTATTTTATCTGAACACAATTTCTGCAATATGACAACGACAAGTATTATTTACTTGACCTATGTACACAATGATAGGATACAATGTCTTGTAGTCTGTTAATAAACGGCGGTTACTAGCAGTGGGGTATTTTCTAGTGTATTTTACGTCACACAAAATAATTCAATGTTAGATATATGTAAACTATATTACAACTTGTTTTGATTGTTTGCTTAACTCCTATAACAAACTAAAGTTAATTTCAACTCAAATAAATAAAAAGAGTAATCATATGTTACATAGAATTTTACCGTTATGTTGACAATTGGTGAAACTTCAAACATGAATTTCCAAATAGATCCTCTAGTTCATCTAAAGTAATATTGAATGCCTTACACTGGCATTTCTATATTTAAAGGCAACGTCAAGGACGTATGCGACCTGGAAATATATTTACTTGCTCCATCGTGGTTATCAAATGCATCACTGTAAGGTAATAAACATTTAATACAACTGTAACGTAGAATACTGTCAAACATAACGGCTGCTGTTTTGTCATTTTCAGAACACAACAAAACAAATAAATCAATTACATATCTTTAACAAACGTTTAGCATCAAACGTTGGATTACATAGGCATTTATGTTCATTTAACAATCTAATTGCATTTAACATTACAGCAACTGTATTTTACCTTACGAAAGCCATATGGTAATTTCAGTATGTTTTTCATAACCGAACATGATTATACATGATACATCTCATTAGAATATCTTTATTATACACGTATTGATAAACGTTTAACAGTTTGGCTTGTACACATATATACAAGAATAATAAGGTTGAAAGTTCAGTACTTACACTGATGATTTAAATAAAGATGATTTAACCCGTCAGAGCACGCTCATTGAAATCAGCATGAATGACGTCATCACATTTGTTAGTAATGTATGCCCATTATGTGATGTTAAATAGCCACATTTGTAACTGTAACGTAAAATACCGTAACGCAGAATACATAACGTAAAATACATCAGTCATTAATATGAGCCACGCCGGTTAAACAAATGATATAGTGCGAATATAGGAGACAGGAAAAGGAACTAGGTTGCATACACCTTACCAGATGATCATATAGATGTGCTCAGGTTATGTATAAGGTCTTATAACGTAGTAACGTAAAATACCGTAACGCAGAATACGTAACGTAAAATACATCAGTCATTAATATGAGCCACGCCGGTTAAACAAATGTAGCCCGAATATAGAGGACAGGAAAAGGAATTTGGTTGCATACACCTTACTAGATGATATAAACATAGATGTGCTCACAGATTATGTATAAGGTCTTATAACGTCGTAACATAAAATACACCCTTGTCTATACTGTATATGATTGTATCTTCCCAACATATTTATAGCTTAACAAGTTATTACAGCACAATGGATTTAATGTTCAATGTCTTTAATAAAGCATGAGCGATTACTTTCTTAAAGTTACTGGATGTATTTTTTTCTCTCTTTTGATATTGTTTTCTTTGTTTTGGAGCATAACGTAAAATACAAAAGAATTGGCGGCAGTGGAATTCCATTAACATTTGACCCTCAAATATTAGGTCTGGTCCAGACTCCATTATGTACAGACCGCCGCCATGTAGCTGGAATATTGCAGAGTGCAGCGTAAAACTAAACTCACTCACCCACTCAAATATTAGGTTAAATGACCACCTCACAGTAAGATTCAGCGTAATATCTGACACTTCATGCATGAACAGATAACACTCAGTATCACTAGTGTTATTTTTGATGCAACAAATATATACACCGTCGCTGGCGACATGCAACTTTTAACTAAAATGTAATGTTATATATATCGTAAGAATATATTCTTTATGTATTATGGAAATGGTAATGGTAAATTAACAAAGAATACCAAATGTATCTTTATTTGTCCGCCTCCGTGGTGTAGTGGTTAGAGCGTCCGCCCGGTTCAATCCGCGACCGCGTCATACCAAAAGACGTTAAAATAGTGTACTTGTTGGTCCCTGCCTGGCGCTCGGCATTAATGGGTACAACAAGGACTGGTCGGTTCGGAGTCAGTATAATGTGTCTGAGTGGGGTATTCATGCTTCACTGCTGCATGGTATCTCAGTGGGCTAGCACTATAAAACCAGCTTCAGTCTGGGCTAGTACAAGCAGCCGCACATACACATACACACGCATGCACGTCGTCATATGAGCGAAATATTCTCTAGCACGACGTTAAACCCAATTTCACCTCACCTCACCTATCTTTATTTCCAAACTAACTTTTGTGAAGAGGTGCAATATTTTTGCACTTTACAATCATGCGACGACGCAATAGAGTAAATGTGCATGTTCATTGAGAATTAGTGACCCCTCTCTCTCACACACACACTTTTTCTCTCCCTTTCTTACTCACTCACTATCTCTCACTCACCCACACTCTTTCTCTCAGTGAGTGGGCGAGTTTGCTTTAACGTAACACCACTTAATTAATGACGTCACTTTGTTACAGTTTATTGTGGGAACAACATAGTTGGGAAACACAACCTACTTAAACATCTGACTCTTAAGCACCTTCCACTTAAACACATAACACATAAACATCTGACACTTAAACATAAGCCTCTCCAACATTAAGTTCCACTTAAACACCTACTTCTTAAACATCTCCCTCTTAGATATATTTCACTTAAACACCTACCTCTTAGATATATTTCACTTAAACGCCTATCTCTTTGATATATTTCCCTTAAACGCCTACCTCTTAGATATATTTCACTTAAACACCTACCTCTTAGATACATTTCACTTAAACACCTACCTCTTAGATACATTTCACTTAAACGCCTATCTCTTTGATATATTTCCCTTAAACGCCTACCTCTTAGATATATTTCACTTAAACACCTACCTCTTAGATATATTTCACTTAAACACCTACCTCTTAGATACATTTCACTTAAACGCCTATCTCTTTGATATATTTCCCTTAAACGCCTACCTCTTAGATATATTTCACTTAAACACCTACCTCTTAGATATATTTCACTTAAACACATACATCTACCTCTTAGATACATTTCACTTAAACGCCTATCTCTTTGATATATTTCCACTTTAAACACCTACCTCTTAGATATATTTTTAAACACCTACCTCTTAGATATATTTCACTTAAACACATACATCTACCTCTTAGATACATTTCACTTAAACGCCTATCTCTTTGATATATTTCCCTTAAACGCCTACCTCTTAGATATACTTCACTTAAATACCTACCTCTTAGATATATTTCACTTAAACACCTACCTCTTAGAAATATTTCACTTAAACATTTAACAGTTTAAACGTCTGGGTATGTTGATGACATGCAGCACATCATCGCTGGTTGGAGACCCTATGATTCATTCGTGACCAAGCCATGTTGTTCCGGGACAAGCCGAATAGTGTACGGAAAGGGACGAGTCGTGACGAATGCCTACAATTAGCGGAGCAAAGTAAACTAGCGTCCAAAAGAAACACCACCAAAATACAAATTATCATAAATTGTCAAAATAATTGCCAATCTGCTGAAAAACGGCTGAAAACACATCCCTCGAACACAACCTGTCTCTTCCCAGTGAACAAGTGCACGAGATTTTGATGATTGGTGAGTTAAATGAATTCGCACAGAAAAAATGGAAATTGTGCACAAAGTTACCCGTATGACATGAGGGTATAAAACCTGACTAGATTTGTTCTCTCTCATCATGTGACACGATTGAAAACAGCCAACATGCCTCGATTGACCAAAGAACAGAGGGAAAGAGCAATCGGTATGCTTCAGATGGGCGCAACACAGGAGCACGTGGCCAGGATCATGGGATGCTGCAAGTCCACCATCGCCAGACTTGTCACACGTCACAGACAGACTGGCAGTACTGCTGACAGATCCAGGAGTGGCAGACCCAAAGTCACGACCCCACAGAAAGATCGATATATACGTGTGCTTCATTTGAGAAACCGCTACCTCACTGTGACGTCATCAAGCGCCAATAGCCTTGGACATGCAGTCAGCAGACAGATCGTAGCAAGACGACTCCGCCAGCATGGTATTCGTGCCTGTCGACCTTTCAAGGGCATGACGTTAACGCTCCGACACCGACGTGCCAGATTGAGGTGGGCCAGGACCGTAATGCAGTGGCAGCAGCGAAACTGGCGAAGAGTGCTCTTCAGTGACGAGAGCAGGTTCCAGCTCTTCAAATCTGATGGTCGTGTTCGAATCTACCGACGTCGGGGCGAACGGACGGCACCTGCTTGCATCCAAGAAGTGGAGCATTACGGCGGTGAAAGCGTCTGGGCGGAATTTGTGGGGACCAGAAGACAGATCTCGTCCTCATCAACGATAATCTCACCGCTCGTTACATCGACGAGATTTTACGGCCTGTGGTGCTGCCTTACCTGCAACGTCACCCAAGGACTCTGTTTCAACAGGACAACGCCACACCTCACACAGCTCGGATCCTTAGTGACTTCCTCAACACTAACGACGTCAACCTGCTGCAGTGGCCAGCGAGATCACCCGATCTGTCTCCAATCGAACACCTCTGGGACCAACTGGGGCAACGTATTCGGAAACGTCAACAGCCGCCATTGACTTGGGGCGCTTTGGCAGTAGCCCTGCAAGAGGAATGGCGCCGAATCCCTAATGATGACGTCAGACGGCTCACATACTTAGGGGCTGCATCACTGCTAGGGGTGGTCACACACGATACTGAATCATCTGTGTTGTTCAGGACAGTTTAAGACCTTAAAGACGAATCAGCGTTGGCGATCGAATACTGGACACTGCACCCCTGTGTCATCCATGTGCCTTCAGAACACGAACTGTTTCGTTTTTCTAACTGAAAAGTTTCAAGAACTGTTGCTGAATGATTGTGTTTTACAATACAACACTTCTTGTTACCATAATTTGCTTTTGTTGTGTTTTAGTGAAGAAAACTGTTTGGTGGCGTTTCTTTTGGACGCTTGTTTATATAGAAAAGAGACCCAGCTCTCAACGACATGCATAAAACCAGGGATAATCTACAACCAGAGAGAATAGAAGACGTAGATTATCCCTGATAAAACAAACGACTGGACCCCCAGTTCCCCTGTCGTACTCCAATGTTTGTTTCAACAAAGTTTAGGGAATAAAGACAGGGGCAAATATCAAATCCAAACTTAAAGAAGCTCGTTTGTGTAATATTTGTTGGATCTTTTCTGTTCACTTTTCTATAAAATATAAAATCGAAACATATCATAGGTGATCTAAAAGCAGACGTGATAAAACCTGTTTCGTTGATAAGACGGGAATGTTAGGAAATGAAACATTACTTATCTGGAAAGAGAGAAAGGTTACTTGTCTGGAAAGATTTTATGTGCTTCATGAGACCTTGCAACGACCGGACATCGTTTAGAGAATGGTATTCAGTCACAAAAACCCCAAAACGGAACCATTTATTAAAACATTTAAAATGGAACAAATTAGACAGTCTTTGGTGTGAAATTTCATTAAACATAATTGTGTTTTAATGCCACCTTAGGGTTATGCGCCTCTTGAATAGCTTGTTGTACGTCGTTCTGATAATAGTACGTTTGCAGCGTCTAATTTCTGTTTCGAATATGTACAGTTTTTATTTGACCATTCGAATCAAGAAAAACAAAAAAAATCTCTTTTTATCTCGACATTGTAATTGTGTTTTTCTCCATTCATGCATAATTATAAAATTATACGAAACGAATATTGACGTTTATTTCAATCGGACTCCCTATATCAAATCTCGTTTATCTCGGGGTATAATCATACTACCGGTCGACGGCGTAATTACCCGACATTATCTGAATGCTCAGAATTGTTCAGCAGCCATGTCGAGACGAGCAGAAGGCCAGCTCTTTGTGGGTCGTCTCAGCAAGAGCACTCGAGTACGAGATCTCGAGGACTTGTTTGAGCCTTATGGCAGATTGTTAAGATGTGATGTGAAATATGGTAATATGTAGTTTAAGTTTGCCCGAGTTTTAGAACACAGTAGTGACCCATTCTTGCGACAACAATATATGCCCAGAATTCGGTTTTCGATCACCCTCGACCCATCGACGGCAGTGACGTGTTTAATATCACAACGTGAAAAGAGCTAATTAACCTGGAGCAGCAGCTTGGCATGAATCATACTTCATTGATATTCTAACTAGATCAGTACTTGTATCGTAGATCTGTTGAATGGACGTGGTAAATGTCAACCGTGTGTTTATGACGTGCTTCTTTATCCCCAAAACTCAATGAATTTTGAGTTCCTAGAAGTTTTGGAGCAAGAATACATATAATAACTGAATTGATAACATTTCTGTGCATAATACCAAATGCTTTGTTTTCAATTTGCTTACGCTTTTGACTAACTAGCCAGGCATCATATGTATATGGTATCTCAGTGGGCTAGCACTATAAAACGTACAAGCAGCCGCACATACACATACACACGCATGCACGTCGTCATATGAGCGAAATTTTCTCAAGCACGACGTAAAACCCAATTTCCCCTCACCTCATATGTATATGAACTCTTATCACAGTGAATAATGAACAGGTCTTGAAACAAACTTAAGTTTTTACTCTAATTTTTACTGAATACTGAATTTTTATCTCAACAGCATTTTTGAAATAAAACAGCCCAAACAACTTAAGTAATCTATCCACCAAACTCAAATTGTCTACTATGATCGAGTTTAATATGGGTTTAAGTTCATTCGAGGAAATGATTTTCTCAAACTTGAGTAAAAGTTAAAACTCAGACTCAGTGACATGACACCTATGGTGGAGTTCATGAAGACATTTGGAAATTACATTAAACAGCATAGGAAAATAGAAGAACTACTGTATATAACCGTTGAATTTGAGGACCAAAAGAAGCAATCTGTAGAAGGAGGTCTGCTTATCTTAGGATCAGTGTCTCGGTAGATTGATGCTCATGCTGTCAGTCACTGGGTTGTCTGGTTCAGTCTTGATAATTCCACAGAACACCATATACAGCTTGAATATTTCCCAGTAGTGCTGAACAAGATACAAATGAGCCTAAAATTAAACTTGGGATCTATTGAGAAAGTACCACTGACCACCTTGTACTGAGCAGACCCTGATAATTTTCAGTGCTGGTAAAAGTGTTCATGTTTAACTCCATTTCAGGGGCGGTAGGGTAGCCCAGTGGTTATGGCGTTCGCTTGCCACGCTGCAGACCCAGGTTCGATTATCCAGATGGGTACAATGTGTGATGCCCATTTCTGGTGGTCCCTGCCGTGATATTGCTGGAATATTGCTAAAAGCGGCGTAAAACCCAACTTGCTCGCATGCTCACTTACTCATTTATCTGCATTTCAATCTTTGTTGATGCGATGAACCTTATTGCTGAACTTTATTTTTCAGGTGCTGAAATGGGTGAGAATTGCTGTATTTTGGTAGAACTGAACAAACTTAACTGAAAACATTTAGTTCATTAACTTGACTATTCCCAAAACATTTAAGAGCCCAACTCCACTGACATCCTGTGGAGATCCGGATTAGAACCGGTCATCAGCAATCTATGCTTGTGATACAAGGCAAATGATGGGATTGTTCAGGAAGGCTAGCTGTCATGGTTAAATTCATGTCATGGTATCCCAGTTATAGATGGAAGCCTATGAGGGAAATCACTGCATTGTCTGGTCAAGACTTGATTCTTTACAAGCTGTCTTCATATAGCTGGAATATTGCTGAGTGAGGTGTTAAACAAGAAAGAGTTTCGTCGTAAAATTACTTCATCACGTCTTGAAGTGTTTCAGATGTATGAAATGAACACAGGGGTGGAAATAACTTTAAAATTGCTAGTGTACTCCGGTACAGTGGCACATGTAATGTCACTTGCCCTGATAATGTTTCCTCTATACCAGCCGTGTTCTTGTTGATTTTGAAGTAAACGACATAATTAACATTGGAAAGTCAACTGGACGCCGGTACAGCATGATATACGAATTTGCTTGCCCGACAGAAAAAAAACACTGGACTCGGACGTCGGGCAATGGGTTATTTCCACCCCTGGAACATGGTACTGTTCATACAATATGTGGACTCCTGATCCAGGTTAGAATTGGTCTTCAGCAACCCATGCTTGTTGTAAGAGGCGACTGACGGTATTTCGTGGTCAGACATATGTCTTGAAATGCATGTTATTGTAACCCTGATCAAAGCTGATGAGGGCAGTCATGGTATTGTCTGGTCCAGATTCAGTCACACACCGTCATTACTTGAACCAGACTACATTGTCTACCTGACTATTTACAGTGAAGATCCGGGTTAGACTTGGCCTTCAGTAACCCATGCTTGTCGTAAGAGGCAACGAATGGGATCGGGTGGTCAGGTTCATTGACTTGGTTGACATTAATGACAGGTTATCGTATCCCAATTGCTTGGAACGATTCTCAGGTTGTTGATCTCTTGATTGTCTGGTCCAGATTCAATTATGTACAGACCGTCACCATATAGCTGGAATATTGCTGTGTGCGGCATTAACCAACCAGCCAACCATCCAACAGTCTGACCGATTTAGTCAACATATTGCTGACAGCAGCAAAACACAAAATTCACTTGCTAATTCATCTAACTTGATTTAAACCTATAGTCCGTTTGATTTCATTTTAGACCAATGAATTGCTTACTAACACAAAATGTAATAATTGCAACAAAACCAAATTTTGCACTGTCCCATGAAATCGTCAGATCAACTCTGATGATTTGTATCATAATTTTGGGCACCCGAATGAAAAGTTGTTAAACAAACGATCATTATTTTGCTTGCTGGTAGAACAGCCAGGTGTGTGAGTTGCACGTGTGAAATATCAATTTCACAACAGTGTTACACATGCTTGTTGATTACCTGGCTGTCCTACCAGCAAGTGGTCCCTTTTTGTAAGAAATAGAGAAAAGTGACAACAAAATAATGATAGTTTGTTAAAATTTGGTTTTGTTGCAATTATTAGATTTTGTGTTAGTGAGCAATTCATCGGTCTAAAATGAAATCAAACAGACTATGCATTGTGATATTTTGTGAATATCAATTCCTAAAGCTTCATTCCTCTTCACCACGATATACACCACTCAAAACAAGTTAGACAACAGTCAGAATTTGAAAAATTCAGAGAAAGTCTTGACATTTACTATAGTCATGCAAAATGTGGTGTTCTTAACTTCTTTTGAGCAGTGTAGTCATATCTTCATGATTAATTCCAATATGCATGCCTGTGTTTCAGCTTATGCTTTTATTGATTTTGAAGACCGTCGAGATGGAGAGGTAAATACAAACATCAGTCAGTTTGAAACTCTAATTTCCAAGAGAAGTTACTAAGTTTAATGATAATGAATCAGCAGGTCATGAATTTTGTAGTTTCATCATCAGTACGTAACAGTATATATTCCTCACTGGATTGACTATGACTGTAATAATAACGTTTAATTATTGTCTCCATTCTGGTCCATTTTAACTTTGTAACAGTAAAGAGAAAAGTGATCATGATATATCCAGACAGTTGTAATCAAATAGTTATGATCAGATAAGTTTTTCTCCTTGTATCTTGCTTTAAATGAACTCCGTTTTCGATCTGTTTCAAAGTAATGAATAATTCTGTGTATTTGAATAAATTTCCAAACTGATGTGATGACTCTAATATTGAATGCAATGTACTATATAGCTACCCACCAAGCCAGCTCCCCCTGATCCTGTCACGGCAAAGCATGACCTTTAGCAAGGCAGCAATGACCATGACCTTTAGCCAGGCTCCAATGACCTTGACCTTGAGCCAGGCCTTAGCCATAGTTCCCTGGGTACAACCCTTCCGCCAGAATCGTTCCTACCCCGATCATGTGACCAAAACTCTGACCATGAGACCTTGCCGTGGTTCTACACTTGCCGGCTACTCGCGCCAACATCTAGGCCTTGCCGCGCCCAGGCGGCTTGCCCTTGTTACCATGGTTACCAGTATGTGTATAAACAACAATTTGTATCTTCTTCTTACACTTTCCTGTTAGGTTAGCATTGTTTATGAAGGGTCTAGAGGCCAGGAAGCATGAATTGAGAAATGTCAACATTTAAGACGACAGTTTGCTTGATGAGACAGTGTATTACGTATGATGCTGGTGCTATTGAGTGGATAACTGATCGAGTGATAAGACAATTTGTTGTCATTGTTGAATATTATGTTGGAGTCCATAACATTTTTTCTCACTGGGTAATTCCTTTCATAATGGGCCTTACCTGTGTTAATGGGAGTTGCAGGGTTTAATGTTGTTACACAACACCAGGGCTTGTGGCACTAGGGAAATTGAGACTGTCAAAGGCTGATCTTGTTAGAAATATTAGAGCCCAATTGTCAGGGAGATAACCAGCACTACAAAATACGTTGTGTCATTCAGCCAATTCCATAATGCAGATTTTTGGGGAAACATTTTAAATCATATATATATATATTTTGCAAGATGTCACAAAAAACAAATTAGATTATCCTTGGTGTCTGACAATCAAACACAACAGTGTCGTACTGCTTCAATCTTGATTCTTTGGAGATGAAACTGAGCACAAAAACACATTTTTGTTTGATATCAAGTAAAAATTGATTATGCATTTTCACAGTATATCTGTAGTCCTGTACACGATGAAACGGTCATCTTCCTGGCCCCATACCTGATGTATACTCGCCATTCGTTATCATGTTGATGTTGACTGTTACTGTACTTTCATTCTTTTCTCACTTGTTTTCAATGTTCTGTGTTTGTGTATTGTTGTTTTTTCCAATCAGTTTGTCTGATATGAAGACCAGCTATTTGGTTAATCGTTACCTATTGCTATCCTCAGGTATTTTCGTGGGTGTGTGGGTTAGCAACTGCTTTGTTAGATTGTGTAGTGTAATTTTCCCTTGTTATGGTACAGTGTTACTCTCCGGCCACAATAACTTAATCATTAGATTTTCAGCCAGATGTTGTAGACATGTACTGTGTTCCAAATCTTTAATAAATGAACTGTTTAGGCAACTGGTGACATAGCTTGAATACATGACATGTTTTGAGTGATAACAATATTTAATTTTTCATACGATGTTTCAGAACTAATTCTTCCTCCTTCATCAGGTGAATGATGAAGGAGCAAGTATTACCTCTGCAACGTCGTATAAAGAATTAGAATTTATCCATAAAAACGTATCATGTTTTCATGTTTGTTCAACTTCTAAATACCTTATAAGAACTTAGCTGTTGGTGGATGTGCTTCATCTAAGCATAAACCTGTGAATTGCTGGTATATGTTTTGATAAATCATGCATGTTGTAAGAGGCAACAAACAGAATCAAGGTAGTCAGCCAGACTCAGGTTGATACATATCAGTGTATCCAGCTGACCGGTGTTCATGATGTCAATCACTGGATTGCCTGTCCATATGTGAAAATTTTCAGACCTGAAATATTGCTGATTCTGGCATTAAACAACAAAGACACTGATTCATTATGTTTTTCATCAAAATAAGAAGGGTCCCTTTCCTTCACCTGTATATACCCAAAATGTTGTTTTGGTTTTGTTTGTTTGTTGCTGTTGTTTTTGTTTGGGGGGGGTTTTTCTTGTATTTCTTTTATGCGAGATGTGTTTGGTTGTAAGTTTAAAGGGTGAAATACTAATGATTAATTTATGATGGCCTTGTGTTTCATTATGCTTTCACAGCCAGACATGAGTTACTTTTTGTTTCAACACTGAAATGTAGAATGATTTAGTTTTTTGTAGAGCCAAATGCTTGTGGATTATTTCATGAAATAACTTTGACTATTAATATGCTTTCATGTATGCATGAGATGTATTTAAGCTTAAAAACTTCAAAAGTATGAAGTGCTTTGATCACATATCTGAAACTGATGTTTATGCTGACATCGTTCCTTTATTATGTCTCTGTTGGAGAGATTGAATTATTTTTCAAGAGCAGACGTGAAAAAAAAGCAGACGTGTGTTTTATTGCAAACATTTACAAGTTAACCAATTCTGTTCATCCTAAGTCTGTTGAATATGACAACAGTATTAACCTAGTTTGAGATATGTGATTTTAGGCTAGAGATTATTCTACATCTGTCAACATTTCAACTTGTATTTGGATAATTTTCAAACTGGAACCTTTAAGAACAATCTGTTACAGTAAGATATGATTTAAAGAAAGGTTGACAGGTTGTAGCAATGCCTCTACAGTACGTGAGGGAAATAGTTGCAGAAACGACTTAAAGGTAGTGGAGATAGAGAGATAGGCAAGGGGATGTGTCGACTCAAATCAGGCATGTTATTTGTATGCTGTTTGTGACCCTGTTGTGGCTTGATGGGACAAGGACAGTGCCTCACACATGTTCACCAATTTCAGGATGCTGTCAAGTATGAGAATGGGCGTGAACTGTGTGGCTCAAGCATTATAGTGGAGTGGGCTAAAGGCAACCCAAGGCGACCTTTGGTAAGACAGCCATTCAACCGGGAGGTAGAGAAGCCGGTCCGTAGGGCGGATAATGTAAGAATAGATCGGTCCACACCTCTTACATTTCTCTATCCTCTTTGTTGCTGGATTGTACTAGACAACAGCTTTGATCTTCCAATGTTTTGATACAGTTTGTAATATCCATTCATTGTTATTATGTTGGAGATGGTTTGACAGTGGTTAAAGGTGTCAGACTTGGCTGTGGCGAGTTGTGTCCCTTGGGATCTGAGAATCATGGGTTTGTCCCCATATCAACCCATAGCTGTGAATAGCTGCAACATTGCTCAACATTAAGCAATATTCATTCACTGGCTGTGTTGACCCAGCAGGATTCCTGGTTACAATTTGTCCCAAGCATGTTCATTGGAAGAGGTGACTTAATGGATGCTCAAACTCCATTATCTTCTTGTTGGCGTGTCCATGTACCCCAAGGTCACGGACCATGCTGATAATATCAGTCACTCGATTGTCTGGTCCAGAATTAATTATTCCTTTGCCGTTGGCATATGTGTTAAACAACAAACACACTCCACATGAAAACTTGTATCGTGCATGTCCTGGTGGTCTTGTGCATAGAGATTAGGTCACAATTCAGTTAGTTAAGCAATGTTGGTCACAGAGAATTCTTGGATAGGTGACCATGTTTGGCATCTTGACTCCCGAGAGTTTTCAGGACTTCAGTCCTGCTCCACAACAAACCACATGTGACACAATTGTGGTGTCACGTTCGGCAAGTGAGTTTGTTTAAAATTGCCTCTGCTCACCAAACAGAAAATGGGTACCCGGTGGTATAAGTTATGTGACTATTAACCTTCTAGCGCCTCACAGGCAGCTTGGGTTAATCTGGGCTAATAATGTCCATTATGCTGTATGTGTTTAGAATATGCCTGTGTGCCCGTGCAGCCTGGAGTTTAAGCTATGTAAGTGGCCTTATTATGTCTTTGGAAACTCGCCGTGATATGTTTGACATGCTAAAAATGGCTCCATTTAATCAGATTAGTTTTAAATGATGGCTCGAAAGTGATGTTTTAAATCTGAAAGTTGGCATCTCTTTATCAATACATCAGTGAACATCCGGGATAGAATTGATCTTCAGTAACCCAGGCTTATCACAAGAGGCGACTAACAGGATCGGGTGGTCAGGCTCTCTGACTTGGTTGACACATGTCATCGTATCTCAATTGTGTAGATTGATGCTCATGATGTTGATCACTGGATTGTCTGGTTCAGACTCAATTATTTACAGACCGCCGCCATACAGCTGGAATATTGCTGAGTGCAGCGTGAAACTAAACTCACTCACTTACTCTATCACTACAGTAGTTGTATGCAGCTATATTTCTGAGCTGTTGTGGGTGTTTAGTTAGCATGTGTCAGTTCAGCACATCCTCAGTTGTGTACAACTGCATATAGGTGAGCTACTGTACTCTGGTACTCAGGATTAACATACTATCTTCCTGCCAACTCTTTCTGTTTTTTTACATTAAAATCTGTAAACTGACTTGAAACCAAATACGTGTTTTACATTCCCTTATTTTTAAAATGAGAACGTTATTCCTTGCCAGGGATATGATGAGTGCTACCGCTGCCACCGTCCAGGACACTGGGCCCGAGATTGTCCTGATGACCGGTCCTTCGGACCACGGAGGGTCGACCAGGAGGTCAAGGTAACTCCAGACAGCAGTCGATACAGGTCACCATCACCAAGGAGGAGAAGGGGGAGGTAACTCCAGACATAGTTTATGTAATACATGTAATAAATGCCACTGGAATGTGTTAAATTTAGAATGATTATTTTTCCTTATCCTGATTCATGCTTAATTGCTTGTCTTCTTCCTCCTGCAAACATAGTGGAACACTTGTATCTCCTTATTGAAGCTCCCTTCAATAAAGCGTATGTAAAATCACTAATCACTACTCACCAAGAGTTGTCCCTCCTTCCGTTTTGGCGGGAACTGGCGCCACTGTTCCCCCACATGCTTCACTCTCTCCTCCTTCGCCCAGTGAGCAGGTTGTGAGAGCGCCTGTGTCTCCTTACGGCACTATATCCTTTGATTATTTAGTTAGTTACCTCTATAAGTTCTTTATAGAGGTTTAGCTAGTATCCTTCATCAGTATGATTTGATATTTATTCGTATTTACCACTGTTTATTCACGGTGTATTCCGTGTTTGTTCAGTAGTTTACGTTCATGAAAATCTGTTCCGTATGTAAGTTACGTTTCTCTGCTGCTGACCCGCACCTAATATGCCCTAGCTGCACGGTTCCGGCTCACGCTGCAATTATTGCAAGCATTTATCAACTTGGCATTTAATAAATATCTTCTTTGCGTCCTGAGACATGCCGCAGATAGGTCACGAAGGATTGATCCAATCATGGATAATTCAGCTGAGTCCCTCACCAGTCAACTGCTGTCGGACGACCCCCTACCGTCTGGTGTTCCGCTGGAGTTTCCCTCGGAGGAGAGGCTTGGGACGAAGTCCGCCACCTCCAAGAAGAGACCTGCATCTCCAGACATCCTGTCGTCGCAGTCCAAGACTCGGAGGTCGTCAACCACCACCCAGCGCAGACCTCGCACCCCCAGTGCAGCGTCCACCACCAAGGGGAAGTCAGCGCAGACTACTAGATCTTTCTCAGCCGAGATTGTTCCCGTCGCAGAACAGGGCCTGTATGATGATCAGCCGATCATCATCCCAGAGGTTCATCACAAGAAACGACCGGTGTCAGCTACGGTGACTTCAGCGCAGATCCATTCTCAACCCGAAGTATCAACGCTGACAACAGATGATCATCCCGTGGGCCCCGTCGCCATCAATGCAGAAAGGGCAGCGCTTTTTCCGTCGGTTTCTACAAGCAATTAAGCATGAGTCAGGATAAGGAAAAATATGTAATTTTCTAATTATAATTGATATTTTATACTTATCCTGACTCATGAGGTAAGCCCTCCCAACCTCCCCACAAGACACTTTGGATTTCCCTGCAAATTCAAGTGTCGGGCTCATATTCAGGAGAGAGTGAAGCATGTGGGGGAACAGTGGCGCCAGTTCCCGCCAAAACGGAAGGAGGGACAAATCTTGGTGAGTAGTGATTAGTGATTTTACATACGCTTTATTGAAGGGAGCTTCAATAAGGAGATACAAGTGTTCCACTGTGTTCTCAAGAGGAAGAAGACAAGCAATTAAACATGAGTCAGGATAAGTATAAAATATCAATTTTATTCAGAAAATTACATTTTTCTAGTTTTGTTTTACTGAAGGATTAATGTTGGAATCTCATATTAAATATTTTTTGGTTATTTTATTAAAAAAAATCAATTGAAAAGCTTGAAAACAATTAAAATTAAAGGGCTGCTGGTTAAGAAAAAGCAAATTCTCCAATTTCATATCTGCTAGTTAAATTTTATTGAATTTCTCTATGATAGCGGAATCACAAAATTCATGTGTGATAGGATTCATCTGTGACACGATTGAGCTGGTGCGTTTTTGTGTTGGTATGCCATTGGGATGAGGCCCAAATATCCTCTTTGTGTAGAATATGCTGTGGTTGATAGTTTGTTTTTTTATACCAGTAGTGGTATGGCTGGAGTCTGAGTTGCTAGGACTCTGTTGTGTCACTTATCAGTGTTATGATACTACTAGTAGATCTAAGAACCCCCTTTTAAGAGATTAGTTTTCCACCACCCATGATTGTCAGTGACTCAGTGTTGTGTTAGTGAGATCTGAGTATTCAAACTTTCAGAGGGTGAACTGACTCCAGTTTTTCTCCTTCCAGCTACCGATCCAGATCTAGATCCCGATCTCGAAGAAGTCGGAGTCGAGACAGGAGGAAGAGGAGTCGAAGTCGCGAGCGGCCGCGTGACAGGCATGAGTAGCGAAGTTAAGCCACAGCAGCAGAAGCAGAAGTCGTAGCAGGGACAAGAGGAGAGCATCACGGAGTCGTTCTCGAAGCAGGTGAGGAATCTTCCTTTCTGTGTGTTCATCACAAGGACACTCTGTATCATACATGTGCAGTGGGGTAGGCCTAGTGGTTAAAGCGTTAAACCCGTCATGCCGAAGACCGGGTTGATTCCCCACATGGGCACATGTGTGATGCCTAAGTCGCCCCGGTTCGATATTGCCCACATGGGCACAACTCTGTGATGCCTAGGCTTCTGAGTTAGAATGTGTCCCCGCCATGATATTGCTGGAAAATTGCTGAATGGGTACGGGTGGAAAACTAAACTCACTCACTCTGTATCATACATCATGAGGCTTCTGAGTTAGAATGTGTCTCATGACATATACCTAACCTGCTGGTTTTGTAAGAGGCATCTTATAACAGCAGAGTTGTTCTGCTTTTTCTTTATGACATTGCTTGATGCCCTAGAGGGAAATCAAGTTTCCTCAGTTGTGGCGGGCTTTTCAATATATACTGAACAGCAAAAGAAACGCATAAGATTCGAGAAAAATGAAAGCTCATGAAGGTAAGCGTTCATGTTTATGGAGCGTTCATGGTAAAGTGACGTAATGATCACAGATGAGATGATGTCATGCAATTTGGCGTCCATATGAACCATTAGCACAAACACACCAACAGTGCAGCAAAACCATAATTTTAGCGTGCATCGACAGTTCTTGATGAAAAGCATGCATTTCACTCTGAGGTATCCTTTCTAAAGGTTTGAGTCAAAACACAGTTCAGTATTGACGCTGGGTGGTGTGTATCGCCACACACAAGCGATGCCTAGACTAAGGACTGAGCAGAGGGAATGGCCATTGGAAAGCTGCACGGAGGTAGCTTTGAAAACGCGCTGTAGCTAGACAATTGGGCTGTCATCTTTCCACCATTACACGACTTGCTCCAACGTCATCAGCAAAACCGGGGTTGCTGCTGATCATCCCCGTATTGGACGGCAACAGTGACAACTCATGTGCAAGATATGTTCATCCGGGTCACTCATCTAAGGAACCGAACTCAAGCAGCAACAGTAACAGCATCCTTAGTTCTTGGGTCAAGGGAGCAGTGCCAAAGCGATTCAATTAGGTGTCGTCTTGGGGCTGCTAGAATCTACTTCCAAAAGCCATATGTGAAGCCAATTTTTGCACATCAACGCCAGTGACATTTGCAGCCCTCACACAGCAAGGGTGTCAATGGATTGTCTGGCTCAGAACAACATTTACGTTTTTCCATGGTCATCTCTTTCCCCGGAAATGGCTCCCATTGAGCATTCTGGGACAAAATTGGACGGAGGATTGCTGCAGGTAGAAAGCCACTCACACTTGCCAATTGGAATAGAGATTGGTTTTGAGTAGGAACCAATTGCCTCATGCATTCTTTAAGACTCTAGTGAACTCAACGTTGCACGGCCTGTGTGCAAGCTCAAGGTGGCTATATGCCAGACTTGCGTTTCTTTTGCTGTTAAGTATATATTTAATGTATAACCTTATGATGTTCAGGTATCAGGAAAGATACCAAGTTAAAACATTGTGCTTGTATTGGTGTACGATGTAAAGCAGTGAAATCATTTGTTTGTAATGCATAACAAATTTTCCGAAGACTTTAAAAGCGGCCTACACCGGCAAATGTTGTCAAACTTCGAGTTTGAGAGTGTGAACATTCAAACAACTTGCCACCAACACCAATTTCAGAGTTGTCAAACTGTTGAGAAGTAGGATCGGTCTCTATTCTCACCAACTTTTCCATCAAACTTCGGTGTTGTCAAACTCGAAAGTGTGAAGTGTTGTCAAACTCGTGTTGTTTAGAAACAACCAATCACAGTGAATGAAATTGTCACGTGACCGCACCGATAGAAACATGGTGCTCAAATGACACGAAAGTTTCACAACATGTGTTTGACGTGTGAAAGCATAACTTAGACAACTTTTGAAATTTCAACAAATTGTCAAATTTTAGTTTGGCGTGTGAAGGCGGCTTAACAGTGTCTGTTTTTAAACCACATCCATATTTGTTTTCTATTTTACACCACTGGATAGGAAATGTAATATTCTACACCTCAATGTAATTATTACAGCCGTATGTAGATCCAGTATCTTTGTAAAGATGTTTGTTAAAAACACCCTTAGCATCCAGGGGTTGATGGTGGCGTCACGTTCAGCATTAAGTAGTCTTGGGTTGGGAAGCAGCATAGATTGTCAGGAAGGTGTTGTCTTGTGTGTATCTGTCATTTTGGCTGTAGTTTCCACTATTTGGACAGAGACAAGGTAATGCTGACAGCATGATTAGGTATGGTCCATTTCTGTTTCCAGGTCTGAAAAAAATCGGTCAGCAAGTCTAAAAGTCGCTCTAAATCGAAGTCGTTCAAAAAGTAAATCGATTGGAACAAACAAATGGTGAGCAAGATGATCGGGGGTGAGTCTGATGCCTCTAGAGCCTCATCCCCTGCAAGAAGCGAAAAGAAAGGAGTGGTTCTCCAAGTCCTGCTGATGATTGAGTATCCCCAAGTCCATGCCCTGCATTGTCCCAACCCTTCCGCTGTGAGGGGAACCGACGTCCTTGAAGGAAGTAGAGATTTTCTACAAGTCATGACAGTCAGCATGAGTTATTTGTATTTCTTTTGACATGATGCCATCCATTTCCAAACCTTTCTATTTGTTTTACCATACAATGTATTTTTGCATCAAAGATAACTGAGAACTATCATGTTTTATTTCTTTACCTTAGATGTCCTAGAATTTGTGGAAACATTTATCACCAGAAAACAGCATTAATCCCAAGAAAACAGGATTTTAATAAGGTGCTGTTTGAATTAATGTTGCTTTCATGTTGTGTTGCTTGTGGAATTCACTAAGGCCGTTTTTGACAGTGAAGGCACACAGTGGTTAGTTTAATGAGCCCAGGGCAGATAAGATCTAGTTTGCATGTTGAACATGATAGAATGAGTAGACAATATTACGTTTTATCCTATTTATGATTGTGTATTGGCGTAATAAGAGAGCCATTGATCTGTGGGGTTGTTTTGTTTTGAGGGTGTTCTTTTGGAGGGGTGGGGGTGGGGGGTGTTAGCTACTTTGATATCAGGTGTAATTAGTCCTTCTATTGAACAAACTAATATCAACGCTTCACTGTGAACATCTCTGAAAAATGAGGATTGATGAGGAAGGAACAAACCAATCTATCTGTATCCACCCATGATGTCAGTTTAGAGCCAACATAGAAAATAATATTCTTGTTAAAACATTTGGCAATGAATATCCCCTACGTATCTTAAGTAAGAGGTATGACCTTGTTGAAGAATCTGAAAACATCCTACGATTTCCCAGTTAGTGCCCCTCACACTGGTTCCAGCTTGATATGTTCAGATATCAAGTTTGTCAACCTTGTCTGCGTCACATCTGCTCATCAGTTTCAACAAAGCTCCGTTGAGACATACACTCAGTGAAATACTGTTCAAGGTAGCATTTAATCCATCTCCATGGTGTCCTATTACATAGACTGATGCCAGTGATATCAATCACAGGAATGTCTGGTCCAGATTCTATTATGTACAAACGGCAGGAATCATATGGCAGGAATATTGCTGAGGACAGCGTAAACAACAAATTAAATCTCCGGGTCCAGGAGACAATTCTAAGATACATCGTGATTGGTAATAACTGTCATCACTGTCGTTTTGGGTTTTCTCAACATGTACTTCATTTGAGCTTCATAGTGGCATTTGGCACATGATGAACTTTGACTGGTTGTGGAGTTTTACATGTTGCGTGTTATGTAAATTTGGTCACATGATGCATCACAGCATTACAACTTTGTGTCACGACAGATCACCTTGCATAAACCGTTAGTCATGTGTCGTGTTATTGCATTGAATAATGTCTTGAAACATTGTTAGCATCCTCTATGTCTCCCAAATCATATATCTTTTATTTCCGTAAACCTACACTAACTCTGAATCCATTCTGTGGTTCTGATCAAGACAAATTACCATCACTTGATATCCTTTTGCCATATTTACCTCTAACATACCCTACAGAATGTGACTTACAAGCCAGCCTCAAAGTTGGGTTGACAATATTAACACCATGGAGGCCAGTCCCTTTGATTTTTAAGTTCTTGAGAAATTCAGTATTGAAAAACTGAAAATCAATTGATGGAAAGGATGTCTTACTGTCAAATTCTACTAGTTGGTGGCTTTGGTTTCTAGGTGATGAGTTACCTCCCTTTCTCTGTTCTTAATGTCAAGGTTAAATTGGTTGCTAAAATGGCGATGAAAACCGAGGGTGGGTAACAAGGCCCATGGGAATGGCTCAAGAGGTTTAGTGTAGGATTACTGAAAGCTCTTGGTGATAAAGAGGATGCATTATAGATGTTCTGTGCATTCAGTCATGTTTAAGTCAACATGTCCGATGACTTGGATAATGTGTTGTGACAAAACATCATGCTTTACGTCAGTTTGTGACATGATACTTTTGTGTGTAATGTAACGCTACTACCATGGTTTTGACATAAATTACGATCTTATGAAATGTCTTGCTTTACGTCATGTTGTTACATGACACTTTAGTGTGTTATGTAACGCTACTTCCACGGTTTTGACATAAATTACGATCTTAGAACATGTGATACATTGTGTCATGATACTCAAAACCTTTTCCAGTGTCATGACGTTGATCTAATGTGCTAAAATTGACGTACTTGTATATTTAACATTGTCTGTTAACACGTGTGCTTATTGGTAATATCTCTGAGTTCTAGACATGCAGGTCGCTTAATTAAAATAATTGTTTTGTCAAGCTGAACACGTCAAACCAGGAAGAAGGCATTGATTTAGGGCCGTGAAATGTCAAATGATTTGTCTCACTTCAATTTTGCTGTGGATGTTCACAAGTTGTACCGTGTGTTTTCATTTGTTTCACTAACTCTGGATCTCCACAGTTTTCTGTTTGTAGTCTGGCAGTGATGGGTGACCCTTTCCCTCCATTGTCAAATGTGGTAGATGACCCAATAATTTGCTAGAAGTAACCGGTTCATTTTCTCTGATTTGATACTTTTTAAGACAGATCATTCTGAAATAAATAATAATCACAAAATGCCAGTTAATTTTGAAGTCAAAAGAAGGTGCTTATTTCACGTAACTGATATTTTATCATCAATGCTTTTCAGTAAGTTTTATTATGAGATTGTTGTGAATAAAAGCCAACAAAAGAAGTTTGTCTCTGTTTTGTTTTCAATTTGTAAGGTGTAACTTGATGAACCAGTAACTTGGAACTGTCAGGATTTTAAAGAGACTGGTGACTGACCTACTTTCTAAATAGACCGATCCAGTCTGTCAATCAAAACTGGCGCATGCGTCAATTTTGGCCAATCAGCAGGCCGGGCGCGCTGTGTGGATTTGTCAGACTTATTTCCGGGGTCAAACGATGCCTTCGAAGCGATGTGCTTCGAATTATGCCATTTACACTCGCTATATCTATTACATATTGCTGTGATTTGATGTGTCCCTTTAACAAAACCATTACGAACAAGACAAAAAAAAATTAGGCGGATCAAGGAATGCGATAGGCCTAACGATGAGTTAAATGTCTGCACCATCGTTCACGAAACCCACGATCTGCCTGCAGATGCGAATTTGCAATTTACACATCTTTGCACATAATGCAAAATCAATACCAATTGTTGACAACAAATAGCAGTTTAGGATTTTGCAAGTATTATAAACACAGACAATTCTTGTAACTACAAAATTGTTTTTGCTTCACGTTTTTAGTCACTACTGGGCATTGAGTTGGTACACCATAAACCTGACATAAGACAGGCGAGAAAGCCGTGACACAATGTAAACAAATCTAACAGCGAGCTGATTTCGGTTAGGGTCGACCGAAATAGCAAAACTTGTTACATTAAAGAACAATGTGGTGGATATGGTTGCATTCGCGATTAGATATTCTGAAATTTGTCACACATTTTAGGATGTTTTAAAGTTTCACAAGCACAATCTGAAGGCCTATGTACGGTACAGTATCTGTTGATAGTGCAAAATATTCGAAGAGTAATATTTTTTTATCCACACGGAAATATTGTCAGTGTCGGCAGTTGCATATCACGCAATATCCAAACATCAAAATTAATTCAAATGAGTGTCTGTAAAACCATGTCTTAAATATTTCAGAATATCTATAAAGAGATGGGACCTTGAAATGATTTAGCTTTACTCAAATGTGAATCGGAGACGAAAACTATGTCAGAAGAATAGTGACTTTCTGGAATATTGGACGGAGTGAAATATAAGTTTATTTCCTAACTATGAGAACATTATTTGTTTTGCTTTTTTGTCACAACATAATTTTTTTACTTGTAAGGTGGGGTTTGGGGCGCGGTGGGGGTACATTGGTACATTTTAGGAGTAATAACATAGTTCTGTCATTTTAATTATTATTCACTGGAAATGATAGCAAGGTATGTTTTAAGAATCTTGCCTCCTCCAGGAAACGTGGAAAGGTAATAAAATAGATAATACTCCAATCAATTATTAATAATTACTTAATTGTCTCACATATCAGATTCATGTGAAGTTAAGGCAGAACTAGGCAAACAAACACTATATACATATCATGGCTGAACAAACACTTGGTACTAAGATAACTAGTTTGTTTTAAGTTTATTTGGTCTTTAAATAATATGTTTATTCAGAGAGTGATCACTAGTATCATCACTCATAATAAAGTTATTTCAACATCCAGAGAATTTGAAAGAAAAACAAAGGCTACGTTTTGGTCACACCCAGGCATTATTCAGTCATGGAACCAAGTAACTTACAGAATTCTAAGTTGACTGTTCATGTAACTGGAATGGATATTGAAATATAACATTCAACCCCGATTTCATGTAATACTTCTTGGAATTCATCAGCTTTTGAGGAGGTTACCAATATTTGAAGACTGAGCCAAAGTAGTGTTTATTAAGATGTTGGTTTTGGACAAATTGTTCAAGGTTTGTTGATGCTTATTTGGAAAATAGGCTTAAATTCATATTAAATTGCACACTGGTTTAATTGCAGGAGGTGAAAGCTTCAGGACATTTTCAGGTATGTTTTACTTTTGTTATGACTTTTACCAAATTTTTAAGCAACTATAATATAGTTTGATGACACTAGTAAGTATCTCAGAAAAGGAAATAGATCAGAATTAGTGTTATTTCCCTAAGGGATATGGTCTCAGATCTAATAAAACAAAGATTATCATTGTCTAAGAAGCAATAATGTCAATATGTAATTTTATTGACAAATAGCTTTAAACTTTGAATATATTCTTTGCCTCTTATTTACAATAGTAGTTAGCAGTTAAATATCTCTGAAGAAAAAGCAGTATATTTGTATGTTGTGTAACATTCTGTTTCAATGCTAGTTAATTGTACGGATAACTGTGGATCCTCTGTTCAAAGATTTTGCATCACACGTTTCCTATTTATGGAAGATATGTCAGTGTACAGGTGCAGACTGTATCTTGGATTCTTTGTGTTTATGGTGGTGTGACGTACCTGTAGATAAATGGTGGCAGTTCATGAAGTCCATTATAGTGGAGGTTTGTAGATTAGGATTCCATAACAAAGTACACATACAAATATAAATTGGAAAGGATTATTTAAAAAATGGATTTCCTTATATTCAGTGTCATTTTAGGATGGTGTACAGATTTTGAAGAGAGAAATTTTACTGAGAATAGCTGCAGATTAGCTGCTGAATATTTGCTTCGGGGTATGTCCAGATACATCCATGGAAACATACTGTGTTAACAAGTCCAGTAACGTTTTCCAGATAATATATATACAGACAAACAAGGTGGACGAAGTAGTAGACCGGGATACTGCTTTCCTGCGTTGTCCCTTGAAAGGTAGAAACCCAAGTTTTCACACAAACTTAAAGCTAATAAATAAAGGTGGCACGCGCAGTTTTGACAATTTTTTTTATAGATACCGGAACGATCTGTAACTTGAACATGTGGTTGTGTTCACGGTTTTTATAATATTACGATGGGAATTTTTGAGAAAAAAACAACAAACATAATTCAGTTACCTTTCCCCTGCTAATATGTTAGACGAACGTGAATTGCCGGATAGATTATTTGGTAGTAAATAGGCTTCCCAGTCTCAGCAGCTGGCTGAGACGATTTTTCATCGGGCATGTAGATCTAACTACCTTTTCACTCGCCAATTATACAACCTGTCAACTAAAATGTATTGAAAATAAAATACGTATAACTTTCCTTTTAAAATATCATTCACAAACGACGGATACCAAAGTACAACAAGCATAATTCATCAACAACATTCGCAATCACGTACGTTTCGCCGGCGGTGACGCCATTGTGATTAGTCCGTGGTTGTCCCCCCTAACGTCAAAAAACGAAGTGGGCGGGGCTTATCGGCCGGGACTGGATCGGTCTATTCTTCAGTGATCACCCGGACTCCCTCATCCTGTGTGATCCTGGATCAGACCATGTTGGTCAATACTGTGCCCATGTTTTGTATCCAGGGGCGTTCATGAACAACACAAATGGTAGTTTTTATGGAAGATTGATTTGCATCAGAAGTTGTGACTTGACTGACATGTTATCGTATCAAAATTGTATCTAGATCAATACTCAATCGCTGGATCCATGCCATGTCTGTATCAGTCAGCACTCTCCTTATAAACATGGACAGATACTAAAGTTCATAGGTACCATGGTCATGTTCATTCGTGCTGTGCTCACGATTGTCAGTACCATGGCCGTGCTTCTCATCTGAATACATCTGCTTACAACATTATATGCATAAACATATGTAAAATACATAAAGTTAACACACAAATTGTATTCGTCAACACTGTATCGGTCAGCACTGACCTTACGAACGTCAGTATCTGTCCATGTTCATAGCTACCATGCTCATGTTGGTTCCTGCCAGGCTCACGATTGTCAGTATCAGGCCTGACTTTTACATATCACAGATGCATAGATCAATACTCAATCACTGGATCCATACCATGCCCATGTCGGTCAGCACTGTCCTTATGAACATCAGTATCTGCCCATGTTCCCATGTCAGTCGTGATTGGCTACTCCATGGTGATGACTTAGGGTCAGGTTATGACGGACTACTTTCCTGATTATAATTCATCGATAAGTTACTCATGCTTCAATCGAATAGAAACCTGTTACTCGTGCCAAAAAAAAAGCCCTTTATACAATGAAACAGAATTTGTAAGAAATATAACACAAATCTATTTATTTTCTAATTCCTTTTTAAAACTTTTGATTTCTAGTCATGAATTCAAAATCTCTCGAACAATCAGTGAAACCTGTGTATTAAAACAATTATGTGAAAATCGCCGTTAAAGATCAAGACCGGGATTCCCTTCGAATGAGATCGGGCCGTTTCCCTGTATCTCACTAGTTATCTAAAACTAAACAACAAAATATGACCAAGAAGTCTGACTGCAGTTCAAGAGTGTTTATTGTAAAGACAAGAAAAATTATGTTAGTATAAATTCATAATCAAACGGGGCGGTGGAGTAGCCAAGTGGGTAAAGCGTTGGCTCGTCACGCCGAAGACCCGGGTTCGATTCCCCACATGGGTACAATGTGTGAACCCCATTTCTGGTGTCCCCCGCCGTGATGTTGCTGGAATATTGCTAAAAGCGGCATAAAAACAAACTCGGTCGGTCATAATCAAACACATATTTGAGAAATTGACAACATGGTTATAGATTACATTTATACCTGAGGTATATTACAATTACATAAACAGAACTACCTAAATGATATTATGAAATAGCAAGTTACATATACATGTCAAAGTCTAGTATTTCTGATCATAACTTATTCTGCAATGTCAAAATATAACTTATTAAGTATGCTTGTTGCATAGACGTTACATATAAGTTTAAATCTATTTAGTAACCTTTCATACATTAAATGCACGTCAAGTAACACATGAAAAATATAATGCAAGGTCTTACCTAAACAATAACAAAATATGACCAACAAGTCTGACTGCAGTTCAAGAGTGAACCTATGCGGATGCTGCGGCAGTATTTATATGCAAGGAGCATGCAGTCAAACCTGTTGGGGTAAGATCCGTGGCAATGTTTCACAATGACCCTTATGTATCAGCAAAATTGAAACAATACAGTAGTATGGCATATTTACGCTGTAGGCATGTGCATCGTCACAGAGACTGGCAAAGGTAATTTAGGAAAACAACAACAATGAAGTGAGCAGTGATCTCACTAGCTTAGCCGGACGATAATGGGATACTGACATGGAAGTGATGGCCAGAGGATACGTTAACAAGCTGCCGTGGTAGTTGCTTTGACACACCGAGAGAAGTGATGGGATATAATTTATGTTTATGGGGTGTGTTTACCTTTGCCAGATATCCATGTAACAAGTGACTTTTATAAAATAGCATTTAATATACACATATATGAAATGTATGAATTGTATTTATTTGAAACAGTATAAAAATGTATAAAATTGTATAAAACATAGTTCACATTGTTATTCTAGAACAGAATATTTAAAATGTACAACAATGGAACTTTTACTGGGGAGATGCGATACGTCATGTATCCTCTTGCAAAAATATCTGACACGATAACGTCAGTGCCTGTCCATTTTGAGATCGATTTGCCTCGTTTCTTTGATCAATTGATAAAGATGACATATTTCATTGATAAACACGATGAAAACCCACTTCCAGCTCCGAGCTACCATGTGATTCTAATGTTATCACATTCACTCATGACAATCAGAACCAAAACACACTCGTTGAAACAATGTACAACATTTTGCAAGGGTTCATGAGTGCAAATGGTGGCACACGTCCTCTCTATTCAATCCAACATGTACAGGAACGGTTAATCTACACATAAGTCATTGCTTAAGATATTCCTCCGACGCCTGATAATACAAAGTTCAAGTCTTCATAACATACACGATGTAATCAACTCATATTTCATACTGACAACTCCGTAAATTCCGTTACATACCAAGTGGCATATTCTGGCTCGGGAAAACGAGAACGATGTGGCGAAGAAGAGTAGTCCCCCATTGACAGTGAACGTAACCTCAGCAATGTCATATTCAAGCACAGGGGTTACACCTAATGACACACACTCAATAGTTTTGGCTCCAATTCGATAGGAGAACATTGAACGTAAACCTGTACACAAGTACAGATCCCCAATGACAATGTGCAGACATATCCAAAACAATCTTCCGATGACGACAACCACAAAATGATGACGATGACGTCACACGCTCAAATACTTTTTGCTTGCAAGAATTTAAATTGTACACATTTTCATGGTAACATCATCGTTTTAGAGTGTTTAATTAATTTTCTGTGATCTTATCTACTTTGCATTATTACTACTGCCTTGATGACGCGAAGATGTGGCAGAAACCTTTTTGTGGAGGGTCACCTTGGGTATGAGCAGTGATTGGGACGCCAAGTGACGTCACTCATTCATAAACATTGTATGGTATTATTGCACAGCTACGAGGAGAAAATAGGAAATTTGAATCTATTCGACCATAAAATGGTGCGATTTTATGGTGCGTTAAAAACAGATTACTGTACTCGTGTCTGTCAGACAGTCAGGCTTTCGCTCGTTAAATACGTTTTGAAACAACTCATTGTAAGATAAATGATATCTGAGAGACACTCGTTTAGTAATCTCTATATCTGTCCATGTCCCCATGTCGGTCAACACTATCCTTATGAACATAGTATCTGCCCCTGTTCCCATGTCAGTCAGCACTGTCCTTATCTGAATACATCATCTCATTACAGCATTATATACATAAACATATGTAAAATACAAAAGTAAACACAGAATCTGTCCATGTTGATTGGTACAATGGTGGTCATGTTTGTCAGTATCCGCCCATGTTGATTCGTGCTGTGCTCGCTATTGTCAGTACCATGGCCGTGCTTCTCATCTGAATACATTATCTCATTACAGCATTATATACATTAACATATGTAAAATACATGCAAAAGTATATACACACAAACACACAATCTGTCCATGTTTATCGGTACAATCGTGATCATGTTTGTCAGTACCGTGCCTATGTTGGTTCGTGCCATGCTCAGTGGTCAGTACTGTGACCATGTTCGTCAGTACTCTGACCATGTCTGTAAGTATGTTTTCCTTGTTTGTCTGTCTCTGCCCATGCTGATGCTTGTCTGAACTATGACCATGTTGGTTAGAATGATCTAAAATACTGTTAAATTCCATAACATAACCAATAATAATATAGATTAAAACCTTTCCCATCAACATGATAACTAAATACTTAAAGCTTAACACTGTACATTGTATGATTCTGACAATATAACAAGCTATTTTACACAGGTTTATGAATGATAATCAAAAAGAAAAGTAGGACAAGGAGAAATAGGAAAAACAGCAATTTGTACAAAACTTATGGACAACAACTGCCATTGTAAATCATTAAAATGTTGGGTTCTATATTGTTTTACTACAGTGGGTTTACTCTCAAACCACTTTGTACAGAACTACAAACTAAACACGATCAGTGAAAAATGAACATGATTCACAGAAACAAATAAGGCAATACAAATATATCAAATAAGTGAAAGCAGCAATACCAATGGGTGACATGACACCTGCACCCCTGACAATCACTGTGAGATGTCTTGACTGACGCACACACTCTGCTATGAATACGCAATGCCATTAAGAAAGTTTTCAAATGTAACATATGTTATACTTGGGATTACACTTTCTCAGTAAAGTGCAGATTCTAGTACTTTTGCTGGGTTGAGCCCCATCTAGGATTCGAACTCACACCCCCAGAGCCAGGCACCTTATGGCCAGCACACAAAGTCAGCCGCCTAACCCGCTCAGCCTCCGCAGCTTCCCCATACTCTGCTGGTGGAAATGAAGTGTTCCTTGAAACTTTTAGGTATTTGAGCTGTTCAGATAGGTAACTTGTCTCTCCCTTGGCAAAGGGATAATTCAGATCATTAAAAGCCTCACATCGCCATCCTGTCCCCCTTATACAGCCCACAATCTTCGAACAGACACATAAAAAAACTTCTACAATGATCAAATCTTGTATGCCGGGGGAGGTAACTCCAAATCACACCTGTGGTGAAGATTGGCCACTCAGTAACAACGCTCAATATTTCACGACCGTTTCAGTGTTTTCCTGCCTCCAACAATCACTACAAGCAAACCTACAACGATCTCAAAGAGACATAACACTTAAAATATATTGGAACAAATGTGAATTTAAGCAATAATGAATCATTCTTACTCACTCACTCACTTTTCACATACATGAAGGACTTTCACCAAATCACCGAATATTCTAGACAAATTATTTGGAGGTAGGTGCCATTCAACTTGTGATTGGTTCATTGGAGAATTACTTGAATTGTCCACATCATTGTGTAAACTCTGGCTACAAATGGTTACATTATCAAAATGTACGGACGGTAGCAACAAACGGCTTCTTACACAAATATGAAAACTGAAAATCGTGTTTTGAGTATTTCCTAGTCTGGACATTTCTGAAATAGAGAATACAGTTGAATTGTGATCCTCAATTTTTCAAAAGTGCACAAACGATTGCATACAAGTTTATAAAATATATCAGATTTTTAGTTAATTTAATATGAGACACGAAAGCATTCACAATTTCAATTTCACTGCTCAATGTCGATTCCTTTGGAGATTATAGTTTGTGAAGACCAAGTTACCAGTCCATAACATCTCTTACAATACATTACATTTCAACAGTCTCTGCCCTTGTTTTCACTAAGCGACACATGAGCTCAAACTGACACAAGAAGGTGATAAACATGAGAGTGTCTAGATCTAGCTGCCATCCTGGGAGGTGTCATGTTGTTGTGATCTCTCCTGTTGATGTTCATTTTGTTCAAAGAAAGAGGGTGCCTAACTATAAACACGTTACCTCTCTCACATGCATACATGAGACAGTCTCTGCCCTTCTCATCAGTAAGTGACACATCAGCTCCCTCTGACGCAAGAAGGTGATATACATCAGAGTGTCCGGCTTGACCTGCTATCATGGCGGGTGTCATGTTGTCGTGATCTCTCCTCAAAGATAGTAGGTGTCTAACTATAGACATGTTACCTTCTTCACATGCATACATCAGACAGTCTCAGCCCTTGTTATCTGTAACTGACACATCAGCTCCCTCTGACACAAGAAGGTGATAAACATCAGAGCGTCCGGCTTTAGCTGCTATCATGGCGGGTGTCATGTCGCTGTTATCTCGCCTGTTGATGTTGATTTTGTCCAAAGACAGTAGGTGCCTAACTATAGACATGTTACCTCCCTCACATGCATACATCAGACAGTCTCTGCCGATATCATCAGTAAGTGACACATCAGCTCCCTCTGGCACAAGAAGGTGATAAACATCAGAGTGTCCGGCTTTCGCTGCTATCATGGCGGGTGTCATGTTGTCGTGATCTCTCCTGTTGATGTTGATTGTTTTCAAAGATAGTAGGTGCCTCACTATAGACATGTTACCTCCCTCACATGCATACATCAGACAGTCTCTGCCGATATCATCAGTGACACATCATCAGTCAGAGTGACACATCAGCTCCCTCCTGTTGACACAAGAAGGTGATAAACATCAGAGTGTCTGCCGGCTTGACAGATCAGCTCCTCTGCTATCATGGCGGGTGTCGCCTGTTGATGTTGATTGTTTTCAAAGATAGTAGGTGCCTCACTTTAGACATGTTACCTCCCTCACATGATCTCTCCTGTTGATGTTGATTGTTTTCAAAGACAGTAGGTGCCTAACTATAGACATGTTACCTCTCTCACATGCATACATCAGACAGTCTCTGCCGATATCATCAGTAAGTGACACATCAGCTCCCTCTGACACAAGAAGGTGATAAACATCAGAGTGTTCGGCTTTAGCTGCTATCGTGACTGGTGTCATGTTCTTATGATCTCTCCTGTTGATGTTGATTGTTTTCAAAGATAGTAGGTGCCTGACTATAGACATGTTACCTCTCTCACATGCATACATCAGACAGTCTCTGCCGATATCATCAGTAAGTGACAGATCAGCTCCCTCTGACACAAGAAGGTGATAAACATCAGAGTGTTCAGCTTTAGCTGCTATCATGGCGGGTGTCATATCGCTGTTATCTCGCCTGTTGATGTTGATTTTGTCAATAGATAGTAGGTAGACATGCCTCATGCTATAGACAGTCTCTGCCGATATCACCTCTCTCACATAAACATCATACATCAGACAGTCATCTCGCCTGTTGATATCATCAGTAAGACATGACATGCATACATCAGCTCCCTCTGATCAGCTCCACAAGAAGGTGATAAACATCAGAGTGTTCAGCTTTAGCTGCTATCATGGCGGGTGTCATGTCGCTGTTATCTCGCCTGTTGATGTTGATTTTGTCAATAGATAGTAGGTGCCTCACTATAGACATGTTACCTCTCTCACATGCATACATCAGACAGTCTCTGCCGATATCATCAGTAAGTGACAGATCAGCTCCCTCTGACACAAGAAGGTGATAAACATCAGAGTGTTTGGCTTTAGCTGCTATGGCAGCATGTCCCTCGCCTGTTGATGCTGATTTTGTCCATAGATAATAGGTGCCTCAATATAGACATGTAACCTCTCTCACATGAATACATCAAACAGTCTCTGCCGATATCATCAGTAAGTGACACATCAGCTCCCTCTGACACAAGAAGGTGATAAACATCAGAGTGTCCGGCGTAAACTGCTATCATGGTGCATATCATGTTGAAGTGATCTCTCCTGTTGATGTTGATTGTTTCCAAAGATAGAAGGTGCCTCACTATAGACATGTTACCTCCCTCACATGCATACATCAGACAGTCTCTGCCCCTGTCATCAGTAAGTGACAGATCAGCCCCCTCTGACACAAGAAGGTGATAAACATCAGAGTGTTCCTTTTGGGCAGACATCATAATCGGCGTTGTGTTTGATAATGTTCTTTCATTAATGTTGATAATTTCACAAGACAACAAATATTGGACGGTTGATAAATGACCACTTGCACACGCCACATGTAAACAACTCTGACCTCCCAATATCTTAGCAGAGAGATCAGCACCATGTGACACCAGGAACTTGAGGATCTCCTCCTGGCCTGTCTCAGCACACAACACTGTAGATGTGAAACCGTCTTCATTACGATCATCAATCATACCTGGAAACTTTTCAATAACAACTTTCACAATATCTCTTTTTCCTGAAATACATGCATGATGAAGGCAACTGTTTCCTTCTCTATCCTTCAAAAAAGCATTTGCTCCTTCTTTCAGTAGAAAGTTGAACACATCCAACTGGCCAGCCTCTGCAGCAACTATGAGCAGTGTTTTGTCTGTCGCCGTCCTTAGGTCTGCATGATATTCGCCATGATGCTTTAGCACATCAACAATACGTTGCAGGTTCCCCACCTTGCCAGCCTTTATGCAACCTGTGATACTGTCATACAGGTCTCTGACATTTTCAGGGGACAGATTTTCATTTTTACTCATCAGTAATAACGACTGTCGGAACAGTAAATCATTATTCGACAGGGAAGTCCAGTATAGAAAACATTCACCAGATGTGCTGTCCTTTAGGTGGACTATATGAGGCAAGTCATTTTTCAGTTCCGTCATCAGTGAGGATGCTAATTCATCGTTTTTGAATACAGGGTGGCCTACTGTCCATCTGAAGCAATCTCCACGGATACCTTCTACTAGCCTG